CGACTAAGCAATATTTAACTATAATTGAAACTTATCTGTGCGTTAAATTGTTGCGAGAATATTTAGTCGATGTTCTTTTTGTTCAAAATGGTCATTTATATTCAGTCGACGATCTCAAGTTCCAATAAATGAAAATGAAAATAATGCCCGCCGTCAATTTAAATATAAATACATGTGTATAGATTGCAGCCATTAAAAGTGAAAGATTGCGATTCGGGAAAATATTTCGGATAGAAAAAAGTGTCTTATTATTCAATTGGCGAGTCATTTTGTTAAAATTTTAAGTGGGCTCGTCGCATCCGTTTCACTCACTTTTGAAGTATAGAATCACCTTACCTTTTGATATCTCTTTTTTCGGGGCTTTTCAACAACCCGGCAACACACACACACACACACACACACACACACACACACACAAACGAACAACAACAATCACGCTTTGACAAGAACTTACCCCGAATGAAGCATGATTTTTTTTAATCAATGCCAGAGTTATTCAATCAACCGGCGTGTGCAATGTTAGCACGTCGCATCGATTAAAGTGTCAATATGATATCGTTTGTTCGAGAGCGCAGCAAATGAAACATGTGCTTACTGTGTTGCCGCTTACAATGTTTGGTACGTGTTTTAATGATTTTTTTCATTTACCTTTCTCTCTCTTTCGCTCACCTTTTCTATGTAGATGATTTTTTTTCTTGTTTTCTCTTTTTCATCAGTGATACAGTATTGCATGTTTCTAATTAAAATTGTCGATGTCGTTCAGAAAGTTACTGTCATACGTTTTATGAACGAAAAACGAGACAACCGTCACATCGAAATGAAGCGAACAAAAAAAAGTGATAGAGGTAGAAGGATAGAGAGCAAGAAGATAAAACATGAGATAAAAGGGTATCGAAATTTTTTACGTAAATTGATTCAATTGTTTGCACATTCAAATAAAAGGTTCATGACGAAAACAACGACACCGGTTCTTTCAACATCTCGATGTATTTGCTTCGAACGGTACTTCAGCTTTTAATTACGGGGGTTTAGGTATGCCAATCAATAAACCTATACGCTCTCAATTTTTTTGTTCATTCGATCTCGTTCTTTACCTCGTTCTCGTTGAGCTCTCGCTCTGTATTCCGTTCTCTTTCTTGCCTTACATTTTGATTCGAACAATAGCTTATGTGGGGGGGTCGATGATTTTCAATATATGCTAAATTGATGATGAAATGCTCATGAGATGTCACCGAGATGCACGCATTGAAATGCATTAATCTACGCAATGTCTTCAATATAAAACAAACTATGTATGTCGCACACAAGTTCTGACGCAATCATTTGAATTGAAATGCATTACGATTTATATCGTACATATAATCTTTGTCTATTTTGGCGTCCCATTATTTACATCCTGCATTTCCTCATTTCAGCAAACTAAATAGATTGCATGCAATTGTTCCATTCGTTAATGTGCATAATGCATAAATACAATTTCTCGCCTTTATTTTCATCGACATCATTTTGAATCAGCTGTTAAATTACGTTCGATATGATGTATTTTGCAAGCGATTCACTCAATTTCTTTAAGTGGAAAAAAGATAGATGATGCATTAGTTCAACTGATATAATTAATGATTTGTGAAGAAAGAAAAGTTCAGACACGATTTATGTGGATTTATCCGTTAAATTATAGTCATACTCAATAATTTGCAAAAAAAGAAAAAGCTTCATATAAAGAGAATACGAACTCAACAACAACAACAATAAAAACAAGAATACAAAGTAACTGAGCTGACTGTAAGACGAAAAAAAAAAACTTTTTAAAACGCGCATTCAGCTTGATCGTGTATGAGCACTTATACACGCAGAACCGAACGTACTGTTTTCAATGTGCGCACACATTCAAACACACGGGCAGCTGTTATAATGATCAAATCGAGCGCGCATTCTCATTTTATAATGTAAAGCGCAAGCATTATACACTTTAGATTGTAAACAAATGTTCTTGTGAACAGTTCGGTGAGCCGAACAAGAAGAAATTTGCTCTTGCATGTGGAAAATCACTGCTTAAAGATATTTTTGAATCTTTTTCGGGTGTAATTTGCATGTATTTCTGCTGTGGTGCTGAAATCGATTTTAATATCACACGAAGAAAGAGAAATTTCACAAAATACGCGAACCAGAAGAGTGGAAAGAAAACAAGAGAGAATTATTTTTTTTAAATAAAACGCAAAAAATAGAGTGAACTCAGTTTATTTTTAATCGTTTCAAAGAACTCTATATAGCAGCAGTATGTCTAAAGTGGCGTTGTACTTTCGACGATGGAAAAATTATACGCGGCAAAAAAGTAAGTGTTTTTTTTCTGGTACTTCATGCAGTACACAGCTGTTAATCATTCCCGTTGGGGTATAACATTTATTTTTTCCTCTTCAACAAAAGTCCATATGAATTTCCAGTGATGTTTTTATCAGTTTATTTTTGTCGACACAAGCATTCATCACCACAATCTCGAATTCTATCGCAGAGAAAATAAACACGGCGGTCAAAGATCGTCCAGTTTATCATACCAAATGTGATATACATATGTGTACGATGTATGCAATCACATTTTCAAACAATATAAATTCGAAAATAATCATCATCACATTTGCTACTCGTAAATCATATTTAAATAATTAAACAAAAAGACAGTCTCATGGAAAGATGCGTGCTAAAATAATAATAATAATGACCAAATGCGAGCGACAGAAATGCAAACGGTGATACGCTCGGTGATACGGCACAAATGGTGACACATATAAATAGAAAATCATTGAAAATGAAACCGAAGGAAAAATGTGCGACAGTTCCAATTTACAGTGGATATACGTGTTGGTGTGGTTATAATTATTGCAAATAAAAACAGAAGGAACCATGAAATTAATCACACCTTCCATGAAATGAAATGCAATTTTATCTCTTCTCCACGTCCTTGGTTCCGCTCTCACTCTCACTATATCGAAAATCGCATATGACATGACAAACAACAGTCATGGTGTTAATTGCATTGAACTAGATTTTCAATGTGCTCAACCCGTTCGACATCCAGTTCCAAGTGACAGCACGAAAAAAAACCTACAATAAATTTTCTAACTCAAGCACTTATTCAGAGGTTACTTATACATCGTGAGCATTCGCTCCAATTGAAGTTCAGTTTCCCTTCTAATTTAAATCGTTCGCACATCGATTTGTACACAAAACAGTTTGATCTTGATTTGCCGTCATACATGGCAATAATAATAACAAACATTCTTTCGAAATACGCCGATTCTAGCAAACGATCGAAATGCTTTCGTTTTTTATAGCTGGCATCAAGCCAATTTCCTAAAGAGCTTGCAAATACGACACCAAATCATGGGTTAAAAACGTGTTCGTCATTTGGACTTTTCACTCTCGCTCTATCTCTTTCTGTCTGAACAAATTCAAAAGGAAAATGGAATTTGGGGACATTATTTCGCCAATTTATTCTTGGTTTGTGTTGACTTTTTTTATGATACGACGGGTCAAATGTATTTTTAGAGCCATAAACAAAGTTTTTTTCATCTCTTCACTTTCAATTCTGCGTGGAATTTTATTTTGGTATTCCTTGCAAATGATTTGTTTACCAAATAATTTTTTCCATTACAAAAAGCGATGTTTTCTTATTCAAACTATATTCGCCAAATCACTCGACGGTTTTCGTGTTTCAAATCTACCATTTTCCGTCAATATTTTATGCAGATTCAGTGTTGATATGAATCGTGCATTTCTCACAATGTGCAAATTGCAATATGCAAAAAGATGAAAATGAGTTTGAGAAAACATCGAATGAAAATGAGCAAATAATAATAGGAATTAGAGTGTGTATGCTTGTGCAGCAGACGCGCGGGTGTGGCGTCAAAAGGAGAATGAACGAATCATATAATAGATTTGTTTTGATTGTGAGTCGCGTGTGCAATCAACCATTGATTGTAAAAATTCGTGTGGTTCTTCGGTGTTGTTTTTATTGTAATAATACACGTGCCATACACCGAGAACACTTAAAAATGACGCGCGTGAAAGAACGAACGAAAAAAGCGCAGCTAGCGAGAGAGAGAAAGACACACGATTGAGCGTAAAAGAGAAAAGAAACTTTGGCAATGCTTAAATTTGGTCTTTTTTCTTCGTTCGGTTGCTAATGCGTCGGAAATTGCGACGCAGTTGTACAATTCAAGCGTTTGGAAAAATCAACAAAATCTCATATATGAATGTATATCGTGGTTCATACAAAGTATAAATTACATTAAGGTAATGTGGAAAATGTAAACGGTTTTGTTTGTGTTCAACTCGAAGGCAATGTGTTTATAGAGCATATATGTGAGTCAGCACGGTGGCCGGTTTGAATTGCATCGCAATAATTAATCAATTGAAAACAAATGTTGCTATACGATTTCAAAGGAAGTTTTTGCAAAATGGATTCTATATAGTATGAAACATGCAATCAACTGAAATGCCGGCTAACCTTCGAAATCGATGTATGAATACAAATGATTTTTCCAATTCGATAAATCGCTAATTTACAATTCGCTTTACTTCATACACTGGCTCACTCGATTACAATGCGAAAATTATAATTATTGTATTGTAGCAGGTTTGAATCAACTAGAATATGCAATTTTTCCACTGTTCGCCTCATTTCAAGCAAACCAATTCAACGAACATAACCAAATTGAACAGAACGTTAAACGAATTATATTCTATTCACAAAATTTAATGATAAATTCTGATTGTATGAATTGAATGAATGTGTGCATATAAAGCCACGTCTATTCGATAATCAATATATATATTGCATGTCGAACTGATGAATAAAGTGTTTGCGCAAATCCACAAAATATACATCAAAATTTTGAATATAGTAAGTGATTACTGCGTTGGCATGCAGTTGGCAAAATATATTTCATTTTGTGCATGCTCATCGATTTTAATGCAATTAGAATATGAAGCAAAAATAAACTGACGCTGCTGTACATTGTATATCGAACATATAATTCAATTTTTCGATGACAGGCGATGGCGATAAAAAGAGAATGAACGCAGTTTTTTTCATTGATTTTTATTGTGTTTGTTTTCTTTTCGCTGTGTTTTTTTCCCGTTTATTTATTTGTTTTATTCATTTGTTTATGTGTTTTGTTTTGTTTTTCCGAATTTTTGCGTCATAAAACAGATGCTGGTGAGGATTGGGCGTTCGCAACGAAATTGACGGATTTATCAGAGAATTATGAGGATGATTGTGAAAATGCATACTCCGATTTGGAAATATTTCAAGCAAAATTTTTGGGAAGTACAACAATTCAAGCGGCAAAATCAGAGAAGGCAACAGCCAATGCAATTAAAAGCATCATATCGTCAGCAAAAGGTGAATGAACCACTTTGAGATTAAAGCGATAAATCATTTTTACTGCTATGCACTTTTATACATAAACAAATAATCAACTTTCATGAAACTGTTTCTTTAAAAAAAATATTTCTCTTTTCTTACTTCTTGGTGTAGCTTCCGGAAAAAAATTACAACGCATAAAACTGTCGGTGTGTGCAAGAGGAATCGAAACGTTTGATGCGATGACAGGCGTAACGTTGCACAAAGTTTCAATTTATCAAATCAGCTATTGTAGCGCTGATGCGGCACACAGTAATGTATTTGCGTTTATAGCTGGCCAGAGAGATTCACATGAAATGTGTAACAATGACACCGATGAACTCACCTGCTATGCATTTCTCTGTGCGAAACGTAAAATAGCCTACAATCTAACCGTAACCGTTGCAAAAAATTTCGAACGTGCCTATGATATGTGGAAAAAATCCGAAGTACGAAGCAAAACTGAACAATATGATATGGATCGATCGATGGGCCAAACCAATACGCTACAAATAAAATCCAATTTGAGTTCAAACGAACGAAATTGCAGCAATCGCAAAAGTCTTCTAATCGATTTTAATTCAGATACATTGACATCGGTCGAACGACAACGCCAACTTCTACAAAACGCTTGGGTTTCATTCGATGATGAACCACTTTTGAACAATGACAACGACGACATGCAACCCGTGTCAGGGAAAATATTCGAAAACAATTTATGGGACGGGAATGCGATTTGCTCGTAAGCACATCTACTTCTATGTTATCGAAAAGCCATTTACTTTATTTGATTCAATTTGGGAACATTTTTCTATTGGAAAATATTATTTTAAGTGAAACACAACGTGAAGTGCATTTTTTTTGTACTTTTGACTTTTATACAATACATACATGATATTAATAAAGCCAACATATTATCCGTTAAGTTTAATTAATAATTATATGAATATGGATTTTATTTCTATTGATTTCAATTTGTTTTAAACAAGCTCCAACTTTGTTGTTTCCTTCATTTTTTTGTCAGCGATTGACATATTATCTTCCTCTGAGCCTTGTCAAATTACCTGCTTCCATTACGCCAACATACATCCGCTTATAAATGTCAAAAACTTTATGTTTGTCAACATATCAAAAACTTTCTAAATTTAATTTTTTTCATTCATGTCAATTATTCAAGAGGTCAATTCAATTGTGCATCAACATCAAACGAGATAAAAAAAAACGATATGATTTAAAATGCACACAAATTATCGCATTTCTAGAATTCGACCTATTGAAACTTTTTTGACTATTTAATGATTTGATTTCAGAAATATGTTTACCAATTGTTAAATGAAATAAATTTATTTTAGAAAATGAACAAAATAGCTATAGCTATAGTGTGATAATAAGTGGTTAAAAAATGAAAAGTTCAGATCTGATTGAATGTTGATAATTGAGTGACAGAATAAGAGCGTTTTAATTTTTTTATGAAGTGTTTTCGATTCAATAAAAAAAAATACTTTTAATTTAATTGATAATGAAGCACATAAAAATAACCAGTTTAATTGATGCTGTACCCTTATTCGATAAATCGATGCCGAACACTGTGCGTAAGAATAAGAACATGCAAGCAGCGCCGCACTCGAATGCATTTGATTTGAATTAAAAATTGAAGCGGTGAGAGTTCGAACTAACCAAATTACACTAACAAAATCTACATACACGCTCAGTGTTCGATCGATGCTAATGAAATGTAGTCGTTCACATTTTTTTGGTTCATATGGCAAGATATATGTGACAACCATAAAATACCAACCTTTATACAAGCGATTATCCTTGTAAAACATGTTCCAACCTGATTTTAAAAATCCATTTACTTTGAAAGAGTAAAAAAAAAGAAAAGTACAGCCGTTTTTTTAATACAATATTCTTTATTATTTTTTGTTTGCTCTGTAAACATCATCCGATAAGAAAACCTATTTATACATATACACTTTCATTCAATTGAACTCCAAATGGATGCATTCAATTGAGTTCAGCCAAAAGGTCATGTTCATTTCAAGGAAATGACGGATACAAAATGGTGCATCATTATTTATTATAGTAATCTTTCCATAAAAATGACTCAATAATTGTTCAACCGTTTGCGATAATACGTTAAATTTTGTATTTCACGACTGCGTTTTATTTCATGTTCTTTTTCTTAAAAAAATGTGTTCGCAGGCCGATAAAACATATTTAGCAGCATTTTTGCATACATATTTGTTTGTTTTTTTACCTACTTCACTAAATTGTAAATCTATTTTGGGTATTTATTCAATGAACTCTATCGTCGCGATTCATATTCAAAATTCGACGGTCATAATTCAAAGTATGTATGTGTGTGTTTTTATAGCATCAAATAAAATGAGATTGGTTTGAGAGGGATAGAGAAAAACACATTGCACATTGAAGCACCAGCAATCGTTTAATGAACTTGAATCGCCACGATTAAATCATTAATTTTATTTTAATAATGCATTTTAATCGAATGTGTTACTTTTCCTTCCGAATAGCAATTAATATGGTTTTTAATACAATATAATTTATAATAATAAAATTATCATTTTCTGTACACAAAGGGGATATGAAACAAACACAAAAAAAACAAATATTCGAAATAGCCGATCGTATAATATATAAATGATTTGCATATTTGGGGCTGGGAGGAAGATTAGACAAATAGATATATAGCTCTTTAATTCAATTTTAGTACTGTTTTTTCTCTCTTTCTCTCTCATAAATCATCTATATGCTCTTTTAAAATAATTCTCTAATTTGCAGAAAGGCGAAAAAAGCGTTTAATCAAATCGAATAAATGAATGCGTAATTCAATTGTTTTGTCAACGACAACTAAAAATTAGAAAACAATATTCATGCCAATTTGATTTTTTTTTGTCTTATTTTCTTTGTTTGCGAATTGTTTCCAATTCAATTTCGGTACACATAACTTAACTTAAATATGCATTTTTTATATATATATATTTTGAGCGATTTGTTTTTCTTTTATAGAATATCCTTTTCAGCGCTCGTTTTGGCGACAAAGCCCTGGGATATACTTGCTTTATCTATCTCTGGTACACGTTTGTTTTTCTCATTTTGACATATTTTTTGGAAGCATTTTATTTTGATTGTGAATCTATTTTAAATGCAGATTTGGAATGGAAATTAGTTTGTTTTTCAGACGAAACAAAAATGCAAACAAAATGCCGAGAAGAAATTTATTGATATAGCGCGACATTTTACATAATAAAAATGAATGGTGTGCGTATAATTTCAAATGATACCACATAAATCAGATAACACCGCACGACGGACGGGGAATACATCTTTATAATGTGAATGCTATTAAGCATATAACAGTGTGTGAATGTTCAGTTCAATAAATAATCAATGTTGCGGATCAATTTTGGGGACAAATAAGAAAAGAGATTTTTTTTTTGCTTTGCATTTGAAAATGTTTGACAATAATCATAATAAATAGGTTTAATTTTCATCGTATTATTTTTTTATCATTTGTAACAAATGGAATTTTGTGCATATTTTTCGGGGTTCTTTAATACTGGTTCTTTTCTAGCTCTTCACTCATTCAGGTGATGTGTGATTTTTGTTATTCTATTCTACGAATATGTGAATATGATTTTAATTTGTTATTAAATTTGTAGTAGAAAAGAAAGTAATATTGATTGGTTTTTGTTGTTTAAATGGTTTTGTTTTGTTTGTTTATTTTTTTGATTAAAAGAGTATTTGAGTTGAAGCATCTCTCTAGACTGTGCTTGTGCCTAACCACTTTTGATGTCTACAAAAATTGTATATGAGTGAGTAGAAAAAGGTGTTTGTTGATTGGCAAAAATTGTAAAATATCTTTCTTCTATTCTGTTTTTTTGACTATTTTTTTTTTTTGTTAAATCTCATACACACTACAAATATTTTTGTGGTTTACATTTGGTTCTTGCAGTTGTATATAAGCGGTAAGGTGAGAGATTTAAATGGTTATGATTTTAACTTTTCTCCATTTTTTTTTAATATATCAAATTCTAAAATGTCTTTTTATTTCATCGTGTTTCAATGCGAAATAAGCAAATCGAATCGACTTACTTTTTCTTTTTAATGTTTGGACTTTGTGTCGTCTCTGGTTTAATTAGTTGTGGATCCATTGAAGATCAGGCAGATGTTTCCGTTGGTTCCACCCAACATTCGCTATCTTCATCACTGTCCGAATCTTCAGATTCAGATAATTCGATTGCAACACGCCGTGCCAATATCGATGCAACATCATGGAATGCTGTTGAACGCTCCTTTTCTTTTTGCTCAATTTTTTCCACTTTTCGTAATTTGATACCTTCAAGACGTAAAAATAGACAGAAAAGAAATACATTATTAGTTTCTTTGTCGCAATTGCCATTGAAAGAAATCGTATTTGTTTGTTTGAGTTAATTTCATACCATCACGGATGGCTTTCAATAAATCGTTTCGTGTATCGTCAATGGTTGGAAGAATCTTCTTTTGTTGCGTTATTTTTTTTGGTGTTATCAATTTACCACCAACGGAGCCATTGTTCAAGTCACCATTTGCAATCGGTTTGTAAATATTTGTCGATGGACTGTGATCCATTGGTGGTGGTGGTGGAGGCGGTGGCGGTGCAACAGAGTTCGATGCCATCTGTTTGGGCGACAACTAAAAACGAAAGTGGCGATAAAAAAAATATATATGGCAAACGTAAGTAAAACAAGTCAATCAAGTTTTAAAAAAAAAATTGTTTAATTTATGATGCTTACCTGTTCCGGTATTGGAGGTGGTGGTGGTAAATCGTTGATTGCGTTCATTTGTTGTGTCATTTGCAAGTTCAAGCTATTCAAATTGTTTATTTGACTATTAAGTTGGGCCATAACAAGTGCATTTTGATCCATAACGCCGCCAGTGTTGCCGCCGCTGGTATTTAGCTGGGGTGAACCGGATCGTGATGTGCTATGACTTCGTGCCAATATTTTGGCTGCAACTGATGCATTTCCATTGGTCATTTGTTGCATTGGTGGTGATTGTTCCATTGGCACTGGTGGAGGTGGCGGTAATGCGTCACGTGATTGCAAATTTCGACTACGTGTTGGAGTATTGGCATTTGATGCATTTGGTGTATTGCCACCACTTGGCGGTGCTGGAGGTGGTTGTGATGGTCTTGATTTTCCTTTCGATGGTGTGCCCGGTGCATATGGATTTTCTGGTGATATTGCACCAGCATTATGATGTCCAGCATACATATTTTGTGAATGATGATATGCTGTTTCATCGTATAATTGTTGTGCTGTTGCATAGCCAGCATGATGCTGATATGCATTTGGTGAATTTGGCATATAACCGTCAATTTGTTCGGTTTGATAGCTGCGCCGAATTTCAATTGAATCGGGACGATTTGGCCGTCCATCATAACCTATGCTATTGTATGCCGAATCTTCATTGCTCATGGCCGAATTTGGTGTACGATAAATTACATTATTTGGCATCAACGTTTCACCATGACCAATGGCAATTTGACGTTGTTTCTCGCGAGTATTATGAGGCGTACGAACTTTACGATTGTGACGTTTACCGCCAGCGCCATCGGTTCGAGGTCGATGCATCTAAAAATGACACGGAAAAGAACCACAATTATTTATCAATATTGAAAATTCGATGGACAAAATAAACTCACCTTCTTTCCTTTGTCATGCAAAAAGCGTTCAGTGTCTTTCAGCATCTCTTGTCGCCAGAGTTCGAAGAAGTAATTTGGATCAGTGTAGAATTTAAGGCCATCCTTGCCGTCATCTCGATAGCAATTCAATTTATCTAATGGCGGTGGCTTATCGCATTGCTGTTTGAAAATAAAAAGAAAATCGTATTGCTCGTTAATTTCATTCAAACTTTTATACACTTAGTTATAGCAAACAAGAAAATGACTTACCATATAAGTCTCAAGCATTGCAGCTGGCATTGTGGCTCGTGAAAAGATTTGCTGATCGAAAACCGTAGCACTTTTAAATGCTTTTTTCATTTGAATGTCTTGCAGTGATACCTCTTCAACATTGCTATCTAATTGCGTAACTTTAATGGCCAACCGATCAATTCGAGCTTGCAATGAATTCGATCGTTCGGATAGGTGGCCAGCCTCTCTGGCTAATTCACCAAATAAATCCTCCGAGTGTTTTGATAATGATGACAATTGTCGAATGATATTGGTAAGCGTTGTATTGGTCACCGTTTCAAGTTCAGTTGGTTCGGCAATATCCTCACGAGGATACACCGACCGTGCCACAAACACGGGTTCGATTATACGTTTTGGCAATGGCATCTTTTCTCCGGTGTCAAGTCCTGTGTATATGATTTACAACTCAATTGAACTTCGTAAACTTGTTCTGATGGTTTTTCTTCTTCTATTGTTTAACACGACTCGTTTTCCATTTAAATGAATAGATTTTTATGAACGTCTACATTGTCTCATCAAAGTTCTTCCTATAAAATGACAAAACAACACGAAAATATTATTAAATGTGAGTTTTGAAAAAGTTTTCGATGTGAAATGAAGTTTCAAGATTGAATAAAAAGTTTTCGTCTTTAAAATTACAATCAACAACACTATATTGACAATGACGCACGTCCGCACCGATAGGGTAAGGAACTGCAAGTGAAATGCAATTGCAAAGAAAAAAACAACCTCAATAGAAGATATGATTGAAATATGTTTTCTTCATAAAAAGCAGCGCATGTCTACCATCTCCACGAAATGACATTTGAGAAAGAGAAATAGCACATTTCTGTTATGTGTGCATTGCTCGCCAATGCAAGCGAAAAAAAAACACGATTGCAAAAAAAAATCAATGTGCGCTTCGTTTGTAGTTCAAAATTAGAGGTTGCTTTCGCCTGCATAAGCTTAACTTTCAATAGAGAGAAGAAAAAACGACGACAATCGCGATGCCGCTACAATGGAACAATATACACACATTTAATACAAGCTTATCGTGATGGTAACGCGTGTACGATCAGGTGGAATATATTTGTCTCTGTCATGTTATGCACGGTCATGTTATGCACCAACCAATATAGCAAAGTGACAGAGTGGTAGGTGTTTTTGAAACCAGTTCGGAGAACCTGGCAATTGGATTATAATTCGACTTTTTGTTTCAACAAACGGAACTTAACCACCGTGAAGTTATAATTTAAAGAAAAAAACTAAAAACGAAACAGCGACATAAGAAGAAAAATAAAATTCATGGCAATGACATTAACAACGAAAGAAAATCGAATTCCCTGCTATGGTCACTGCTGCTTTGGCTACTATTACTACTCGAACACAAGTGTCGATGCTTTCCCGTGAAAGTGACAAGTTTTGCTTGAGCTGAACTCAATCGAAAATAAAGTTACACACAATTTAATTGCAATTACCAGTTGAGTAACTTTTTCAAATTTTTTTTTATTATCATCGTCGATGCCTTAGAAAGCGGTTTTCGCTCGAAAATAAATACTATATTTCCACAATAATAACCATTTGATCGAAACATCAATAGTTCAAACTCTCCGCATTTCGATTTCAAATCTATAAATTATTTACGATGTCGCATTTCCAAAACAATTTCCCATTAGAGAGAATGTGGCTGGGATTAATTAAGCATTAATTCAGTCGATTTACAACGTTATTATCTCTTGATAATATTCATGTGAATATTTTAGCATGCATTTTATCACATAAAAAGTATTTTTAACTCGCAAATCTGAGAGCATAACAGCGATGGTTTGCATCTATACCTAAATTTAAACTGTAATCAAAAATACCATTTAATATTCAATATGAATCATTGCTTTTTTCCCATTGTGTTTCGTTGTCAACGATAATGGCAACGACAACGCTAAAAAAATGTTCTTGAATTTATTATCCATGGTATTGTATCAAAAACATCTGTATGAAAATTGGATTCTGCCGAAAAATGTTTTTCAAATAAATTTCAAAATGGCGCATAATAAGAGAGAGAGGGGGAGGGGGAAAAGAATGCTTTCGAATATCGAGACAGACAAATAACTTCGAATATTGTAGCTAGAATTGGTTTCTGTGTTTGAAATATTTTTCCATAAATTCTACCAATATATCGATTTGCAATTCATTGAAATGTTATGTAGATATTTCAAACGAATTAAAAAGTAGAATGGCACAACATTATTGTACAGCGGCAATGCATTATCCAAAATTCAATATACGCATTTCGAAGAACAGCCTTTTCCATTACATCCGACATCGAATTGAAAATCGTTTATTGCTGAGCCAAAAAAAAAAAATAAATAAATCGTTTTATACGTCAAATTTATAGCATCTAACACATGAAAGGTCTATTAACCTACAATTGAGCTACCATCAGCAATAAAATGAATGATAAAAATTTAAGAAGCCGTGACGTTTATCGCGATCTCAATTATCGATAAAACATTCACACACGTACAAATGCCGTGCAAAAAAAACTACTACACGAAGAACGTAGAAGAAAACAACGAACAGAAAATAACACTTGTTTCGTCTTTGACCAAGATGAAAACAGAAAACATTCAATTTGATTACGGTTGCGATTATTAGCACGCACATTGATTAATAGTACGACGAGGAAAATGTGTGAAAGAGGAAGAACCACACTCTTTTCGAATTGAGAATGTAAATGTCCGTATAAGTTATCTATCGGAACGTTTGTAATGCACACACAGCGGCTGCATGCAATTGTTTTGCCAGAATACATCAAGCGGCTGGGTGTTTGTGTGTGCGCGCGCTTGTGTTTTTTTCAATCATGTGCAATAGAAGATAATGAATATATTTTATGCTTTTGCTCTCTAATGTGCAGCAATTTCATTTATCCACTGCACCCAGCCGCAAATATGATAGCTCATAATATATTAACAAACACGTCGATCTCCATTATATATATCTTATTTCGTTTTAAATGTGCGCTTTGTTTGTTACAAGGCATTATCCAGACACACACACACACACAACTTATACACACATACTTCCTCTCCACATCACAGACTTTTAAATGATAATTATTTTAATTATTTTGTTTCACTGATGAGTATTTCTTTTCCCTTCTGTTTCATTTCATCATCTCTTTGTTTTGGTCGATTCTATTTTCTTTAAAATGCCTGCCCGTAGACGGTTGTACATAGAAAGTTACGAAGAATGAAAAAAAAAACCAACAACATATTTTATGCGCTCTGGATCATTTTTGCACACGAATACGAAATTCATTTTTGCTTAATTAATTTCGTTAAGCGCAGAAACATTTCTGATCGTTGTGTGCAATTTAAATAACAGAGGAAAAGATGATTCGTCTGCATTATGAAATTTATAAAATGCAACCGATCATTTTTCATTTTTATGAAAATGGGAACGAATTTTATGCAAACCAAATTCTATCGGTTGGAGGTGAAGATAACGGGATTTAAATGCAATTTACACAATATTCTCACTTAATTCGATTATGGGCAGAGCATCATTTCATTCTATGGGGGAAATTAATAGAGTTGAAATGAATGCGCACCATTTGAAAAAACAAAGCAATATTTTTCTTTAAAAATAGACTATTATTTGTTAGTTTGTTTGTTTGTTCTTTTAATAAAAAGACCGTAATAATATATACAATTATTCCATCTGTGAACAAATTGGTTTTTCATTATTGCGGTAAGAATCGATTTTAATTGTATTTTTATAACACGGAACTACAAAAAAATCGAATTTGATGAATTTTCTTATATTTTTGCCCCCCAAAAAAATTGAATTTTAATTTTGAATTCGTCAAATATAAAAGAAGAATATTTGTCATGTTGCTATTATATTCTGTGCATTTGTCAAGTGAATGTTAAGTCGACTCCGTTTCAATTATACGAAGATTTTGAGCCATTTTTTTTAAAATAAAGACTAAAATGAATCCTTTATTTGTCGTTGCATTGAGCACTTTTGCTTTAATTCAGGTAGTTAAAATCTTTTCTAATTTTGCTCAAAGAAGAAATAGATTCATTTTTCACAAACATGGACGACAAGACACAAAAATTATTATGAAATTTCATGGAAGGATAATTTTTTCCTGAATTGCATTTGTCTTATCGTTGACGTAAGAAAAGTTTATGATTTTCAATTTAAAAATATTTTATTGTTAGTTCGCTTTGGAATGGCCTTTTGTTGAGGTCGAAAGTATTAGACAAAATGGTATATTGCTTTGGCCAGGCTGTGCTCAGATTAAAGTAAGAAATTGTGAATTTTCTTTTAAAATAAAAACCAAATTAAAATTGGCTGCATTTTTGTTGGAGGTACGAGCAAAGGTCGGATGTACTAATGCCAAAAATTTGGAAAGTAATTTGGACTATTTATCTGAAATAACTGATGCTGCTGAAATCTTGGTAAGTGAAGAATCAATAAGTGAAAAGAATATTGAAGCATCAGGTTTCAGTGCTACCCAGAAACCAGAAGAACTTGTTGTGCCAGTTCAAAAATTATTTATGGCTGCAGAAGTGTATCAAGATCTTACAGACGTTAGACAAAGCCACTGAAATGCTTAAAAAATGAACGAAATTATCGAATCGGATGTAGCTTACACCAACTATGTAGAAAATAAACAAGACGATGTCGTTGGTGATAAGCTCACTCAAAGCTGTGGCAAAGTCGACAAGGCCGAAGTGTATTTGAAAGAATATAAAGCCACAGTTGAAAAATGCAAAGACAATTTCAAAAATGCAATTGCTCCAAAAGTGTTGAAAATCAACAAGGGGATAGACGATCTGACAATGAAGTACAATGATGAAGAAGTAGACATTGTAGCAGCCAAAAAAGAGATTGAAGAGCGAACGTTGATTTTATCTGAAATCAAAACCAGCAAATCAAAAAGCGAAAAAGCTACAACTGAATTTGGCATTTGCATTGCCAACAAGGGAAACGAATGCGAAACATTCATGCAAGGAATTTATTCGGAATTCAAAAAACTTTTGGGATGAATATAACATTCGTTTTGAAATTTAATCTTGCGTTGACCTTTCATCATTTCGAATAAAGTAAATAATAAACTCTATCAACGTTGATAGACGTGATAACATAAAACAATGTTTTTCTTGTAATAAAAACGAAATTTCAACAAATTCCCATAAAAACGTAATGAGATGCATTTTATTACCAATTGTGTTTTACTATTTCTTGTTGACTTCGGCATCCGAACTCTTACATAGTCCGTCAATTTATTTGTACACATCGGCTGTACAAATTGCTTTTCAAGACTATTTCAAACTAGTAATAGCTTGGTTTAATTAGTAGGAACCAATAAAAGTTACTGCATTTGTTAATTTATTTGGAGGTTTTCGACATGACTCGTTTCAAAGTTTTCACTTATTGTTGTCAAAAGATTTTCGATTTAATGAACGAAACTCAAATAAAACTGTAATCGTTTTTCAACATATCGATTGATCGCTGTTGTTTTCTTTCAATCAAAAAGTTTTCAACTTAATGCAACTATTCCATTCAATTTGTGTATTGTTTAAATTCGATTCTAAATGGATGTCTTCTGTTCACTTTTACTCAGAAGTTGAGAAGTTTAACGTCCTTTCATTTCAAGCGTATCAAATGTGAAGAGAACAGAATTTGCACCATTTTTGCTCCTTAATCAAAAAACCAGCTTGATTAAATTGTAAAAGGAATTGAATTTGTCGAATGCAGGCCTTTTGTGAGAAATATAGGACGCAAAAGAGGCAAAGAGAATGCACGTCTCCAAAGTGCAATCGATTTTGTGGTTTTGAGTTTCAATAAGAGAGAGAATTTGAATTGAATTTTTTCCACTTCTTGTTTCTTTGAAACTTGGTGACTAACCAAAAAATATACGATGAATTTAAAAATTAGATGACTGGGATACAATGTGCACAATAAATAGAATTTTTTTTGTTATTGTTTCATTTTTTGTTGTTGTTGATTTCATGCGCACATTATAATAACTATTATGCGATGAACAAAAGACATTTTTAAACAAAATTATCATCCGAATAGAATGTGGTTAGAAGACAAAAACGTCAAAAAATATATTATTAAAATGAAAATGACAGACAAATAGTCAGTGAAATATGAAACGTACATAAATGAGGTAAACATTATTGTGTTTGACATTTGTTTTATGCATAATAAGTTGTGTCTCTTTGTTTTCACGCAGAAGAATACCTCACATCCACATCCGTTTTCTTCATTTGTCGCGAACAAATACGAATACGTCTTTGTGATAAGTTACCTTTAAAATTTTGCAAACAGATATCAAAAATAGAGTCATTCACTTGAATTCTTAGGCTGTCATTTGGCAAACTGGCAACTATAAAAGAAGATCTTTTCAGACAGCTATATTGTTATTCTTCGCTATTGTCAAGTGAAAGTATACTTTAGTTTGGCATCCAAACTTCGTTAAAACGTTCAACAATTTACATAAAATGTATCGTGTTTTGCTCGTCATATTCAGTGCTTTTGCTGTAATGCAGGTGATATTTTTGTAACAATCAAATTCAATTACATTCATGGATAATTTCAAAAGTGAATTCAATAACATTTTTATTTTCCAAATATCAGCTCACTCTGTCGGAGTCTGATTTTATAAGCAATCAAAATGCTGTTGGCGCTCCGTATTTCGGTACGAAAGGTGGACTGTTGCCAGAAAATATGTTTGATGTACGAACGTGTTTTTTTCAATTTCTCTTCATTTAATAATTTAAAAAAACATTTTTTTGTAGGCGGTATTAACAAGACTTCCGTGCACATCTGCACTCTTTTTAATTAGCAATCTGAACTATTTATCAGGAATGATTAGTTCGACGGATTTTTTTGCTAGTGTTATCGATCAGGTGAAAATCGATAATTTGGCTGCAAGCATCGCTAAAAAGCCGAAAGAACTGGAAGATCCAATGCAAACATTGGTAATGGCGCTAAATATTTATCAAGATCTGACGGAACAAGCTTTGGAAGACGCAGTCCTAAAGCTCGTAGAAATGAATGAATTTATCGAATCGGATGTGTTGAATACCAATTATGTGGCGAGTAAGAAAGACGAAATCGTTGGCGATAAGCTCATCAAATGCTGTGCCATCGTTGACAAAGCCGAAGCGCGTTTAAAAGAATATAATGCCACTATTGAAAAATGTAAAGATATTTATCGCGATTCGATTGTACCACAACTTGTAAAAATCAACGACGGAATTGATGATCTTACTTTGAAATACGATGAAGAAAATCCATACGTTGAAACGGCCAAAACAGAGATAAGGGAGCTATCCATTTTGATTGTATCAGAAATTCAAACGTTTAAAGAAAAAACTGAACAAGCCTTGATCGGACTAGGTGAATGCATCGCCAACAAAGGACCTGAGTGTGAAAAATTCATGCACGGAATTTACACAGAATTCCAAACACTTTTGGGATAAATTGAATTTACGACGCAGCTTAAATTCACTTTGAAACGTAATCACGTTATGAGACGATAATAATATTCCATAAATTGAAATTTATGGCAAAATACACATTTTACCGATTTTTTTTTTTTCTAGAATAAAAAAAGAATAATTATTGAATTTGCACGAAAAATGATATGACTTTTTCATTATTATATACCTGTTTCGATGGACCAATTTTTTTTTTTAGAAATTAATAATCGATAGTTTTTGTTATTGGAATCCAGATTACTATTTGAAAACGTTACATTTTAGAATACATTCAATCCATGTGCAATTCATGTATACAAGATTAGTTTTAAAAGCTTTCCTGTTTTAATTTATTTTATAATTCAAATCGTCGGAAAGAACTGAAATTCAATGAACTTTCATTAAATGAGCCAGACACGAGCAATATATCGACAGTTATACAGAATCTCAATTTCTTTCCATCAACTTTTATTCGGAAAGTTTATCAAACTTTATTTAATTGCACGATTCAATTTGTATTCACAATAATAGTAATATTGAATGTCATGACGATGGTATCGTAGAGATGCATTTTGCTTTGAAACAATTTTGTTTTTCGATTGAAAATTCATACTTATTATTATTCAAAATGAACATAAATATTCAGAGAGAATTTTCTCGATATAGTTGAATATCAATTGTTTAACATTAACATTCAAGAATGGATTTACATTTATCGAAAATTGGGACGATATAATGACGATTGAAGTTTGAAATAAATTTCGGGGGCTATGTCATCAGAGTGTCAAAATTCGTATTTTTTGGTAAAGAATGAATGTTTTGGGTCTCGCATCCAAAGTCGACCCCTTTTGAAATATTCATAAAATGAAATTTAAATTTTGTGCATGGAATATTGTTCAGATATAATGATTTTTTTTTCTTCGGGTAATTGATTTGCATAGAAAACATACGTTGTTTTTGTGAGCCTATAAAAGCCGACGTAACAATATTCGGGCGTTCAGTATTTTGCTGATTTCATTGAAAAACGACATTTCGTAACAAAAAGATTTTGAAAAAAAAAAAATATTTTTAAAAATGAAATTATTGATCGTTGGCATTTTGTGCGTGTCCACTTTGGCTTATGTAAAGTGTTATAATTGTTCTTTTGGTTTGTTGAAAAATTTGTTTTAAAAGAAATTCTTTCAAAATCATTAGGTATCAGGTGGAAAGACGCCCACAACAAAAACAGCGAAAACCGCTCCAAAAAAGGCAGCACCAAAAGATTGTAAAACATACAACGATGTACTTGAATACTTTAAATCAATGGAACCGATTACAAAGGATGTTGAATTTCACGATAATTGGTTTGATATGGAGCGTGTACTCGATTTGTATGACTATGCTGAGTCAGATATGTGTGGCAAAGATCTTAGCAGTGTGTTGAATACCATTGTTGAACAAATTCGTGGACTTGGTCTTGCATTTGAAGGCGTTAATTTGGATGCGGGACATCCGAATAGCGAGAAAGAACCAACACCACATGAATTATTCGTTAAGAAAAAGAGTTTTTTTGAAGGTGCAAAAGCAACACCACATCTTAAAAAATTGTGCCCATTGATGAATACCTTGTATGCAGGACATCAAAAATATGAGGCCAATCTTTTGAAATGTTATGATCATTTGGCATCGAATTATACACCGAAATCCATTGAAATAAATGTGTTGGTGAGCTCATTGGCAGACGTTTTGAAACCAGCTTTGAAAGCTAACACAGCGATCGATTCAAAATCAACTGAAGAAGCAAAGAAAATTGCTCAACACATTATCAATAAACTCAATGACGTTCGTACTTTCATGAATTCATTCATTGGCTGTGCCGAAAAAGAAGTGACCACGATGAAAAAGCAACATCATGAGTTTAACACCAAATTCAATGCAATTAAATAAATTGACCATCAATGAATTCACTGATGTTCTATAATATTATGAAAGCTAACATTTGATGTAAAGAAATAAAATGATCGATTTTATATCGGGAAACACGGTGGGTTTTATTTTTTTGAAACAACTTCAATTTGAGATCAAGTATAAAACACACGTTTTGAACAATTCGAACAATTTTATGAAAAAAGCGAAATTTGAGAACCGAATAACAAACTGTGAAAACTTATTTAATCCAGAGAAATGGGAATTTTGTTTGCGCCAGATAACACATGTACGTTAGAAATGTACGTTTATAGTCATCTCATTCTATAGCAATTTTGCATGCGTGGTTGAAGTCTATAAAAATAAACTTATTACTTATATCTGGATTAGTTGAGGTGGAGCCGCTATTGATTCTTAAGAAAAAACGTATTCCTTATTATTGAAAAACTATTGAAAATGAAGTTTTTAATCTTTAGTTTTGTGAGTCTTGCGATTCTGGTTTGTGATTTCCCATTTCTGAATTTTCTGTGGATAATATTATAAAATTAATCAAAATTTGTTTTTTTTTTATTAAAATTCAGGCAACTGCCTATGGTGGCAGTTCTGTTTCCGTGGATAGAAATGCTCATTTTGAAGTAATGGAAAGTGTTTGGGATGATATTGTTAAGGAAGATTACTTCGATATGGATCTTGCAATTGATCTTTACGACTATAAAGAAACTCCATTTTGTCCTACTGATTTTGGCAATGATATTGAAGAAATTGTTGGAAAGATTCAACAAATTAGTCTGGCGCTCAACGAAATTAATGTGGATGTGAGAAGAGAAGCAGATTTTGTGCGACCAATTCTGCGAAGCTTATCTAATGGTGCAATGACAGCCACCACAAGCGTACAAAAATGTGTTACATCAGCGAAAAAACTCTACGATGCCTACCAAAAATATAGATCAAGTGTATCGAATTGCTACAATGGCTGTAAAGCCAATATGAAATCAATAGCCGTGGAAGTAAATCAATTATTGGGTGGATTGGTTGATGTTATCAACAAAGGATTGAAAATGGGAAAACCCATCGATTCTGAAACGATTCAACACAAAAAGCCAGACATTCAACAACTTCTCCAAAAAATAGATAACTTTCACGATTTCATGGATTCAGTTTTGACATGCTCACAGAAAACTATAACAACATATCTCACAGTGCAAAGTGAATTTAATTCTTTGCTTTCTAACGTTAAATCATTCAAATAATGTAGTTTTTTTTTTGAATAAATGAAGAATAAAGATATACAACAATTTAATTGATTTTTTCATGTATAGACATAGATTTGCATTACGTAAGTCTGCAAATTTGGATTACTCACAAATTGTAGAAGTTTTAGTAGTAATTATGTCAAAAAATAATAGTATCAGCATCGTTTGATTTCATGCTATATTCTGACTGATATTAGCTGAATTTAAGTTAAATTACAAATAATATAAAAATGGACGTACGTTGCTTAAGTTGACAAACGCAGGTTGTAATTTGGAGTGAATAACTATCACAATAAAAAAATATAGAACAAAAAATGGCGAAAAAAGTTATCTTTGAATGCGAATCTCCAATTGTGAGATCACACGAATCATTTGAATAAAAAAAAATTATTATTATTCATCGACAAATTTCACATTGTGAGACTCACAATTATTTGTCACCATTTCATCTATTATTTTGGAAGAATGTTATGAAAAATTATATTAATGACGAAAAAAGTTATGATTACTTTACACAGAAGACAAATAATTTTTTTTTTTGGCAAATTCCATTAGACAAAGGGTGTCATAGAAACTGGGTCTTTTCTTCATATGCTATAGAATAATTTTTTACTTCAAAGCACGAAGTTCTACAAAAATTTCACGTGTCTGTTGCCTATAAAATTAATGCGTAATACTGTTTTTACATCAGTTTAGTTTGTGTGACTATCAATTTCAAAACAAACGGTTTTTTTATAGAAGAAAATGAAATTATTGATTCTTTGCATTTGGGGATTTACGACTCTTGTATGTGTACTTGTTTTCATGATGTTTTTTTTTAATTTAAGCAAATTAATGAATATTTTTCTCTTTTGAAATTAAGGTCATTGCAAATGGTGGTGAAGTCTCCGATTCCAAAGATGGAAAATCCAAAAGCGAATTGATGCAAAAAGTTTGGAATGATATTATTAACGAAAATTACTTCGATATGAATCGAGTTCTTAATCTTTATGATTATAAGGATTCGAAATCGTGTCCAAAAGATCTTGGCAATGACATTGAAGAGATTGTTGGAAAGATTCAACAGATTAATCTTGCACTCAACGAAATAAATTTAGATGTGAGAAAAGAGACCAATTTTGTACTGCCACTCGTTCGGAACCTTTCAATGGGCGCAAAATCAACAAGCCCAATCATACAGAAATGTGTTAGTTCGGCGAAGACACTTTTCGATGCCTATCATAATTACAAATCTAATATGTTGTTTTGTTACGATACTTGTAAGCCACATTTTAAAGCAATCTCCGAAGAGGTGAATCAACTTATGGCTGAATTGGCTGAGGTGATCAACAAAGGAAATGATTTGAATCCGGCATCGATTCAACACAAGAAGCAGAACGTTGACAAACTTATTACAAAAATTAACGATTTTCGTGGTTTCATGAATCTGTTTATGAAATGCACTGAGAAGGCCATGACCATTTTTCAAAAAGTACAGAATGAATTTAATACAATAATGTCGACAGTTAATTTGACTTCAAGATTGTAAAACATGATTTTTTTAATGAAAAATAAAGTATGCAATATTTGAATGATGTAATGTTGTAAATTGTCATTTTTTTCAATTTAAGATAATTCCTCGTTGTAAAGAATAAATTCCAAACTATGTTCAATATATTTTATAATTACGTTTCTAAGAACTGTGAAGTCCATAGCACTTTTTTTGGCAATGAAATTTCGTTCGTAAACAACACATCGACAAAGATCATCTTCGAATAGAATATCTAATGAAAAATTCGCATGGCGGTGATAAAAATGAGATATCATGATGAGATCACCACATTGGTTTAAGTTTTTAAATTAAACAAATATTTAGCTCACAATGTCATAATTGAAGCAAGTTTTTAAACTACGCATTAGAAAGAAAACGACGACGTACGAAATTCTACAACTGTTTTGGTAAGCTCATAACAGAAAATGGAATTTTTATTCGCGTCAAATTATATTATTTATGTCTAATCACATTACACGTGGTGAAAAAGAATTACGGCCTATAAATCAACGTGGCCGAATGTCTGTATCAGTTCAGTCTGAACTATATTTTAATCGATAATGTGAAACTTATTTTACCGAATTTAGTACGAAAACTAAATAAAAATGAAGCAGTTGATTATTTGCATTTTAAGCTTTGCAGTTTTCGCTTGTGTAATTGTGTTTTCATCACCATATTATAAAATTCTGAATAATATTTGCATATTTTTCTTTCAAAATCTAGGGAGCATTTCTTGAAGATAATGGAAAACTAAATGAATTTCGTGAAATGCAAAGTGTTTGGGATGATATCATTAAAGAAAATTTTTTCGATTTGGAACAAATACTCAATCTGTATGATTTTGAAGAATCGTCAATATGTCCGCAAGATTTAAGAGAGGATTTGAAAGAAATTACCGAAAAAGTTCATCATCTCAGTCTTTCGCTCGATGGAGTTAATACAAATGCCAAAAAAGAAATGACTTCCTTGCGACCATTTCTGCGAAGCTTATCGGAAGGTGCAAGAACAACAAGCAATAGTGCATACAGGCTGTTTTCAGGCTACAAAGTCTATCGGAATCTTATGTTGGAATGTTATGACAGTTGTAAACCCAATCTCCAGTCGATATCAACAGAAGTGAATGAATTATTGGGTGAGTTGGTTGACGTAACGCACAAAGGCATGGAATTATCAAAACCAATTGATGATGCAACGATTCAACATACGAAAAAAAATGTACAAAAAGTTCTCATAAAGTTAGAACTTTTTCGAAGTTTCATGAGCGCATTTTTCAAATGCACTCAAAAAGCAGTCGCTGTATATCAGAAAGTGCAAGAAGAATTTATTTCAATTTTTGGTAAAATCAGATCATCTTTGTAATAAAATTGATTTCTGATGCGGAATAAAGATTACGTGATTCATTTGAATACCCTTACAGTTGAAGTTTTTCACTTGTTTCCGTCTTTTGTTGCAGTTTGCATAAGTTCGGTGTATTTTCCATAAATGATGTTATACTTTGTTTGAAAATGCGCACATATTCAATAGGAGTGTTGCATTACCGCTCGTTGACGTTTTTCGTTTCGATCAAATGTTTGTAGGTGTACGATGCGCAACTGCATGTGTCGGCAAAATAAATGAATGTGGATAAAGTACGAATGTGTGCGTAAAATGTATTTTTTTTAGTCAATGATTCTGAACGTACACCGGTTGACGGAAAAGGTCAATTGAACTAAATAGCTTATAGTTGATCATATAAGTTTATACCACATACGATGCATATAAATGGCATTTTATATAAATTATAAACAAGTGAGTACAAAGTTTGCACAATCAAAGTGCCTTCGTTATTATTTTGTGTCGGCATTCATAATTTTACCCCATTCACTTTGTTCGCATGAATGATGGTGATTGCAAACTACGCAATTGTTGAGCAACCACGAAACAAATAAAAAAAAGTATATGTGAAATGTTCCTTTTGACAAAATGCCGAAATCGAGCTAATGAATCAATGTGATTAGAGTGTGTTTACGAAACTAAGCAACTGCACAATATGCAATTACTTCGTGTAAATGCACATACACACACAAAAAAGAACAAACTGAGTCAAATCACGTTTTGTGCTGATTTGGTAGATACATGAAATATGGGCATAATATGGAGACTAATCGGACAGTATCTTGTTGTTTACTCTGTTCGAAATGATGGCAAATAGACGCAATTAGATTACACATTTTAGTTGACTCGATATGTTCACGAACTGTGTGCTGTTTGACAAATACACAGTCAATTTGATGACATAAATATGAATGGTATTTTGAATCTATTACAAAAATATGCATGACATTCATTCGACGGAAAGACGCTGGCGAGAGAAATGCAAACACATCAATACATGCATTTTAGTATGATTTCATGCATTTGAGTTCATACACACACTCACACAATGATTGTTATTCACAAAACGCATTACGATTAGAGAGAAGGGGACTTAGAATCGACGATTTTCTCTTTTTTATTACCTTTTTTCGCTCTCCCCATTTGCGAATTCTGAGAAAAAGTAAAACATTTTATTGGTCGTTTGGATGAGAAACACGAAATAGTGCCATTCTAAAATTGATAAGACTTTTTCTAATTTCTATTTGAAAGTCAACCGAAAAATAAAGCAACAAATTAACTTCAACTTGACATTATTACTTCATCTTTTCTAAAGACGTGCGTGATGTTGTTGTTGTACAATACATATATACACATTCGTACGAAAGTCATTGTAAATTGCCATTTTTATTCGCCGTAGATTCCATGTAATTTCGTGTGTATTTGGAACATTGGCGTTCACATCGTTTTCTTGTCTTTCTCTCGTGTTCTCATGCACACACATATGTGACATTTTCGGTTATCGTTGATTCGTCTTTTACCTCATTTTCGGCACGATTGAAACAACACACGCATTGTTGTTGTGGTTGGCCGTCTCACAAAAAAATTCTTTTAAATTATCAATAAAATTGACCATACTGAAATGACTCGGTGGTGAGTTATTCGATGTGAATGTTATCGTATTTTTTTCTCTTTTCTTTAGAAAACATATATGTCATACATGGAATAATTTCATTGAAACACAGATTTCATGCTCATTTTCATACCCGGAACACTCGCAATGCATTAATATATGATGAGTGTGTGTGTGGTATTTTTGTCTCGTTGTTATATTTGTCGCATACACAAAAGTTGCATTTTGCACTTTATGTTTCTGTCAAGATACGGAGATTATTTCATTTGGGTGCGGACGACGTATCGTCATGACTAATTTTCTTCTTTCGGTTTTATTTTTTATCTTTTTGCATTCAACTCTCCACTTCATTTATCATTTTTCAGAAAGTAAGATAAAGAAAATGAAAATGTGTGCGCGTTTCCTGTTCAATTGACTACTTACACAATGCTGTTTACTCTCTTTCTCTGTCTATCTCTTTCTTCCGAATTTATTTCGATCGTTTTAAATTTGTTTTTGATTTGCATACAAAATTAATGTACACATTTACATCACACTCGAATTGTTTCATTTGATATGGAAAAGTCACCGCACAAACACTTCATCGAAGAAGACGACAGAAATAAAAAAAAAAACAACAACTAAATGTTCACCTTTTTAAATGCACAAATACACCAAATAATTTCTTTCTACCGAATCGATTTATTCCATGAATGAATTTTATTTTTTATTTCATCGTCGAATCACAAATCACTGGTCGAGGTTTTTCGAATGTTTCACTCAAATGTGGGTAATGTTTGATATAGAAATCTTTTTTGCAGGCAACTCAGACACAAAAAAAAAAATTAAATTCGTTTTTTTTTCTTATGAGAAACTCCGCACATCACCTTAAGTTTTGTACTGTTGTATGCATTATACAATACATTACTAATACAACGGGCTGCTTGTTTGTATGAAGATACAATGACGGCCGCTGCTGCTGTTGCTGTATACGAGGCAAAAAACCAACAACAATAACTACTATGCGAGAGATTTTTTATTGAGCCCGAGTGAAAGAGTGTAGTTTTTTGTGCGCGTGTATTGGTGTCTGTGTGTGGCGTGCACAAATATTGAACGCTGTACGTGTACACCTATTTTCTGCCAGCATATTTATGGTGTGTTGTGTATGCGCGCGTATGCGTGTTTCGATGTATGCATGTACTGAACCTCTTGAGAATTGGATAGAATCAAGCAGAAAACATGGAGATTTTACGGCGAATTCGGATAAATTGCATTCAATTTTATCCCATTGAAATGGGTGTGTGTGAATGAATATTTATTATAAAATTCCAATCATCAATGACTTTTGCAAAAAATTGTTGTCGGATGTGTCATTCAACTGGTGCTACAAATTTTTCTCATTGAGTTTTCAGAAATTGTTCAATGCCGCCGCATTTATTTACACCATGGTTAACCTAAAATATCGTTTTGGATAAAAAGAAGAACACGGCGACGTGATGGTAACACCATCGCATATTTCTCTCTCGTGGTATTTGATTATAATTTCTGACTTGCCGCATGATAGCGCTTTTATTCCGTTTTAAATCAATGCGGGGAACATTCAATTAACTCATAACATTTTTGTTAGAAATGTTGTTTGATGATCATTTCCGATGAGCAACATTGCATGGTTTCCTTTAAATCTATTTAAGTATGAAATGAAAGTATTCGCGATGCATGAATCCGGTCGTTTTCAAATATCTATTCGAAATGTATGTAATTTGATCAGAAAGAAAGATTCAATTTCGGAAGACTTATAACTCATCTGTATTGAGTAGAAATAAAAGATTTTGGCATCGGGAGACATTCAGCCTGGCGAATCAAATTACAACACGTTGAATGCATTTTGTTTAAGTATACAATTTTAATCCTATGTATTTCAGCGTAAAATTCTCTTAAATGTAATCTCATTACAATGTTTTTTTTTTAAATATAAATATACCTAATGAATAAAAAAGAATGGAAAAGGTACAATGAACGGAACAAAAGAAGTCAATTTAATGTTTACTCCATATTTTTTATTTTCGTCTCAAAAATAATAAAGACAATAATTGAAACTAAATATTGAATATGGAAATGCATTTGAATCGAAACCATTGGCATTGACATTTGATCGTGGGTGTTTTGTGTGTACTTTTATAACAAAATACGTGAGAAAATGCAACAATAGAATGGCTTCTTTTGATGATGAGCACATCTTAACGAGATGCTGAGACTGACACTTGCCATACACGGATGGTGTTGTCACTGTATCCAGCAAACAAGGTTTGACCATCGGTCGACCAGGCGAGCGACAAACATTGTGGTGGATCGGCCTTTTGTGTTTGCGAAATGACTTCTGGACGAAGTTCTTCGACGGTTTTCTTGCATGCCAAATCCTATAAAAAATATAAAGAAAACGAATATCGTAATTAATCATCAAGCTTACTTGAAAAGAATATTAATTTGTAAAAAAAATACTGAAAACTTCAAATATTTGAATGTTTGACTAGACAGGTGTTATACTTCGAATTGAATATCGGAATACAACGTTTAAAAGCCAAATTTCAATCTGGCATCTTGGTTGAGTAGTCCGAAATGTGGGAATTTTTCATAAACGGACCGTGGAGTGAAATCAATGCCATTTCAAATTGATTTTTTACTTCGACTATAGTGATGAATGCAAATATTTTTAATGAAATTTGCACATTTTCTTTGAAAAATTTCATTCAAAGAGAAAAATCACAGTCAAATATATGAAGATTTGCTTGAGTGGATAGAAATGTTTGACTAGACAGGTGTTATATTTCGAATTGAATATCAAAATACAACGTTTAAAAGCCAAATTTCAATCTGGCATCTTGGTTGAGTAGTCCGAAATGTGGAAATTTTTCATAAGCGGACCGTGGAGTGAAATCAATGCCATTTTAAATCGATTTTTCCTTCGATTAAAGTGATGAATGCAAATATGTTCAACGAAATTTGCACATTTTCTTTGAAAAATTTCATTCAAAGAGAAAAATCACAGTCAAATATTTGAAGATTTGATTGAGTTGATAGAAATGTTTGACTAGACAGGTGTTATATTTCGAATTGAATATCAAAATACAACGTTTAAAAGCCAAATTTCAATCTGGCATTTTGGTTGAGTAGTCCGAAATGTGGAAATTTTCATAAACGGACCGTGGAGTGAAATCAATGCCATTTTAAATCGATCTAAGTTGGAGACTTACCCAGATTTTGATTGATGGACCGTATGCAACGCACAACCAGTAACGGTTTGGTGAGAAGCAGAGAGCGTTGATGCTGTCATTGTGGTCCAATGTGTGCAAATGTTTGCCATCATTGAGATCCCAGAGCAAAGCTTTGGTGTCTTTACCACCGGATGTGCACAATGAACCGTCTGGTGAAACGGTAACAGTGTTCAAGTAACCGTTGTGACCTTTGTGGTTGATCTTAAGTTTGCAGTTGGCCAAATTCCAGACCTTGACGGTACGATCCCAACCGCATGACACGATGATTGGGTTGGAGTGGTTTGGTGAGAAACGAACGCATGAAACCCAGTCAGAGTGACCTTCGTCTTGGATGGTGTATTTGCATTCGGCCAAAGTGTTCCACAACTTGATGGTCTTGTCACGTGATCCAGACACGATTTGACGATTGTCAGCACTGAATGCAACTGACAAAACATCCTATATTGTTCAAGTAAAGAAATGGAAAAAAAATACCGATTAGTACAAATTGTACTGGAAATAAAGGAAATGTTGAATTTTGTATTTGTTTACGTGAAACGAATTGAAAAACTCCTGATACTTTTTTTTTACAAAAATTAAACTTACGTAGAATTATGGACGCCACACGCGCGTTCCACATAGGTAGAAGCCATGTTTTGTTCTTCTGCCACTCCGAAGAGATGGCTCTTACAAACTAAGTATTGGCACCACACTCAATCGAACAATCAAAAGCTTCAGTCCAATGGTTGTGGAAAGAAGACACTTTGATTACGACTGGTGCTTGTAATGTGCTCTTTTGATTTTTTAAAATGCAAATGTTTCAACAATTTGCATTTGTTATGCGATTTTTAACCGACGCGTTGCTCAATTTTCTCGTTTTCAACGAAATTTTGGAAATCTTTTTTTCACCTTTGTATGGTCCTTGAAACGGCGGGTTGTCTTTCCAGCAGCCAAATCCCAGAGACGCAAAGTCTTGTCCCATGAGCCAGACAAAGCGTAGTTACCATCAGATGACAAAACAACGTCACTGATGAAGTGCGAGTGACCGTACAAACGTTTTTGTGGGATACCATAGTTGGTTTCGTCACGAGTCAATTTCCATACGATCAATGTCTTGTCTACACGAAACGAAAAAAAATGATTAAATTATGGATTTTTTTTTGGAAAATCTTTTTTAAATTTACATCAAAATTGCATATTTTATCGATATTCGTTGAAATTTGAATGTTTTAATGAAGGATGTTCAAAATATTTAACGATGGTTTTTAAGAACTTTGTTGAATGGAACGTGGTACCATTTGACAGATTGCTTCAATGTTCACTACCGGCACACGATTTTCAAAGTATTTATTTTTTGGATTTTTTCGAAAAAATTACTTACCACGAGATGATGACAAGATCATATCAGGGTATTTTGGGTTTGTTGCGATCTGGGTAACCCATCCGCTGTGTCCCAAAAGGGTTCCACGACGTTGAAGTGTTTCAGTCATTTTTTTTGTTCTAGTTTCGTTTAAAAAACTTCAATTCACGTCTGTTCACTTTCAAAGCGAATCAAAAAAGAAAGACGACAGCGCTACCACTGACACATCAGTCGTCGCACAATGAATTCGCCTAGCACAATAATCGGTACAGTGTGCACCGATGCGAAATGCCGATAGTGACATTTTACAATACAATGAAAACAATAAGAACAACAACTAAGCTGTCAGCTATGAACAAATGCAATCGATGAATTATTCATCTAAAAATAAATGAATGGCAAATTCATCATTTCATGACTCACAAAAATTGTTTTCTTTCATAATTATTTTCATGGATTTTTTTCAATCTAAAATTGATTCATGAATTTTGGTTTTGAAAATTCGAATTGAATTTTCATTGAATTCATACACAATAACCGTTTAAACTGGTTTTTTCATTCTTCTTTTTTTAGTGATGCCACTGCATCGCTGCGAATGTTCTTCATTGTTGTATGTAGCAGTGTTGCTAGCATCAAGAATTGCGCGCGCATCATTCATTTGTCTCGTTCCATCTTCGGTGTGTTCGATGTCTGTGTGTGAGTGAAAGAATTCAAATATACAACTTTAAAGTAGCAGCAGCAGCACCCATAAGCTCGTGTTACAAGCCAGGCCAAGTAGGCAACGCCGAAAAATTCCGTTCAAGTATACAGGTTTGTGTGTGTATGTATATCGGTCGGTATATTCTGAATCGTGTTTGTGTGAAATCGGTGAGCGTAAGAGAGTGCACACGAAACGAATGCGAAAAAGAGATGCCTGACGTCATGTAGTATGTAGTATAGTGTAAAATAAAATTCAGCCATTTTGTTTGAAGTGTGGTTTAATCTAACATCGTTCGTGCGGAATTTTTTTTACGAAAAAAGTAAAAAAAAATCAAACAAAATTTAGTTGAACTTTTATTAAAACAACCAATACGCCAGCAAAAAAAAGTCGCCTTCATTTTTTTGTTTAAGATTCTTTTTTTCAGTTTTAAGAAAAGTCTAATTTTGTTATTTGGTTTTAATACACTTTTTTCAATCGACTCCGAAGCAGCAAAACGCGATACAGTTAAGTTAGTTGTGTAAAGGAGACGAAATTTTTTTGCACAGTAACGCGAGACAAATAGATTTTACCCAGCAAAAACGAAACGAAAAGAGAATATTTCGCGATCACCTACAGTTCAAAGTGTTAGCCAAAGTGTCGAAAAATAAAAAAGAATAAGAAAAAAAATTTCTAACTTTCGCATTTGAGCTTAATTTGGGAAGTGAGAAAAATTTCAAAAGAAAAAGAAGAAGAACAAACGAACAAAAAAAACCCAACACACTCAACATATACATAGATATTTCAAAAATATTCGAGACGAGACACCGACAAAAAGAAATTTTCACATCTTTTTCAGCATTTTTTTTGTTCGTTTTAAAATCACATACACGCACCAAACAATAAATTTTGTTATCGATCGCGACGATTCAATCGAGATTTTTTTTACTGAAAATTAAACACACACATACATACAGTATATAAACCAACGCAATCCGACCAAAAATATCCTAACCAATCGTCATTTCAATTTTAAATACAACAATATTCTGTTGATTTTTTTCGTCCTGCTTCAATCAAATCAGTTTTAATTCAAAAGTGCGACAAACATGGAGGATAAAGCAACGCTTAAAGATCTAGACCAATTTATCGAGCAGCTTAATGAGTGCAAACAATTAACAGAGACGCAAGTGAAAACGTTGTGTGATAAGGTAAATTGTGACGAATTTTTCATTTTAAATATCGAAAAACATTGATCCAATTTCAGGGCCCTGTCATCGATTCGATTCTTTTATTTTACAACAACAACAACAAAAATCAATCGTATATACACAATCAGCTCATCAACAGCGTGACACAATCACAGATATAATTATTGATTAATTGATTCGACGAGATATACAAATAGATGTGTAATCCAAGCATTAGGGCGGTACTTCTGGCAAGATTAAGTCTATCATCGTGTAAAGATAAATAGACAAACATGTCATCAAAAGACACACAAATTAGAAAAAAATCTACATACATTTATAAGTGAGGCCGAAGCATTGAGATAACGACATGACAAAATTGTTAGGGAACACACAGACACAGGGTGTGTGTATTATATTATATCGTCGATAAAATAATAACCTGATTTTTCAGCTCAATTTCGTGTTCTGTCATGGTTGCAACCACAGAGACCTTTCTTCTTCTTTTTCTTCTTCTGATTTTTGCCAAATTGTCGTTTCTTTCGCATACTTGGACCGTATCATATTATTCGTTTGTATATGATGCTACATATAGTCGAGCATAGCCGCCGTGTGTTCTCCATCCAGAATTTGTTCTTTTTTTATTATATTCGTACATCATCACTACTACCAATGCAAAATGGAGATACAATGGAGATACATAAAATGAGGCACGCATCACAGATTTATTATATATATGTGCACACATGGTGAACAGTCACAATTCGTTCAAATTGTGTAAATCTATGCAATCACCGGGCTGAATGATTTTTAATGCAAAAAATTGTTTTGTTTTTTCTTTAATTTCATGGAATTGCGTGTAACGTTGTTGTTGTAGTTTTTGGTATATTTTCGAGTGTGATAGATTGCTTGTTATGATGCTGGAACGTTGCGTAAAATAATAGACAATTTGAAATAAGTGAATATTAATCAGATTAACAAATATTTGAACCTTGAATTGTGTTAATTTACCTTCTTTTCAACCAATTTTTCGTCGATTAAAGTAGTTTTACTGTGAATACCGCGTAAAATATCGTTTTTTTCTCTTTTTTGTTTCTTTCTTTTTCTATTACGTTCGACGAATGTGCGATGCTCGTAAATCGATCGTGCATGATTTTATTGAGATGTATTCATGATTCAGACTAAACAGAAAACAAGAAATCATTTCATTCGAAAACAAAGAAAGAAATATAGATTTCAGAGAACTATGTCAGTTGTTTTGCATGACTCAAACAAATGTCATTATTTCACAAGAAGCGGCAGCAGCAAAAAATAAAGTATGTACAAGTACTGTGGCAAGAAACCGCTTTTTAAATTTCATTTAAAGACGTTTGCACATCAAAACGGTGATAAAAAAATTGTGCTAAAATGTTTTAATTGTCATGTCAAAACATCGCTGAATTATCGCTTTGCAATGCATAAATGCCAAAATGTTAAAAGACCATTTGTTATGTGCATATTTTCATGAAGACGAGTGAGCCGGAATTCGATCAGAATGCATATTTTTTTCTTCATCAAAAAGAAAAAGCAATTTCCGTCACATGATATACGATTTGCAGCATAATTTTCAATACAAATGTGATGACACAAAATGAGACATCCGCGACGTTTGCCAACCACGTTGTCACAATCGTATGAATTTCATTCAGTTCCGTTGTGAATGTTCGAGGACATCGACGATATCATTATGTTTGCTGCTTTTACAGAAATTGAAAATTGAAAGGGATATTATTCTTTTTTATTACAGTTGCTTCGTAATTATGCTGGACTATTAAATTTTTCAATTTTCTGAATTTTGCATGCTAGAAGCTAAATAAACTGAATGTCATTTCGGTACAAGGCGCCGTATCAAAAATAGCAAAAAGACACCGGCGAATGACACAAATGAAAAATACACCATCATTCGAATGATTGAATTTTTTTTTATTGAATTTTTCATTGATTCGTGCTGTTGTTTCAATTCGGTGCAAACAAGCTCAGGTTCTATGTAATGAATGACGACGATATCATGTATTTGTGCGCGCGTGGAAAGGTACGAGTGGATACCTTTTTACATGTTTCTTTTTATTTTCTTCGTTCTCTCTTTCACTCGTCACATTCGCTGTCACATTGTTTCGTCGTTTTTATCTATAGCGTTTTCGTGTATTTATACACATAAATTGAATCGTTCGAATTGATTGTCGAACGCGCTTGTGCGATAATATACAATGATCATAAGTGTGAACAGTAATAGCAAGGTCAATGAGCAGAGCAGCATCCTTGTGCTGTGCACACAAGTAATTGAATAACATAGAAAATTTAATGCCATATATTCATGGTTTCAATCGCACTATTCAATAATAATAGTGTGTCAATTCGCGCAGTGCAGGGTAATTGAAAATGCAATTTGATATTCGATCGCACTACTTTGTCCGTTGTTTGCCTTGTTGTCGTTGTCATTGGTGGCCCTCAGGTACATATAGAATCGATTACGCAAATACTTGCAATCGATTCAGCTAACGCAATAAATGATTTTAAAAATCCCACAAAAGATAACCGTATCAATAGAATGCAAGGGAGTTAAATGACTTGAAACAAAGCGACGTTTAATTGACTATTATTATTGGCTTAATTTAAACAATTGTAATCTACTTGTTGGTTCCATTCATTTGCACATAAAAAAATAGACATTCGTTAATTGGTTCTTGGTAGTGAATTTCCGTAGAAGATATGTTTGTTTGCGAAGACGCGAAAAAAATGCATGAACGCGCTTAACAATGGCGTCGTTTGTATACGTACAGTGCTAACTGCGATGCTTCAAGTCAGTTTCAAACATATCAAGCCAGACAAGAATATCATCATTCATTTATACAGTTTAATATTATTTGATTCTCTCTCTCTTTATGTGTTTTTGTGCGATTTTCGATCGACTATTCATAAATAGGCATGAGAATCGACAACTTTGAAATGAAAAACCCTCATGTGTTATGTCGTGTTTTTTTAAAAATGTGTATAGATGACACATACGCATATATAAAGTATACGAGAAGAAAACTCAAACTGTGTAAAACAGAATTATTCCATTTTGCACATTATCTCATTCGTAATTAGTCATCAATTTATATGAATTTGGGTAAATGTGGCTCCAAAGTCATACTAACGATTGCATCAGCAATAAACCGGTGTATTAATTTCGTTACAACGAATAAAAACAAAAAATTGCTTTTGTTTTCTAAATCGCAAATTAAGTCGACTCAGTTGCACTTCTGTCTAATTTTTTTTTTGCTAAATAGTAAATCAGCGCAAACGAATTGCAATTCCTGTAATGAGTCAGTCGAAGCATTTCAAGTACGGTGCTCAGTGAGTACTGTTCACACTATAAATGAACAACAAAAATCAATATTGAAAATAAGGTGCAAAGGTGAAGACGAAGCTCGTGTGTGATATACAAATAAGATTTTACACTTTGATTCGTTCGCATGTTCGATCTGTGTGTATTTTTATAACCGAAAATTTATTTTCGAATCGAGTGCTATTTTTAGAATTGCAATGATTCAGCACGGATTTCCTTTCGGATGCGGCTACAACAATACATACGAATTGAAGTACTCTCGATCGTGTTTCCTTCGCATTCGTTTAATTTTCAAACTCGAAGGCTTCGAAAAAAGATTTTATCGCTATTCGACGATATATTTATCGCCTAGAAGGAAACGAAATGACAACGACCTTCTTTTCTGTTCTTTTTTGCACACATTGCAAAAACGTGTCACCAAATTGTCTTTTCGTTTCATTTTTGAAACAATTGGTTTTTTCGTACATTTTAATTGCTTTTTTTAAAAAGTGTGACAAGCCACGGGGCAAAGTAAGCAAAGAAATATCGTACATTGTTCAACAATTTCGAATTGTGTCCATAGTGTGGGCAACGTGATCACAATACGAAAAACAGAAGACAAAGTTAACATACGCGCGAACATACGCACACACACACACGATCACGTACATGTCTGACTGAAACGCTGCGGCGGACAAAGGAAACTAAACGAATGTTTTCACTCTACACCATTGCATGTGGCCAATTTAAATTTTTCGATGTACTATGTTCAGATAGGCGCGTCGTCTACCTCATTTTTAGCGAAAATAACAAAAGAAAGAGAGAAAATAAGACATAGAAATAGCGCTTAAAAATAGGAAAATATTCGCGAATAATCACAATACCACTGTTTAGTTACGGCATTTTCCGATTCATTATGTTTTCAATAGACAAAATGCAGAGGAGCGAAAGTGCGAATTTAAGAAGGAGCAATAACAAGGGAAGAAAGAGAGAGAACGAAATCATTTTCATGTGTGCCATAGGCATTCAGTATTGTCAGTCGTTCGACTAGCTCTCGTATTATGCAAAGTCGTGCGAGAGGAAAAGAGCAAATGAGGAAATTAATTTCGTTGAAAACTATTCAAATCGGTCGTTTCAATTTAATTCACACAGATGTTGTGTATTGTGTTGCTTGTCGCAGCCGACAACCCGTGTTCAAAAGACAACAACAGTAACAGAGAGATACTGCGGCAAAACACAAAAGCCCAATGCTATTTTTAAAATCATTTTGCAATAAAAATAAATGAACATTTTGCCAGAGCATGATTTTTATTTATTAAATAATGAAGAACGCACATAATATATTTTATTTACTGGAATTTTATTATCAATTTCATCGTTGAAAGTTAAATAAGCCATTGTCAGTGTGTGCTCCAAAAAAGTCGTGTTAAAAATGAGTTAAAATGTCAAAAGTTTAATGTGGCGTTTTTAAAGTTGATGGTGTACTTAAAATGAATGCCACAAATTGCATTGTTTATTTTTTTACCACACTCAAGTCAACGTTATTACATACATTTCGTTGATTATGTTTACTACGTTTAACCACTTCATTTTATACGAGTGTAAGAGAGCTGTAGTGAAGTATGTGACATGATATGACACAAAGATTAGAAAATCGCTTAAGTTTGCTTAAACTTCGACCCGATGCAAATTACACGTAGTATATAAAAAATTGCATTCGCTCACTCTGGCGTACACAATGCGTTGAAATGCTCTGTCGAGCAGAAATAGCAAAGGGATGTCACCGCCTAAAATTATATCTCCGCGTATACACATTTCTCAATCTTGCAAAATAGGTCAATTGTAAATTCGTAATTCAACGACAACAACAACTGCACAAGTATTTATACATATTGTGTGCATTTAAAATGAATGTATTCGCGTTGATTGCAACATGGAATATACATCCTCCTCGACAAAAATTCAAATGAAATAAATGTCCATCTTGACAAAAATAATACAGACAAACGTCAGGGTTTTCTATTTACAGCACTTTTTTCCACGTCGAGGGTTTAAAGTAAATTTTCTACTAATGATTAGTTGCCTAGCAATGCTGAGTATAACAATTATCAAATATGTTGAGAGTTGTTTTGATTTGTGTAGCTTTTATCACATGCCGCTGTGCAAATTCTATACTGTAAATTTGTTCGCGTAACGAATCGAATGACGAGCCCTTATTTTGAAACCAATTAAATAATTTTGTTTGAATGCCAATTAACCCGCTGTTTTATCTATTTTCTGTATCTTCTCTAGGCAAAGGAAATTTTATCAAAAGAATCAAATGTGCAAGAAGTGAAATGCCCGGTGACAGTATGCGGCGATGTTCACGGTCAATTCCACGATTTAATGGAATTGTTTCGGATAGGCGGACGATCACCCGATACAAATTATCTATTCATGGGCGATTACGTTGATCGTGGCTATTATTCAGTAGAAACAGTAACACTTTTAGTTGCGCTTAAAGTGCGTTATCGTGAACGAATCACAATTTTACGTGGCAACCATGAATCACGTCAAATTACCCAAGTTTATGGTTTTTATGATGAATGTTTGCGCAAGTATGGCAATGCCAACGTATGGAAATTCTTTACTGATTTATTCGATTATCTGCCACTCACCGCATTGGTTGATGGTCAAATCTTCTGTTTGCATGGCGGTTTGAGCCCATCGATTGACACGCTAGACCATATACGAGCATTGGACCGGATACAAGAAGTGCCACATGAAGGCCCGATGTGCGATTTACTCTGGTCAGATCCAGATGACCGAGGCGGCTGGGGTATCTCACCACGTGGCGCTGGCTACACATTTGGACAAGTGAGTTGAAGCATTTCTTTTTTTTTTATCAAATATTGTTTTGATTTATTATTGCTTGTATTTCAATTAAATTTTTAATAAGCTATTGTTGCGTAATTAAATAAAAAAAAAATCTATTTCTTTCTTACAATGCAGGACATTTCGGAAACCTTCAACCATACAAATGGATTAACACTTGTATCCCGTGCACATCAGCTGGTGATGGAAGGCTATAATTGGTGTCATGATCGCAACGTTGTCACTATTTTCTCAGCACCGAACTATTGCTATCGTTGTGGTAATCAAGCAGCTCTAATGGAATTAGACGATTCACTGAAGTTTTCATTGTAAGTTCATATTCAGAATCAGAATAAAAGCAAACAATCGACATTTGAATTGATTCTAATGTGCATTGTGGTATTCTTTTTATTTGCAGCCTTCAATTTGATCCAGCTCCACGCCGTGGCGAACCACACGTTACACGAAGAACACCTGATTACTTCCTTTAAAAACAACAATACAATTTAACGGTAGTAATAATGTTTAATAAAAGAATACAGTTACATTTACACACCAACAACAACAACAACAACAACAACACATACACACAGCAGATAATTACAACAAAAAGCCGAATCTACTGCATATATGCATAAACAATAAATTTTCCTATCAAATTAGTGTTTATATGAAACAAGAAAAAACCTTTTGAAAAAAAAATTGAGTAAAAAAAAACAACAATAAATATTAATAATACTATCTAATTGCTACTTTAATTTTACAACTTCAAAATGCATAAGAAGAAAAATCAATTGAAGAAACAGAAAAATACGCGAAGCATTAAAAACAAATCCATCTGAAAATCACAACAAAATGTATTCGTATTTCGTAGATAAATTGAAACTGCGAAGCTGGAGAGAAAAACAAAATTGAGCAAAAAAATGAAATTTAGTAGCAAAGTTCATTTACAAAAAAAGAAGACACGAAGAAAATGGATCAAAAAATATTAGAACTTCTAGTATATTGCATAAGAGAGAAAAAAAATGCAAAATTGAATGTATGTTGATTGATCGACTGTGAATGATTTTCCTAGGTTCGTGCTAGATAACCGCTAAAAAGACTCAACTACGTGAGCAAGTTCTCTCATAAAGCGTCATTGCATGTAGTCATCGTGAACAAAAAAAAAACATTTTAATTATGCCTCATCCCAAATCCGAAACCGAATGAACATTTTACAAAAAAATGTCTTCTATTAGATAAAGAAGAATTTTCTTTGAATCGATTCATCGTTTATTGGAGATAATATAGAGGGGACATTGTGTTGCACTGAAACAGTTACAAAAGTTATTGCAATTAAAAAAAAGCAGTTGTTTATATGCACTAAGTTTTCTTTTTGTTTCAAATGATGAATGACGATTAATACACATACACACTTGCTCATTTTGAGCATTACGCAAATGTTTAGTGTAAAAAATTGTGGATTTGTGCGTAAATTAAAAATTAGCATAGACATTAGTGTCCATTAGAACAGCAACAAAACATACACACATTTTGAATTTATCAAAATCACAATTTGAAGAATTTAGAATGGTAGTCACAAGTATCGTCTCGATCGAAATCAAGTTATTTCTTTGATCGATAAATCACAAAGGAAGCAAAAGCAAAAAAAACACACATATAAAATAGGGATGTTTTCGCATTCATTAAAAAAATCAAATACGATAATACACATCTAAAACACACCAACCGCGCCATCAATTTTGCATTTTTACGGAGATATAGAAACATTATGTAACATTTATTCGAAACGTTTCAAAATGGAAAAACGTCTTCTATTGCGTCTATTTCCCTGCATTGTGTTATATTTCTGTATAATTTTCTTTTTTCTTTCTTCGACTTTTTTCCCCCCTGTTCAACACAAACACACCCATACAACATGAAAGAAAAAGAAGAAGCTGAAAAGAATGGAAAAACAAATTTTTAACTCCAAAATTATTATACAACATTTTTATTTTAAAAACTACTAATTAATTATTATTATTATACAAAAAAAAAACAACAACAACAAAAACAATTTAAATTTAAAAATTATGAATAAAGGAACTGCTGAGAATAAATAATAAAAACAATATCACGTGTATTGAGTTTTCTTTTTTTTTATTTAATGCATCGCCGGACGAACATTTTAATGAAACTATGAACAACAAAAGATTTTGATAGAAAAAATAACAAAAACAAATAAACACCACAAAGAAAATATGTTGAATTTGAATGCGCTATTTTACTTACATATTGTGGAATATTTGTTTTTCACACACCCATTAATAAATAAATAAATATTAAATTGACTAAGCGTGTTAGAGATTTCGTTTTTTTCGCGCCAAAAATGGATCGAATGGCAAAGAAATTATAATTAAATTATACAAATGATATATACATTCATATAAGAAGCATACAAACTTTTACACAAATTTACATATTAAAGTGAGACAGACAGACAGACACTGAGAGAGAGAGATCAAAGGAGAAATCATCCAGAATCAATTGAAATTAAAAAAAAAATCGAAAAAAAAAAGAATCTAGGGAAAAGCATAACAGTATGAGTTTGATCATTCTCAATATGATGAGGTCATTTCTGATGGTAAATTGCATTGCTAAATCAATCGAAATCATGGGACACAGACTCGGGTCATCTCAATCGATTTTGGTTGAGGCCAGCCAATTATCAATGCAGCCGCCTTTGATAATGATGCCATTGAGATGGATAATGATATGTTAGCCCCTTGTGCAAAATCTAAACACACATATTTGCATTAGAGGTGAACTATTGCTATATTATAAGTAACTTGTGTAGATGATTCATTTTCATTAATGAGTCAAAGAACTTAGTTGAACGTAAAATCGTTTTGAAATATTCAAAAGAAAATAACAAAATAAAACAACCAACTCAAAAAACGACACAAAACACATAAAAAATTGATGTCAAAACTGATATAAAAACAAATAAATAATAATAAAAGTGAATACACAAGTATATAATAAAATTCACTCTGGTTTTATTTTTACCTTTGGTTTGACTTTACGGAGTCCCTAATACGTGATACGGACATGTAATTGATATAATTCTGTGTCATTCGAAGCTGGAAGACTTTTCAAATTTTCTTGATGCAAACACACGATTTACAGATATTGCGCAAAGACATAGCCAGTAGAGCGTCTGACGTTTTTCATCACACATCTGAATTGAATGAAATTGAATCCTATATGTGATTATCGATTTGCATAGACAAATAACATGGAGTTCGTGGCTCAGAATTTAAAAATTATAAGAAAATTGCAGTTGCAAAATTAATGCATAATTGCTAAAGTTCGAAGAAAACTGCTGCAAAAAATGAATACATAAGCATAATTTTCCATTAAATTCGTTTTTCGCAAAATCACTATTAATCCATATGCAGTCATTCCACTTGGAATGCCAGTTTTCAACTGCTTTTGAAAGTGTACGGTTGCCTTTGAAAATGAAAATCAATTATTTGAAAGATGTTTTCATTGTGTGCATTTTAATGCATTTAGTTTCTGAATTTGTTGTGTGTAACGAAATTCAAATGTTTACACCGTTTGACATGTTCTATTCTTTTAACACAACGTATTTAGATATATCATATCGCCGAATTAACGAAATTCCAGAACATGCGTTTTATGATTTCCCCAAACTTTTGAAGGTTGATATATCTCACAAAAAAATCGTCAAAATCGATGTTGATGCGTTCAGTCCCGGAGCTCGTGTGCAAATGTTAGGTTTATCATTTAACAACATCAGTTCAGTGACATCAAAAATGTTTGACAACTTAATCGAATTGAAAGTTCTGTGTATTTCCAACAATCAACTTCAAGAAATTCCTTCGTTTATATTTCACAAAATGGCTAATCTTCAGTGCGTTGATTTTTCATTCAATCAAATCGATAATATCCATGATTTTGCATTTTTTGGTGACTATAAATTACATTCATTGAATTTGGCGCACAATCAACTCAAAAGTTTTGACGCGCGAATTGGAGAAAATGTTTATTTGAAGCGATTAGACATTTCATGGAATCAAATAACCGAGCTGAATCCAAATAACATGAAAAATCTGGCCAAATTGAAGAAATTAAGTCTTGCTGGAAATCCACTTCATCAATTGAACAAAAACACATTCATGGATTTATCGAATCTTGAAGCGTTGGACTTAACGCAAACGTCATTGTCGGAAATTGAACCAGGAACATTTTCAATGTTAAATAAACTACGTTATATCGTTTTAAATGACAACAATATCAAACGATTGGACGAAAACTCACTCCCATCATGGTCCCCACATGTTTACATCAGGAATAACCCAATCGAAGAGTTGAAAGGATTTAAGATATTCACTGACTCAGTTGAACTACTGATTACATATAATTATAAATTCAATTGCACAGACCACAATGCAACGAAATGTGAAGAATCTTATTTTAATTGTGAACAAATATGTACGCCGAATAAGAACGAACCAGATTCGGATGATTGGTTTAGCATTTCGGATAACGTTATAATGGGTGAATACGAACGAATGGATGAAAGTGGACCAAAACCACGGATAGCAGAAGAGAATGCAGACGATTTGATCAATCAACTGTCTCAAATTGGGCTATTTGGTGTGAGTCTTGGTTTCACTGTCGTGGTGCTGTTGATTTGTTTCGATCTACGTAAAATAAAGAAACTGCAAACCACCCAGACAAGTGCTGTTAAAAACAACGAAAAATGTAAAGCTTCAAAAATGAACGATATTATTAACGAATTGATTGTTTGATTTTCTCATTCCAGAATAAAAATACGAAATAAATTTTGCGTTCAAAAAATGTATACTTTTTCATTTATTGGTATTCATTTAGGAACTAAAATAATATTTACAAGGCTTATCAACAACATATGATAATTCGTATTTTATAAAAATTCAGTTTGATTCAGCGATTTTGACTAATGCTGACTATATCATTGATCGATCAATGTGTGTGTGTGTTATACTTTCGATTGTGCGAACTATTCAATATATTCGATTACAAGAATTTGTTGATACTCTGTGTATTCGCTGAATCAACAGCATTTTCTGCAAGCCAATTCATATTTAGCCAATGTTTTCTTCATATAAATAAAATCTTTGAATTCAAAGGCAATAATATTCAAATTATATTTGAATCTGTATCACTTAAATTAAAGCACATTTTGACTTCTCAACTCTACAACATTTTGCCAAACGCATAAATACTTGTGTACTTTGTCTTATATCTAAATAATAAATGTAACGTTATGAGGTGGAGCAAAAGCAGTTTGCATGTGTGATGTCGGGCAGAGATATTACATAGTTTTCTATGAAAACGATCCTAATTTGTATTGCACAAAATATTAAGAACCGCTTACTGGCGTTCACTGAACACTTCCAGCAGTCGAATAGGTACGTGTCTGTACAATAAAAATGCAATCTGTGCAACTGGAGAAAAATTAAGTACAATCCGATCTTAACATCAAAAACAAATCACTAAAATATAACAGTTTCCAGTCACATTTGGCAATCAATTTTTGTCTTATGGTAGATATTCATATCTACCATAATCTAATCTACCTATGAAAAAATCTAAACGCGAATTTAACTTGTATTTCGATTTTTGAAATTGAGTTTTTTTCGCCACGATTCTGAATATTTCTTAACCAAATCACAAAATTGAAACAATTGTTTCTACTGTAAGCAAAGTATACGGTGTGAATGAGTGTATATTTGTGTTTTATTTATGACTCAGCGTCCATAATTTCACCCCAACTTTTGTTTGCCAGTAGCTGTTGCGTAATTAAATCTTGAAAATTGCTGCTTTTCTCATCGCTATATGGTAGGTCTTTGTTACTTGTTGCATGCTCCAATATCAATTGATTCATTCGCGGACTCGATGAGAATTTTGGCGACTTTTGGCCGTCATTTGTGCCATTTGATTTAAATTTTGGACTTCTGTTTCGATTATTTTGCAAGTTTGCTGTCAATTCAAACATCATCGCTTTCTCCGCCACAGATCCCAAAGGATTTGATCCACCATCCAACCTTAGTACACTCTCCGACGATGAATACCGCGACAATGGCGTTGGTGTCTCGTCTTGATTTACCGGCAGTGCATAATTTTCAAGTATTAAAATCGATGACAAACTCACTTCATGATCTATTATCGAATGGAAATTCAGAGGAAACCACTGTTTAGAAAAAATACGTTTAAAATAAATGACAAAATAAGACTTACCATCGACATTGTCGTAAAGTTCAATGCCAGGGATCGTTGAACTTTCCCGTGGACTTGTTTCGTATCCTCTGAAACGTTCGCGTGTTTTTACAGTTTTGGCAATTAATTTTTTCCATTTGGCCACTGGAAGGGGAACAATTGAGCATATTTTAACTTTTTTGCTGCCAAAAATACTTTCTTCAAATATGTGAAATATATTTGGTACATACCATGTGTTAGTTCTTCGAATTTGTTGATTGCACTGTGATTCCATTGAACCTTTTCAACGGGATGCACGGGTTGAACATTTGCCAAAAAACATTCTATTGCTTGGTATCTGCAAAAAGAACGAACAATTTTTTGAATTAGAAATGCAGACAGAGCCAGTTTCGTCGACAAAAGAAAATTGTTTGGCTTTCAATGGGAAAACTCAAAAATTTTGTTGGAAACCATGCTGTTGTATACGCATTGTACACAAGAGAAAGACTTACCGTAATGTCAAAAAGTCGGTTCTCAATTCAAAAACATCATGTGGATCAACATAAATACTGTCACCAAAATCTAAGAAATATAAATCCAATGCCACCCGTCGTGGATCAAATTCGTTTGGAACGATTGCAGTTATCTCAGCCCTATACCTAAGGGGAGAATCACAAAAGGAAAGAATAAAATTTAAAATAATCGATAAGTAATCGGAGAATAATCGAAAAATAATCGGAAACATATAATGAAAAAATTGCAAAGCAATAGCCACAACAACAATAATGTCCAGCAATTGCTTTAAATTGAGATTTGGTAGTTGTAATCGCGATTCTGTGGAAGAGAAAAAAAAAACAAAATGCTACTACCAAATCTCAATTTTTCGTCAGCAATCTGTTATATGCTGTTGTGACTTTTGTTTCTTTTGTATGTTTTGTCTTACATTCTAATGGTTCCCCAATCATCTATCATTCACTCACTCACTCATCCACACACACACTCTCTCTCTCTTTTTATTTCACATAGATTCAATTTCCATCATCGTCATTTGACAATCTCATACGTAATACATATATTACAATTAATGACGATAATCGAAACTAATCGAAGAATAATCGTAAAACAATCAATAATAATTAATAAGTAATTTTTAAGTGATTTGCCCCTCGCCTTTACCATTTGTTGTCATACTGAAACATGGCAGCAACAATTTGTCCCAAATATGGATCTTTAATCAGATGTTTTTCTTGGTTTTTTGTGTCACTATAATAATCTGTCATTTCTTTAATTAATTCATCCAATTTATTAATTTGTGGGCCGATAATTTGTACCCAAAAACGTGCGGGCGATGCAACCGCCGACACATACACTTCCATTTGGCCGCCGAGTGTCGGCATTCGGCTAAAATTATCAATGTTTGACAGCAAGCCCAAAGGTGGCATTGGCTGTGGTGATGCTACATGCAAAAAAAACAAACAAAATTCGTTACAATTGATCACGTATTATGTGGTGTGTGTGTGTTTTTATTATTGATGACATGACACAGAAATAGTAATTAGTAATGACGTCAATAAACAATTAAAATTTTAAGCAAAAGAAAAATCACAAAATAATGACATAATTATTGAGTACAATAAGTTCTCATTGAGAATATAAATGAAAAGCAGTTATATGAGTAATTTCAATTACATGATTGCTTGGAGAGGCTTTCCATGGATGAGTTAGTTGGTGAATTTTTTTGGTTGTATCTTGGCTCACGTTTTGCCTCATTTTCGCGATCTTTTAAATCTTGACGCACAAGCTCTTCGATCTTACGTTTGGCTTTCTGCACATTTGCAAAAGATCCAATGATTTTGAGTTTGCGCATGGATTTATCCTCAAAACCGCCTTCAATGCTAACCGACGTCACCGTTTCACGACAAATCGCTTGCAAATTTTTCATGCCAATCTTTTCCGATCGCGGAATGATCATTTCTTCGGTGATATTTTCGGAGCGTCTTATTTCATCTTCAATCGATTTAGCCGCCTTCATGACATTCTCGTATTGACCGACAATTTCACAGAGATTTCCGTTGTCTTTTTCACGGAATGTTATCTTTGCACCAGTTCGTTCTTCGATTGCTTTCACATTGGCACCAGATCGACCCATTACCTTAAAATTTGATGTGCAAAATCAATTAATTGAAATAGAATGGAGATTTTTAATAAATAAACATTCTCACCAATTGTAATGTTTCGTTCGGTACGGAAATATCGAGTTTAATCTCTTTGGCCTTTTGTTTCGAATTCCATTTTGGTCGCGATGCACCGTCCACTACGTCTCCCTTCTTGGAATTTCGTATTTTGTACCATTTGTAAAACAATGCTGCGCTAGCCGTACACAATGTTATGCCGACCACAACCGGAATCACTTGAACATTCTTCATCTTTCTGTGGAAAAAAAGACAGAAAACATTTTTTTGGTTTAATTTTTACGCCAATTCAAGCAGATAAATGAGAATTCATATCAAATTTCACACCAAGATATTCTCGCTTGTGGTTTTTAACTGAAAACTCTCTTTTTCTTTGCACTCAATCGTAAACTACTTGAATGCGCTCAGAAATCGATTGTATAACACGACCTCCATACACAAAAATGTGACAACGAAGAAAAAGAAAATAAGAAAAATAAACACAAAATATATCTCAAAATTATCTACCGTTGACTATTTACCAATTTTATCCGTCAATTTTGTACAATTGGTAGCAAAAATATAAATAATGCAATAAAACAATTTCCGATCACTCAAAAAATTCCGTGAAAACGGCGTTTTTATCACTGCAATTTTATAACCAGAAACCACGAAGAGAACGATTGCAAAAAAGAAAAAATAATTGCGAACGATAAATGTGCAGAGAGGACATATCGTTTTGACATATCACAAGACAAACGAGAAAAATATGTATAGCACAGCAAACACAACTAAATTTAGAGATCAAGACATTGTGTATATGAGATGACATAATCAGCGTGTGTATTCACTTAATTCACACAAACACACAAATATTTACTTTGTTTTCTACTCTCTCTCTCTCGCTCTCCTTCTCTTCCTCTCTTGCCGCGTGATTCGCGCCACTTTAACGGCCGCTTTTTTCTTACTACTCAGCACATATTTATTTGGACTTTGCAATAAGCGAGACGAGAAAACGATTCGATCAGAGTATTGTTTAAAGCCAATGTCAACCCGAGACGAAAAAAAGACAACCGAGACACTTTTTTCTTGTGTATTTGTGCGAACACAACCTCAATTCCCTTATTTGGAGCATTTTGCGAATGAAGCGGCTTAATTACGTTAACATACATTTCTCGAAAATTCTGATATCACTATTAATTGAGAAGTCTGTTCAATTATACTATTTGGGCGGAGCAGAAATTAGTCAAATAAATCAAATGTTATAATTTTTTGGGATCTAAAAGCCATTTAACCGCATTTAACAATGGAAAACTTAAATAATAAACTACATGGTCGATCGCACATATTATCACATCACACGGTTCATTGAATCAGAATACACAAATCGAATGTTTTATTCAATATGAGACAGAATGCGAACTTTTTTTTATCACTCAATCTGTGTTGTGTATGAAATTAGCTAAATTATTCAAATTTATTCGAAATCAAATAGCAAAAAAAAAAATAACAAATCACTGAACCACAGCACGGCAACTCAGTTTAGAGATACATTGTATAATCAAAGACGAACTTAGATGTAGCGCTAACAAATTATTTTGCTTTGAAGTGGAATTTAGAAATGAGATATTACAATAAACAAATTGAAAAAAATGCAGTTTTACCCTGAATTGAAGCACAACAATAACCCAAAACTGAACAAATGTTCCAACCGTTTGACGATTTTGTCTGACGTCGTCTACTTTATTGCATAAAATATTTTCACAAGACCATCGTTCAAAGGCGATTTTTGATCTTCACATTCAAATAACTGACAAGAAAAAATGCGATGCGATTTTATTTTTTTTTATTTGTTCTTTCTCTTCTCTTCAAAATGAATAATTGTCAAGGTAAAACAACAAATCAAATATATTTTACGACATTTTGCGCCCACAATTTTACTTTGAGCGTAACAATTTTCCACTTTCTATAACATCTATATGCTATATGTATGCACAAAAAATGTTCTATAAATTTTCTGGGTGTTGTTTTCAAAACGACGCAAAAAATGAAAATCACCAAATTTTTCAAATGTCAAATAAAACAATATATGTACTTACAGTCTGTGCCCAACTAGTCGTAAATCAGGAAATTGATGTTGTTATTCCTTTTTATTTATAAATGACAAAAAATATATGTGAAAACAAATACTGTTCAAACGTTTGCCTCGTGTTATCGATTTTGTTTTAATGCCGTTGTTGAATATATGCACGATTTGACATTTGTCTGAGCTTCAAAACACACATGTTTCGTGACTCGAATCGCACCGCAAGTGGTGTTATTCCGACAAACCAATACACACACAAACACACGTTTTTTTGGTATATGAATGCCAGAATATTCAAAACAGAAACACATTGACATTTTTTATATGACCTATTCCAATTCACGGTAACGCCATCTCACGGTGAATGGCATACAACTATTCTCAAGACACTATGTTGTTTTTCAGCATGGCATTTGCCTGTCCTGCGCTCTGAATTTGTGGTAAATAGAAAATCGAATCGAAAAAATGTCAGCGAAAAATTGTGCCCACCAAAAATACATTTCATTTTAACAATTAAAATCAATTCAATTTTAGCAACAACCATATCATTAGTCATGTAAAATTTTAAAAAAGTCAATTCTATTTTAGCAATTCAAACATTTCATAGTTGAACTAAGAATATATACACATTTTTAACAAGAACAAAATGTTACTACGCGAAACGATTCGATTTTTTTCACAACATCGAACACTTTATTGTTATTTGTGTTTAAGTCTATGGATTTTTCTATTGATAGCAGGTAAGTTTGATTGGTGCTTTCATCGTAATGAAACCAATGAATAGATAGAAGAATCAAACTGGATTTTTTACGCAAAGTTGCTTATGACATTTATTTTTGCATTGAGAATTTAAAAGATAATTTCTTGATACACTATGAGAAATTTCAATGAAATCGTTTGTTTTCTTTGTTTTTTCAGGCATGTACAAATACATAAGTACAGCTGATTCTCAATCAATATTTAGTGCTCATCAATATCAGCCGTTTGCCGTCGAGGATGAAATGACCAAATTGAAAAAACTCCAAACCGATTGTAATCCATATCGAACAATCGTACGAAAAGACGATGGGGGGATTTTCGACGAGTGGAAATTACAAGGGGTTATAATGCTAACCCGACACGGTGACAGAGGTAAGATTTGTTGCGTGACCGCAATAAATATACTCAAAAACATAAATTCTGTTGTTTTTACGTTCAATTATTCTATAACATAGGTCCAATGGCTCATGTAAGAGGAATAAATACAATCGATTGTGGTGCTGGACGTCAAACAAACGTTCTTCTCAATAAATATCGTACATTTCTCTTAAACACAACGGTCAATGCACCAGCTGGTCATTACATTTACAATAAAAATGGTCCATTTCATAATTTCCCATTGTTGCCTGCCTTCTCAAAAGCATGTTTGCTTGGTCAATTGACTTATAATGGAATCGCTCAGATGCTCCAATTAGGTGATCTTTTACGCAGTACATACGCACATTCATTGGGTCTGCTGGGAAAACCAATTTTAGCACCTAAGCTATTGAATACAACACAATCCCAAACAACCTATCCACCAGAGGAGATTATCATTTATTCAACACGATATCGTCGTACATTTCAATCAGCCATGGCATTGATGTATGCCTTTTTGCCGGAACGATGGCTTTCGCTGAATTTGCAAGAATCACATTCGTTGGCATTCTGTTTTGCAGACTGTGCTTGTCCAAAGGCAGATCAGTTAAGTAACTTATTAGCCAAAGAGTTTGCACAGGAGTTGAATAAACACCCAACGGTGGCGGCTGTTGTTCAATGGATTGGTTCGAACGTTTTACAAAATCCAACACCGAAAATGCAACCACTTGAAGTTCGTGATGCAATTTTATCGTTAATTTGTCATAATGCACAATTACCATGTCGACGAAGTGCACCGTATTACATGGGAACCACGGATAATGATCGAACCACTGTCACAACAACCGAATCAAATGATTTGATTAACATCGATCAAGATGATAACAATGTAAACAGTGCGGTGAATATGGTGCAAGGAGACAGTCAATCGAATCGTATTATTGATCCAGATTCGGATGCAATGGATTCAGAAATTGAAGGTTGTGTCGAAGCAAGCCATGTCACCGCATTAATGTCATACACACAATGGCAGGGTAAACGAGAAGCACAACATAAATTATCACGACAACAAGGTTTATTACGTGCCTATGGATTAATTCGCAATATTGTCAATCACATGCTCAAAATTATATCCGATAATAAAGTGAAATTTGTTTTATATTCGGGACATGATCGAACATTTCAGTTTCTATTGACAGCATTAGGAATATTCAAACCAACGGAAAATGGTCATCTACCAAAAATGTCCTATTTTATTCCGTACGCATCGCGAATTGCATTTGAAGTTTATAAAAGTGATGCGGGTAATGGTGACAATGCAGAGTACTATTTTCGTGTTATTAACAACGGTCAAGATATAACACGAATGATTGAATTTTGTGAAGGCGGCCGAAGTCTTCGTATAAATAAAAATGCACGAGGCAGCAAAGCTGATCTGTGTCCAATTGAAAATATCATCCGTTTCATTCATGATGATTATTTCACACTGTTTAATGCAACAAACCAAAAGGATGCCTGCTCCATGCAAAAGAATAACGAATTTTAAAATAAAGTACATTTCAATTTTTCCGCAATTTCATAAAGACTTAAAACAAAAGATTTCCAATTATGTGATAATAGAAAAAATATCATTGTTTTTCTCAAATAAATCTCATATAGTGTAAATAAAGAAAACTCAATTTGAAAAATAACCGTTTTTTTCTTCTTCTTCTTTTTTTTATTTTGCATTGTCTAATAGGTCATCGACTTTGATTCAGTTCGATTCATGGTCACATGTTGTCACATACATAAATTTCTTTATCGCCATATACAAAATTTGACCGCATCGGGTTCGGAGTACATGAAAAAAGCATGTTTTGTTTCGACGTTGTTGTTGTTGCTTTTGTTTTGTATTCTTTCTCCGATTTTTCACGGTTTCATTGTGTGCATGTCCGTACCGTGTTCTGTGTAAGGGAATGTGATGTAAAGCATGTAAGTGCAATTGAACTCATCGACATTCTATTTCATAGCCGCTTTCGTCATCAACATCATCACCATTGGCTGTGTACAATGTACATGTCTGTTTTTTATTCAATTCGGTTTGTTGTCGGTCGCGCGTTCGTTCACGACTTCTCTCCATTTTTCCGCTTTGAATCGTTAAAATATGCTGTATGCTTATATACAGAATATGCTCAATGTAAAAGACAATGTATAAAAAAGAGCGACTCGAAAAGCCAAGCACACTGCGACGTTATGAAAACGTGGAAAAAACACAGACTGTGTACACGCGTAATGAGAGAAGCAAATGAATGAAAAAAAAAAACACAAACAACAACAACTCCCGAGCAGCCGTGAAGAATATGTACACGTTCAAGTGTTCAAGTACTTGACAAAAACGACGAGAATTTAAGCATCTGATATTGATGATCTCCTGATACAATACAGTACTTTGTATTACTTTAAATTTTGACAAGCAATGCGCTTTCCGATAACAAAACGAGTTTTTGGCGTGATTTGTTTTACCGCGATGTGCATGCTGTGTGAATGAACGAACGATGCAGCGTTCGATTCAAACGAGTTTTTGTGCATCGAACGAATAAATCGATAGACCGTTCTTTGCAATTTTCTTTGCACATTTCTTCGATGCAAATTCTGAAGGAAGAGGAAACCACACAAAAAATGCTTATCAAGAAAATAAAGAGATTGAATTTATTCAGGTTTTTGTTATATTTTAATTGGACTTTTTTGTTTCTTCAGAAAAATCTTTAAATTCGATTACGAGAAAATGATAAGAATTTTTCACAATTGAGAAATGCAACGTTTGAATCGACGTTCAACACTAAAGAAACCAAACTATTTCTCCGACTTTATGTCCCACTACTTTTTGAGCGAGTATCAAAGCGATAAAGTGAGAGAGCGAAACATTTTTTTCGTATGTTCGCGCTTTAAATTTGTGTATTCATTAATAAACTCGCGCTGAATGAGTATGAATATATGAAACGTAGAAAAAAATATAAGTGTGGCAAAGCGTAAAATGAAATGAATTGATTGTTGTTGGGTTTCAAGCCCCACTCTCAATTAAAATGTGAATTGTGACTCTCCTCTCCACACTCGTTTCACTTTAAAACGGTAGTGGCGGTAGATATTTTTATTCCTTCTCTAAAAAAATCGCGTTTTTTCATTTGCACAATCACTGCGGCGGTGCAATATTCAATATTATAATCAGGAGCACATAAGCGTGAACGCGGTGCTGTATGGTGTTTTCGGTATATCGGCTCTCTGTGTTGTGTATGAGCAACAGTATGCAGTTCGAAAATGAGTGTCTCCCTTTCTCATGTGTGTATTTGCTTGGACAATATCCAATGTGTACAAAACTCCTCATTCGTTTATATTTTTTCGTTCGTAAAGTGAACGAGAGAGATAGTGAGAGAGCAGAAAAAAGCAACTGGTGTATGAGAGTGAGTTGTCTCTTTTTATTCAGTGTTTTCCCTTACTCTTGTAAATGTGGTTAAATCGTTGTTTGCCCCTGTCTATCAAGTAAAACTAATAAATAAATGAATATACGGGCGCGAATATATGCGGTGAGGAGTATTATGAATGACACCATTTACAATTTGATTATTACTTTTAATACAAAAATATTAAGCTAATATTCAGCACATTCTTGCTAACCTATTAGTTCAATTTCGATTTTCAACCAAGAGACCAGAATATATGACACAAATAACATCACAACACCGCATTTTATTCATGTATCTCAACACTGAACTGGTCACTGCTATTCCGAATGTATGTAATCTCACTTAAAAATTAGAAGAGGGAGCGCACACCAATGTATACGGGGTTTCTTTAGTATTTAGTTTCGCATTCAGTATTTATTTGATTTTTTTTTTTTTCATTTCACAAAACTCAACATTTGCTTTGACTTCATTTTCGAAAAGCTTGCGGTTTAATTTTGCATCTTCTTGCATCTATGGTTAAAGTTTTAAGGTAAATGAATGGGCGCACAGAAATTGTGAGACTATTTAAATTTGTATGTATATTTGTACACAGTACTGAATGTGCGATCAACGAACCAAAGTCGTAAAAGTTCGATGACCATGTTCAACGCTCAACATGTCGACAATGTATGTGTTATTGAACTTCATGTGTCTCGGGTCTCTCGTATTGTGTGCCTGTTGTCGGGTCTTTCAGCGGTATTGGTGTTGAAAATGTCTCAAACGAAAGCAAAACACAACGTAAACGAACCGCTACCCGGGCCAATTTCAGTATATGATCGACGATGGGGAAACAACAAAGTAAAAACGAAAACCGACATGAGACGGCTGGTATTTTAGTTGAGTTTGATATTGGAGACGGAAAAAGAATCACTTTTCGATTGCTTTCGAAGAAAAGTGAACATTTTCAGTGAAATTTTCGAACAGGCTCACAGAAATGCTGACATCGTTATGGTTGACGCACGTTCACATGATTATATTTATCTACGTATTGTATTATTATAATACGTATATTGCTTTGTTCACGCGGTTTTCGTTTCGATGACTTGATGCTGCCGTTTGTATAAGTGATTCGCCTGATACACACGCGAGACCGGCTCTTTTGTTATATGTGCTAATTTTATGTGCGACTGAGAAACAACAATCGAAAGAAGTACACGTCACGCGTTGCGTATATTTTTTCGAATAAAGATCATATAGCCGATGAAGCCGATTTCGCTTGTATCACCAAAACAATGACAAAGAACGTTGTTCAGCTTGTTGAAGTGTGTAACGTTGATGATAATATTTTATTTTTGTTGTAATAAAAATATTGCCTTTCAAAGATTTCCTTTCATTATTTGAAAAGAAGCAAGTTGTGCGTATTCGCGACCGAATTTCAATGTCGAATCGGAAGATACCATGTATGAATAAAAAAAAACTGTACGCATCATCAAAAATGTCAATGTTGTTGTATGTATTACCAGATACATGTATTTCGGATATGTTTTCAGCCGTAGCGGTTGTCTTTGTGTTGATTCATCAACAAAGACCCGGAACACATCCCTCTCTCGAGCATATATAGTATTCAGATTCAGTTGCGAATCATATTCAACATCCAAATGATTATGTTGCTCTGGTCGAAACATCTACAGAAAAACCATCACAATGACACCGTTTTCAACGCTCACAAACATCCAATGCCTAAAAATGGTTTCACCAATGCGTTTATTTATCCCATGATACACACACAACATGCGTATATTTTACCAAATGCGAAAATAATTTTCACACACAATTATCCGTATATGTTTTACCGTGTTTGCACACAAACCTAACGAAAAATTGGGAACCAAATAAGTGAAAGCCGATTCGAATACATATATCTTTCGACATGAATGTGATGGAAAAAATAAAGATCAAAAAAGAAATACACAACAGCTACTAAAACAAGAAACGCACCGAATTTTGTTCGATGTTAAAACACATATTCTCTCTCCTTATTACGTATGGAATACATGATGTACGTACTGAAATGCTGAGCATACATTGCTTTCACATGGAAAAAACGTTCCACCGCGTTTGATGTGTGGAAAATGAAGTGTGTGTATCAGTTGTTAACGTTTGCTGCTACCAATTTTCAACATACACACAAAAGGCCGCTTTGTGTTAAATGAATAGCACACAACACGGACCGCATGTATTGTAGAGATTGAGAAACAGTAAGCGTGCACCAAAATATGAACTCCCGATACATGATTTAGTCGAAAATTCATCACTACTGGGAAACTACGTTAATGGTGTCAATTATTTTAAAGAAAAACTGAAAAAATTCACAGGAAAGTGTATGCTAAATCCAAGTACTGACGAATATTTTTGCCATTACACACTAAATAATAATCATGATTATTTCCACAACCGGTTGCCACTTGGTATTGTTTTTGTTTCCATTTCATTTCGTAGTGTGGTATCGCTTTGCCATTCTCCGTTTCGGCTTGTGCGTTTCCACTGACTGTATGCGCACGACAGTATCGGTATATACAAAATGTATGGGGAATAAACTGTGTGCACTGCGTTTGTTTTTATGAGAACCGGATCATTCATTGTGGGAAAAAGTCACCATGCCACTACTAAAAGTGCTGCCGCCATTTTTAGTGCACATTTCGTATGGGAAATGTCAGCTGATATGGGTAATAATGTAGATACATTCATCGATGTCTCTGAGCATTTGTTCATCTACATCTATCATTCACCGGGCCAAATAATATGTGCACAAATTTTACGTGATTATTTTTTGTTTCGATTCATTCGATACCAATTGGCATTATAAAAAAAGAAAGCAATATATTTATTTGTTTTTTTTTTTTTTTATCCAGACGAAGAATGCTATGCCATCTGTTTATCACCGATGAAACCCGATGCCTTTCACTCATATAACTCGTTTTGTTTTGTGTTCGTTTGTTTTTCTGTTGTATTTCTCTTCACATCGCATTGCAGCGCGTACATTTAATAAACTCATAGCAGATGTGTACGGGTATTGTGTCGTCGTTTGTTGTTTACGATGTTCGATATCATGTCAACCTGGTCGTTAAGTTACTCATAAAATCCTTGGTATTTCGTTTCGCTAAAACTTGAAAACATTTTTCGAATTCAAATCGAAAATATTTCTCTGTTCCCATGTAACGAACGTTTGAAAACGAACACGATCGCACTGCCATCCAAATGAATTCGCAGAGGCCCGGCTATGATGTGTGCTATGTATGTGAAGCGAATCGAACCGTAGTGGAAAGAGCGAAAAAAACGACAGCACCAAGAGAGCAAAAGCAAAACAACAAAACCATCGACAAACCAGCTAACCAAACCAACTGATACATTTTGTATTTCGAAATACACGCGTTTTTTTTATTTTTGTTTGTTGCTTTGTGTTTGTCTATCCACCCATACGCTCATTCGTTCGTTCGTTCGTTCGCAGTACAAACTGTATGCATGCGACTGTGCATCAACTTATGAACGCCTGTTACTAGATTCTATACAAAAATCATTGTCAGGTGCACGGTCTGTCTTTCACTTTCGATTTCTCTCATGTTTTTGAATTGTGCATTCATACTAAGGCTGCCGTTGTTATGTGATGCGACCATTCAAAATAATAGCAAAAGCATCGCCGTTTGCGTTTGTATGACAACAGTTTCACTTTCAATATGATTTTTTTCGGTTTCGGTACCAACAAAGTAGATCAGTGAATCGGAACACGATTTCACTTTTGGCCGTATTTTGGAAGTATTGCTATGGCCCAAAAAAAATCAACACAAACTTTCGCTTTCAGTTTTCAACCTTCACCATCAAATGCGGGTCATGTGAACAGGCCTTCAAATCAAGTATACGCTCTCAAAGCGCACATTACAATCAAAAGACCGTGTTTCATTGAAAATAATTTGACCATGGCCATGATTGTATGGCAAGGTCTATCATAGTCTCATATGTGACATAGAGCACACAAGCAGACTGAGTTTGGGAGCGAGCATTGTTGAATCGAGCTGATACATATTATTTGTTTTTTTTTTTTTGTGTATTGCTTCCGTGTCAATTTTATTAAACAATTTGTTGCTATGGAATGGAAATAACATTCACAACGCCGCCGTTACGCTCAATGAACCGTTGAATTGCATAGATCATGGCGTTTTTTATGATGGTGATATATTTGGTATATGTTTACTCGCATTTGTTTGTCAATAACAGAACAAAAATAGCTTAATACTTGAAAGAAATATAACTCTCAATTGATCAAATGGGATGACGTCGTCATTCCAAAAACAAACATTATAATCAATCGATGTATTCATATAAAAAGCGAAAACATGTGCTTGACTACAACATTCAATTTATTATTAAATTGTGAATGAAAAAATTGGCCTTGAAAATTAAATTCGTTTTCATTCTCACTTTCTTCCGAAAATACTTTGAGGTGAAAAAAGCTATATTTTAAATATAAGAAATCCATCTAGTTGAAAAAATTCCTGTACAACGGTTTCCTTTTTTCTTATATTTTCCACTTGGAAATTACAGCAGATCGCTTGAATTTTATTCGTTAATACCAAATTAATTTCTTAAATATAGCCGGATATACCACCAATCATCTGAAAGATGAACACTATAATTTGAAAAATAAAAAAAAAAAAAACGAAAAAAATGTTTACTTTCAAGAATGTTCGGTTGCTGATGGTAAAAAGTCCTCGACAATGGAAAACAATTGGATTTTTTGTTAAATGTAACATTACTGCTTCAATCTGTGAGTTAAAAATGAAAATTATATAGAAGTTCTCTCAAAAGAAATATTTTAATTTCTATTTCGCAAATCTGGATTCTTTATCGTTCTTTTCAATTTATGAGCATATCGTGACAAAAAATCCTTTCAACATTGGAATAAAATGATTACCTGTACCAATGCAGATTCATCTTCAAAGTCGATGTTAATTTCGTTTAAATAAAATACAATTTGTTCAACCTAAAAAGAGAATACTTAATGCGAAAATTTCAAATAGTTCGTTTTCCATTTAATTCAATTTTCAATTAACCGCAATTTTGCAATCGGTGGCACCCTTAAAAAGAAGAAGAATCAGCAAAGACAAATATACCAACCAAAGGGAGAATACTGAAAAGAAAAATCGATTTTCGTTGATGATAATGATTTTGGCGCCATTTTTGTTCCAACCAATGCATTTTATTTACCAAAAATATAATTCCAAGGTCGTTGATCCAATTCCCACAAAGCCCAATTGGCATCGGTCAGTGGCATATGAAAGCAATACAAAATTGTTGCAAAATTTGACAATCCAAATGTTGAATTCATGCATCCGCTCAATTCGTTGACCAATTGACAGTATGCATTGATTCGTTTGATATTGTTTTCGTTAACGCTATTCACAGCTGAATGACACCAGCTATTCCGTATCGACGAATGATTTTTGGTACGTTGGTTTAATTCACTCTTGATCATTTTCAATTCGAATTTAATGAGCTCCAGAAAAAATATATAGTAAAAAACACGATAGTGATAGTTCATCTGTGTGACCAAGTATGAAAGTCGAAAATACCAACTATTTACCACATATTCCAAGTAATACGAAAGGAAAAATATTTGAATTCCGATCACAACGATGCAATAATGTATGAAATTAATCGAATAAAATCGTAGCACTGGTCGTTTGCAATGTTTATTATTTTGTTTAATGTGCTCGTAAATTTGCCAAAATTTTCGTTGAACATTGCGTTGTGTGTACGATTCAACAATAATTAACCAATATGTCAGTATGCCATTGAATAGTTGCAACAGAAGATTTATCAAATATGGTATGGCCGATTGCAGTGCAAATGCCCAAACACTGTGTATTATAAATGTCATGTGAGATGATTTTTGACATGATGCAGAGCTGGATACTTCGGTGTGAAAACCACAAATATCAAAAAACTTTAGCAAGATCACAATCCACTTTGTGAACATGCATTACTTCTTTCAACCTTCGAACTATCACACGAATTTTTTGCTCTGTTATTTGCCATAACGACAAAATTAAACGACTTTTTATGGCGTATATTTTGATACTAACGAAACATTTTTCATTTTATGATGCATTTACTTTGGTAATTTTCCATAAATTTCCATTTTATTCTCTAATCGATTAATGTATGTTACTTATGAGATAAAAATCAACAAAAAAATTCTATTCGCTTATTGAAAGATTAGTAGTCAAGCTATTTATTTGCTTCGGATCCATTGACGTTGGTTATGGTTTTGTTTATTTTACATTATTTACTATTTTGGTTTCGTTCATTACGAAACAAATACTTTTGGATAGATTTTAAGTTTGAACGTCAGATTCAATTTCAGTTTTAATGTCCCATAAAGACATGGCTTGAACATAAAAGTCTTTTTGATAAGAAATTCTCAATTTAAAATTAATCGGAAAATATTTCGATGATTTTTGAAATGGGCCAGTTTTTTTTATACTAGATTCGATGGTGACAATCGATAATATTCGGAATTACGCACAATTGGTTAATGTAAAAAGGCATTGGGGTATGTCGCATGAACTCATCATTTATTTTTGGCTAGATACATTGTAGGTAGTACTCTGATGCACTACCAAATTACATATCTTGCGCTTGCGCATGTACATACATAAAGAAGCCAGTGTGTGCGAAGAGTACCACATCAACTGTGCTTATGTTTATTTAAAAAAGAAATGTACATGAAAAGAACCCTTATATTACTCACAAGTATTGGGCGGACGTACGAGAGAAGAGCTCAACCATTAAACATTAGCAGTGATCTTTTTCGCACTTATTTTGGTTTACTTTTTTACCTTTAAGCGCATTTATCTAAATCAATACATTCAAATGCATTCTTTGTACTTTGTACTTTGTACGTTTATCTTATGAACAGAAATGCCCTGTTGCATTAGTATGTGTATATTGCTTTGTGGACATTTTGCATTTTGAAACATGTGTTATACATTGCTAGTAAACACAACGCACAATATTGTCCATATTATTTATTTTTTAAATATTTAATGGTGCATTAAAAGTTAGTATCAAACAAAATCTAAGTATAAAGAAATTCTGAAATTTTTATTGTGACAACAAAAAACTTGGCAGAGATATTATCCGAATTTGGTAAATAGATGCTCATTTAAAATTCAAAATATTAAAACACATGTAGAATTTATGAATGTTGAAAATACGATTTTTTTCGATTAAGTATGTTTTGTGGCAGAAAATGGCATTGAAATTTGATAAATTATTTCTAGTTATATGAGTGACTAGTGACTAATACAGATTCTGTAACACGTGGATATTTGTGCTGGGTGTGGTAAGACATCAGTAAATATGTCCATAGCTAACTTGAGAAAATGTCGAATTTCTTTACTCGATTTTTGGTCATTATTTTTAATTATTTCACAAGAATACACCAGATTTTATTCCAAAAAAAATACTATAACTTAGTGCACCTCAAATCATAACAGAGTTTCGATTCAAAAAAGTATCACAACAAATTTGTTTTACCATATATTATTTTGTACAACCATAAACAATCAATTAAATTTCCAAATTGTCTTTTCTATTTTCAATCCAGAGTACGATGCATTACAATGAGAATGTTGTTGCTTCAATTGAGCAATCGTTGGCGAATTTATCCGTTCAAGAGGAAAATCCCACGTGGAATGCAATTGACTACGGAATGGAATATGAATTGCTGAACCATGTAATCTTACCTCGTTTTCTTCCGCAAATGAGACGTTTCAGTACATATCAACATGGATTTGAATTACTCTCACGGATGACAGAAGTAATTTCTGCCAACGAAAAATATATACCAGCGAGTATTATTCAAACGTTTTGGAATATGTACTCCAATCATATCATATCAATTCCGCTAACCGTCTGCGATAATATTAACGCATTAAAATCAAATGATACATTTGCAATGTATGTAAAAGGTCAAGATTGCATGTTCACAGTACACATGCCACCGATAGAGGCCGACCAGATTCCAGATGAATCAACACCAGTCATCGTAGCTACATTTCAGTATAATTTCCACCCGTCGGACATTAATGAAACATTTAATGATTTTGAGGTAATTTTAGAAGAAAACACAATAAGAAAATATCAGCCGACGCTATACGCAAAACCGACTGGTACGTGCAGTGCACTCATACGTTTTTACATCTTTTACATCTAGTGACCATACGATTTTTCGACTGTGCGAAGATACGCACAAAGAGTAACGAATCAGTTGAAAAATCGTATGGTCACTAGATTTAAAAGATGTAAAAACGTATGAGCGCACGTAAACACAATCTATTTTTGCTGTATGGGTTACAGCAAAACTTAGCTATCAGACGTGATACAGTATTTTATTGTAATTTTAGTCAAAATTACAATATTTTGCTGTAAGATATTTTAATTTTTATTTAAATTCAATAAAATTGTTTAAAAAAGAATGAATGCGCTTTACTCAGAGAAATTGAACAGTGTAATCACAAATGTTTGTTGTGTATTTCGCCCATTTACACTGACGTTAGACACACAGTGTGAAACGTCGAATTACCCACACTACAACATCAATGCTATGAATTTGACTTTTTACATCAATTTTGATTGTGACTTTTATTTTTTTCTGCACTCAGATAAACTATCCTGTCGACGCATTCAAAGTTAAATTTTCCAAATTGCTGCGATCAATCGAATTTGCAAATCAACTATGTTATTTAAATACTTATAGTGGTAGGCAAAAGAATCTCGTAACCGAATGGTTGGTCGGAACGTTGTGTGACGAAAATGCCCAAACGGCAGGCCACAATGAGTTCCCTCCGATAACAAAGAAGCTGCGAAGTGAAATTCTAGGCAGGAACATTGATGTTGCATTTCAACGCTCACATTTCTATTTATCAATGAAATCATTCCTGCAACACAATCTGACAATTCTGTTGGGTGCCAAAGTTGGAAAAATTGTTTACAAAATCATAATGCTGCAATTCATTGTTAGAATGTGTAATGTTTTCAAATTCCAAGAGAATTCAACATTTGATGTCAGTTTGATACAACAGATTATGGCAAAAATGTGTCGTCGCATTGAAAAGCTATTGCAATTAATTGACGACTTGAGCACAAATCTAATCGATGATTTGGAAGAAATGAAAGTAATTGCAATCGATGAAACAAAGTCCACAATCGAATTTCTTCGAACAAAAATTGACATTCAAATCAATGATATACAAATAAATGATGAGACAAACTTGACTCCATTAACCGATTTGAACTTTGAAAAAGATGCAATTCAAGCGGTCAAAAAGCTACGTTGTTTTTTAGAACAACGAAAATCCATTCAAAAACTGAATAATGCATCGAGTTATCCACCACGCACATATACTCGTTTAAATTTCAAAGATCTCCAATATTCGGAATATCAAAAATATTTCAACAATGTTATTAATCAAACAGAGATTGATATCCAATTGATTGACTTTGAAAATTATATATTATGTGAAATGAAATTAAATGAGATTCCCAATGATCCACGTTATCAAAATGAAATGCGAAAAATTTACTTTTCATATGATACAATAGCCAAAAAGAGATATTATAACGAACCACTTGGAACGAGTAAAATGATTTTGGTTCAATTGAAATTGATTGCAATGTTTGATGTTATTGCTTGCAAAAGATGTCCATTACTATTGAATCATCGTTCTGGAATCAATCCGAATATTATCAAATCATTATTGTTGCCACAATATATTGAAATGAAAGTTGCCGATGAGCTTGAAGAGTACTTCGCAAAGAGAAACAAATCGGCCATCGGTCCCAGTTTGATTGAAGAACAAACAATTACTGCAGAATCATTTAGTTCAAATTATGCAGCCCAAGATGCTCGTATGCAAACTGTGAGAAATAAAATCCTGGCAGAGCAACAAAGAAATATAGACATACTTATAGAGAAGTTGGAATCGGAACGCCAAAAAGTGGCTGACTTAAGATTAAAAATGGAAGATCTGTCTCACAATCACCATGACACCACCATCAACATCAGAAGGAAAAAATCTTCTGATTGTCGGCTTTGTAATTTAACCAATGCATGTAATCAATTTCGCGTTATGCAGTATGTAAAAGCAATGCCAAGAAAAGTGTACAAACAAAATGGTGTGGTTTTTGAAATATGTCCACCGCCCGAAATCATAAATTTGAGAGACACTCTATACAATTTTGCCATCTATTGTAGCGGAAAGCCTGGAGGACCTGTTAGTAGTATCAGAGCAAAATGGACGGACTTTGCAGAGATTTCTAGATTTTATGAAATGAAAAGTTTTCACATTTACCTTGCTAGTACAAGTTTTGAAACCAAAAGAGCTTATCACGTAAACAATTCAAATGAGACATTTATTCTGAAAAATGGACATGATTGCACCTATGCCTTGTCAATGCCGGATGAACCAATGGCAGATAATGCCATTAAAGATGTATGCGCATTAAAAGTCGAAGCGGGAACAGTCTACGAAGGGCTTCAATGGATGGTCAATTCCACATCGCACACTGAAAATGAGGTGCTTGCAACACAATTCAAATGCCCAAATGGTCTTTCACTTGATGCATACAAACATTTTGGATTTCTTCGTGCCGATGGACATCGTTTACAACTACATAAACTCTACGCTTCAATTGCAACTGAAGCGTTGCCCTTCGAAGAGCCTTCGGTACAGTCGCTCGTTATTCAATCGCTATGGGAATATGGGGAAAAGGGTGAGCATGAAGGAAGCTCGGTTAGTGAGGCACACGAAGAATTTAAACACACAAATTTTGCATTGTCCATGATAAAACTTCTAGACAAATTCATAGATCAACAAAAGAAAAATTGGGTTCATCCATTTAAATTGCTAATGACAGTTATTATATCTGCGCGAGTGATGGAAATAAATGACGAAGAAATAGTTGCCGATGCAGTCGTTACACTATTGGATAAATTGCGTTTCTTTGCATTGAATTGGATTGAGAAAATCCAAGAAACGCTTTTTAGTTTCAAAAATCCAAACGTGACCAATGAGTATTCACTTCGGAACAAATTAGCTTTGGTTGCCATTTGTGGTGCATTAACATTTTCCATTCATTCTAGTCACAAATTTTTCGAGAAAACTTTACAGAAAAATGCTCATAATGGATTTTCATCTGCTCGAATTTGGTTGGAATTTATAATAACATTAAATAATAATATGTTATTACAGGAAATGAAGTGCTTGTCAAAGCAACCGTTATTGGAAAGTTATATGTCAATATTTTTACATTATGTTCGACGAATCGGCATTCAGATGGAATCAACCATTAAAAAACTGATTAACGAAAATGAATTACTCAGTATCATTGAAAAACAATGGAAAAACGCTGACCGAAGAACATTTGAATCGTTTTATTTTCACCCTACAAGTCCGCAGTTGTGTTGCATAAAAATTAATGAAAAACTCGTGACAATTGACATAATTACTGGTTCATTTCTGTGTAATTCATTGTCAATATCTCGACTCCCAATGATTATATGCGATTATTATCTATATCGCCGTGTTTTTGATCGATTTATTTTAGACGTGCAACCTGAAGATAATCAAACTTTTACCACCATTCAAAAATATAATGAACGCATTTATAAATTTTTTTATAATTATAATGAGGTCATCATTACCGAAATTCGTGATGATGGACATGAAATGGAACTTGTGCACCCGAGCATTTTACAAAGCGAAATACCATATTTACTGATTCAAAATTATAGCCATTGGTGGAATAAAGAGGAAAATACTATTGATTTCCGACCCGTGTCGTTCCTTCACAAACTGTTCAGCACGGAAGACGGCGTTGATTATCGCTTAAACCTAAACGATAACACATTGATCCATTTAAAAACACAAAAACAATTATTGGATATTACAAGCCCAAGTTACGTACAAATTGTTAGCCATTTGTCACGTTTGGAGTGTCCGCATTTCATAAACATTACATTAGAAAATCCGGATGTTGTCATCATTGAAATAGATCGCATGAATTTAAAGTTCAAAATTGATAAGAACATCGGCTATGACATTCTCTCAAATGAATTCAGCCGAATGAGAGTGTCACTTCAGCAAAATTGTGGAACATTGTTCGGTCTAAACAATGGACTCATTTTAGAGAGTGTTGACACACAACTACCATTTAATAAATTGCTTCTCATGCCTCACGGAAAATTGCAAGTTAAACGAACCGAAAATCATGTGTGTGTTCACATCAATACCAACGAAATGCTATCAAATCCACCATTTCACTTGTATCGTTTCGACACCGTTTGCCGTCAATTAACAGCAATCAACAATAACTATTCGGCGTGGTTGTATCTATCCTATTTACATGCAATTACATCACATAATGAAACTGAGCCATTTACTGGTCTGTCTGGCACAGAGCGTGCTCTGCAAATTTTACAATCTGGTTATGTGTGGTCATCAACACCATATGATCCTGCATCGATTCAATTGTTGTTCGATTTCATGAGACTAGCACCAAAACGCATTTTGGGCAATTGTGTGCAAATGATAGAATGGCCTTACTTTATACCACTGCACGCTGCACAAGACTCATATCTCTTCATTGCTAAAAAGTTATTGGAAGACAGTCAAAGATTGCATCGATTGCATTTTGTGGAAAAGAAAATTGAGTCCAATTTTGATACACATTTGAAATTGAATAAACGTGATTATTTTCGTCATATGGAACTTTGGCCAAATTTGCGCGTTTCGGAGATTTTTATTCCACGGCCAACATTTCAAATGTCATTGCCAACCAAATTGGGCCGTAAATGCAAATCGGAAAATACACGTATCATCTCTAGTTTATACCACAAAAAAGAGTATATGGTTTCACATAGATGGAATATGTCTAATTTTTTCCATCAAGTTTCCAATCCTAAATGTCTCGAACTTTTGAATAATATCGCTGACATTTTGAATCATTGTAGTTTTGAAAAAATGGTTGATCTGTGGATTCCTCTGTATGAGAGCGCTCGCATTGGTTTTTTCAACGACGAAGAATTTGTATTGATTTGCAGTTTGTTGGCTCACATGGGTCAACCGATCGATGCAATCTTGGCTTTACAAGCCATTCACACAAATAAAAACGAATTCACTGAAATAAAAGCACCCGATACAATGGAATTTAATCTAAATGATGAACTCTATGATAAAAATACTATTTCATTCATGTTACATACATATGCTAGAAAAAATGGCATTTTCGTAACTGATGATGTAACCAGAATGACTGAAATAATTGATGCAGGTTGGCCAAGTAATCGATTTCACAGTGTCGGTGCAAGTGATGTGAGCCACATATTCTCTGGCGCATTTCCCAAAATTAATTTGAAGCTCAATAGCTGGTATAATAATTTAAGATTGAATGAGTTTATCGCACAAGTGAGTGGCAAACTTGAATTTCTGGCGCAGTCGATGACAAACGTTAACATAGAAAGGTTGCATGACTACAATGTAGTTTCAGAAAAGCATTGGCCAAGATTTGAGGTTAATTTTGAATCGAAAATGTGGAGAGTTCCGAATAATTTCTCGGATAATATAAACGAGGCAGAAAAGATATGGAACTTAGAAATGGAGTCAAATAAATCGTCACAAGAATGGTGGAATATTTATGAGTCCATTACAAAGCATCAAATTGAGAAACATTTCATTGATGCTAAAATGCATACGAGACTGGTGCCAAGTTTGGTATTGCCAAAAATTTTGTCGCATAACATTGACCATCGATTGAAAATGGTGATTGGAGCACTGGCCATAACGATTGCAAAAGAACAACGGGAACAACGCATCGAAAGATTGAAAGATAGACCACAATCGAAACCGGCATTTGACAGAGAAATGGAAAACAAACCATACATCAACTGGAAACCATCCGAAAGGCCGGAGTGGTTGCTCTTTGAAATTGAACAGAATTTGACGATACGGCGTATCCAAAGCGAAGTCGCCAAACGAATGATTGATCCGCTGCGACAGGAGGCGACAAAACACTCGATCATGCAATTAAATATGGGCGAAGGTAAGACCGCCGTTATCACACCAATTATAGCATCGATCTTGGCTAATGGACAACAGGCTTGTCAAATAACAGTTTTAAAATCGCTGTTTTCTACAAATGCAAAGTCTCTACGTCAGTATCTGGGTGGAATGTTAAATCGGAGAATTTATACGTTTCCGTGCAGGTAATAATTGTCGATTTGGTTTGTTTTTCAACATTTTATACGATCGGAATATTTTTTTCTTCTCAACATGATATAGGCGTGATTTACCGATTAACGATCATCTGACGGAAATACTTGACATTTATAAAGAATGCAAAGCAGTTAAAGGTATGTATCTGAACATACATCGATATACGAATAAAAGCATTTCCATTATTTTACAGGAATTATCGTTTCTCTCCCGGAGTATCAACTATCATTCCAATTAAAAATGTACGAATCGATTCAAAGCCATGATTATGGATTGGCCGAAAAGTATTTATCGGTACAAAGTTGGTTGAACTCAAATATACGAGGCATTTTGGATGAATCGGATGCCATATTAAAACCAAAATATCAACTTGTTTACACCGTTGGTAATCAATTACCCTTAGACGGTGGTGTTCCAAGATGGCTTATAATTCAATCCGTTTTAAAATGTGTACCCTACCACATGGCTCGACTCTATAAAAAGCACGGACCCGATAGTATTGAGTATGATGAAAATTATGTACGAAATAATCATGTATTTGGAGCTTTAAAAACTATTCGTAATCGCTCCGACATTTTCAATCCATGCCGCATTTTGAAAGAGTCAGTTTTTGAAGAGCTCAAAGAGGCCATTTTGGATGACCTCTTTGCTGATAAATTGGACATTACTTGGCCCGAAGTGAACACAGAAACAAAACACTTGATCAAACGTTTCTTAAGTCAATGCGATGCACCGTTCGAAGTAATTTGTAAAGATCTTTCGAAAGATGTTCAAAATACCATTCTTATCCTCTGTGGTTTGTTGCAATTCGGCGTATTGAGATTTATGCTCGTGAAACGTTGGCGTGTAAATTATGGTGTCAATAAAAATGGTCTACGCAAAATGGCAATACCTTTCCGTGCAAAAGATGTTGCGGCCGAAAATACTGAATTTGGTCACAGTGACATTGCAATCGGTTTGACACAATTAAGCTATTATTATTCAGGTTGGTTGAACTTCAAAATGTATTAAAAAATGAAGCAACTTTTATCTATCACAATTCATAACAATTTTTTTTCTTCTAAATAATCATAAAACAGGGCTGAGCGATGATCAATTAAAACAAGTGTTTGAAAATTTGAGTGCTAGTCTAGACACTGTTGAAACTTATTCGAAATGGACAAAAGACATCCCAGTCGAATTTATTGATCCGTCAATTCGATCGTATTCAGGTGTAAACTTAAGCGATCCACATCAGCGTGATAAAGTACTTTTCCCGCTCTTTCGTTTTAACATGCATGTCATCGATTTTTGGCTATCGAAAATCGTTTATCCACACGAAGCAAAAACATTTGAAAATAAACTCATATGCACCGCATGGGATTTGTGCAATGAATTCATGGTCCATCCCACAACAGGATTTTCTGGTACAAGCGATACGAAGAATGTTTTACCGTTGCCTGTTGCCCAAAACGATCTTGAAGAATTGGAGAATACAAATGAAAATGTTCGTGAAACTTTGCTGCGCCATGAAAATCAATGTTACAAAAATTTGCCAGCAAATGTAAGTGCGCGGGAGATACTTAAAAATTTAGTTGCCTCCAAAATTCCTGTGCTTTTGGATTCAGGTATGTACTCAAAGTCAAACAAGCTTCTATGGCAAGTTTTATTCATTGAAAATTTATTTTTTCAAATTCAGGTGCGCTGATGTTGGAACTGAATAACAAACAAGTGGCCCAAGAATGGTTAAAATATGCCACGAATCAGTCATATGATGCAGGAGTTTATTTTGATGAAAAAGATGTATTGCAAACGATAGATCGCAACAATGTGGTCGCTGAATTCGACTGTTCCGTATATCGAGAGAATTTGGATCGATGCCTGATTTATTTGGACGATACACATACTCGAGGAACAGATTTGAAATTTCCATTGGGTTTAAAGGCATGTGTTACTCTGTCTGGCGAAATAACTCGCGATAAAACTGTACAAGCATGCATGCGTATGCGTCAACTCGGAAAGGGTCATTCGATTGAATTTTGGGCTTCGTTCGAAGCCGATTTACGTATACGTGAAGTATGCAATCTATCACGAAACGATCACATTCGAAATGAAGATGTAATCACGTTTATCTGTCACAACAGTAAGCATTTTGAAATGGAAAACATTGTACACTGGTCTGCGGGTGCTTATAATTATACAAAGAAAATTGCTGCATACATGTTGTATGAGAGTTTAAGTGATATGCTCGATCTATACAATGGATGTAACGAAAAAGAATTTGTCACCCTTCGTGCGATGTATAGCGATAGAAAAGAACAATCGCTTTCAGATATTGTATCTTCCAAATTCAACCATTTACAAACAAAGTATGGAAGTAGAGAAAATATTCACGACTACATAGCAGACAAGTATTTGGCTGTAAATAAGAAAATATCTGAAGATGCTTCGAATGTAAAACGCTTTGCTTTTGTATTGGACGAGGAGCAAGAAAAGGAAATTGAGTAAGAAACATAAAGAAAAATCGATATTTTTCCATTTCCATTTTCCTTTTTGTATTTAATTGTTTTGTGAATATCTTTTAGATACGAACCGGAAACCGAACGACAAATCGAACGACCACCAGCTGTAGATGCCATTAAACCTATATTCAATGAAAATTTAACATTATTAATTTTAAATGGTTTAAATACGGAGACCAGTTCAATCGCAGAAGAAATTCTATTTTCTCTGGACAAAGGTCTACTTAAAACCAAATTATACCAAGATTTTGCACAAGATGAACCATGGTCCAGTCACATATCAGTTACGAATGACTTTATTAAAGTGCTTAGAGACGATTCATCAATTGAATTTGATGAATTTCTCCGGCCGGTGTCATGGATTGCTCGCATCGATATGGACAACGGCGCATATCGTTTGGTTTTATTAAGCTCTTTTGAATGCCATCATCTTTTGCCATACTTTCGAAGAAGCCACAAATCGACGTTATACATGTATCGTCCCCGTTTATGTAACCTTCACAGTGATTTGTTAGATAATCATGATTTACGCATTTCGGCTCGAACCGAAACCGTTGACATTGATGAAAATGACTCGGCCCAAATAGCAGTGTTCTCTGGATCCATGTATTTCAGAAATGAAACAGAACAAAATGCATACTGTCACTTCCTAGGCTTGATACCACGACCGAGGACTAGCGAACAAAATGATGCATTTGAAAAAGACATAATCAAACCAAATGGATTTGTACCACCAGAGCATCGTCAACTCGAATCGACAATTGAATATGTTGGTCAATGCAAATTTAAAGAAAATCCCGTCAATGTTGCCAAAAGTTTAATTGAAGCGCATAATGGATTTTTACGGAAAGAATCACATGCAGCTTTCATATTGGGACGAGGAACGAAACAGACAATTCAAGATCAAATACTTGTCGATCAAATGGCCAGAATTGATTTAGATGACTGGATGTTTTTTTAATAAGACCCATGCGTACGTTATTTTAAGTAGTCTAATAGCATTAAATTTTAACACACTGAAATCATGTGCCAAAAGAAATTGTATAAAATGCCAAACAGTAGTGCAGCAAGCGCCACAACCGACAACAGACAACTGTGGAGTTATAGTCAGTTGTTTGCAATTGAGCAAAAGTCTTTTCACTAGTTAGCGGCAATTTAGTATAGATTATACTGAATTCTATCTTGGCACTAGTAGTGTGACAGTTTGTGCATAATTTCGGTACGAATTTCAACAACCCAACTACCTCTCTTAATACCTCATTACCTCTTAAGATATAGAAAAATATGTTTGTTGTCTGTAGAATAACTTTATAGAATCTTTTGAATACCTACATATATAGTTTCAGTTGAAACAGATTGAATATTTGGATATTAATGTATGGATTTGTGCTTCAAAATATAAAAATAAAAAAATATTGCATCTATTGACGCAAATTTTAGTTTTCTGTGTATTAATTATGTCAAAAAGACTTATTTCCAAAAAAATCTATGTTAAGTCAATAGTTTTTTTCTTTACATTTGCATTTCGTTACTAATTATTGAAATTCCTTGAATTATTATGAAATTCCTTGACTTGCGTCGCCACTCTTTGAAAAGACCACTCTCATCAACTGTCAATAATAGAATTTCATTGCGTTAAAATTAGTCATCGGTGTGTTTCTGGATGTGCCTTGGATTGATGTTGTTTAAGCGTGCCCGATTGTGTATAGGCTTTATCGCATTGATTACAGGCAAATGGTTTCGCTCCCGTGTGGGTATTGAGATGTAGCTTCAAATGGTAAGTGGTTGCAAATCGTTTGTTACAAATTTTACAACCGTAAGGCTTCTCCTGACGATGAACTCTTACCTTAAAAAATATACCCACAAAATATATAGAGAAAGATATATATAGTGCATGTGCATGTGGCTCTTACATGTTTGGCCAAACTGGGCTGCGTAACAAAGGTTTTTTCACATAAATGGCAGCTGTAAGGCCTTTATGAAATTAAGACGAAAAAAAAATAATTATTGTTATTGTTATTAAAGATATAAGTCAGTTAATTAAGATTGATAAAGATAAGTAGGTACCTTTCGCCCGTGTGTTGCCGCATATGAATTTTCAGTATTTGCTTCGATGCCAGAACTCTATCACATTCGGGACATTTGATATGTAAAGCATTGTTATGCCTTTGTAAATGTTTCTTCATCAGTTGTTTCGTCTTGAATAAACGACCGCAAATCTCACACACAAAATCGGTGGTTTCCAAATGAACCACTTGATGCTCTCGAAGTTGAGATGCTTTATCAAATTTTTTTTCACATTGCTGACAGTTATGCTGTTTTACCAATCCTTGATGCTAATTTTTATTAGAATAAAATCAATTACTATATGCGTCTATCACAATAGATTAAAAATATGAAAAAAAAAACATACAATTTTAATGTGTAAATCCAAATCTCTTTGGTTCGAGAACACTTTAACACACGTTGGGCATTTAAGATTTCGAACTTTTTTCTCGATGTGTGACGAAACAAAATGAATCCGTAGTCCATGTATTCGTTCGTATTTTGTTGAGCAAATATAGCATTCGAATGATTTATTGTCATATTTATGTGTTTGCAAATGCGCTTTTAATTGAACTTCTTTCACATAGACCTTTTGACATTGATTACAGTTGTATAAATTATTGCCGGTGTGCCTGTAAATGGATAAAAATGATTTTAACTTAGAAATGGAGCACAAATTCATAATCAAATCAAAACAATGATATTAGTTACGTCCGCTTGTGGTAATTATATGAGTTTTTATGTTTGAAAACCTTATCACAGTCAAGACAAACGATTCCCTGGTTTTTTACTCGTTTAAAACCTTTGATTTGTGTTTTTGGTACGCGATAAGCACTGCTAGGTTTAGTGATGGCTATTAGGTCAACTGGAGATGATTCTTGATTTGTATTTTCTAAATGGCTTATTTCATCTGGCTCCTCAAAATTCTCAATTTTCACATCAATATTTGACAATTCCGCTCGATCGCAGTTATTGATGTCATAAAATTCAGTGTGTGCGTTTCCATCGTTTTTGGAAAAAGTATCGTCTCCCTGTGAGTAAATTGATTTTTCATTAAATTTTACGTTTTATGACTTTCTTCGAAATAAAAATGACCCAAATGCTTAAAATGCGGATAGAGATGTGTGAAAACAGAACACAATATAAAAGTGCATCATTGGTTACTGTGTGTACATATATTCCTAAAAAAATGTGCTCATCTGACAGCATTTTAACCACTTGAGAAAACACCAAATAATATAATTGAATCGCTTACTTCAACAGCTGAATGATTTTCATGAACCTGATGTGATATTATAAATTTTTCTTCACCGCTGTCAACCTCATATAAATTTGGAAGTAACCCGAATACAGTTGGAAGCAGCTTGTCAACCGTTAATATTGCATTCAATTCCAAATTATTGAATATTTCTGCATCCAAACCCGTTATAAACTTATCGATTAGCATGAAATCGGACAGTTGTCCATAATCACAACGTCCTACTGATTCAAACACTCGTTGAAACCATTCTTCTATCGTTTCATATTGTTGTTTTTGATTTGCATGAAATGATTTTCGATGAAGAATGGCTGAAATGGACGGTGTTTTATATTCAGGCATATTGAATTTATTGTTGAATAAATAACAATATCAACCGCACAACACACACTCACGTTTCTTCATCAACAAAAATCTATCAAAACACCACACATAATGTCAACTGTCATAATATGTGATGTGAGGTAGCAGATGTAGGATGGAGTAGATTAAGTGTCATTTCAAAATGAATCGAATCATACAATTTATTTTGATAGTTACAAAACTACCAAATTAAAAATTGGGAGATTGTTGTTTCTAACAAATGTACAGGGGAGAGAAAAGTTATCTATCTAACCAGCGTAAGGAGCGCTAGTTTCAAATCGTTCTTGTGTTGTATGGAATTATTGTATCATCAAATTTGGATACACTTTTTTGTGTTTTCTTCCAATATATCAAAGAATTTAACTTCGATTTATATTTTAATTACTCAATATTTTTGGAAAACAATAATTTTCATTCCATAAATCCATATTTTTGGCGATTTTTTCGGATTTTTGTACGGGAAGTGTATCTTAATTTGACCGTATCGTAAAATAAATGTCTGATTCAGTTGCCTCGTATCAAAAAAACCCCCAAATACCAATTTTCATACAAATCGATTACCAGACATACGATCTTTCAGAATAGCGAAAAATGGAAACTTCAAAAAACTTTTTGTAAGAAGTCATGCGCCAACCGAGAAAAACGGTTATCACCACTGGATTCCTTGGTTCCGAATTAGGTAAGAATGACTAGTCCCGTCTCTGTTGTTTTTTTGTAACTAGGACTTATTATACTGTGTTTTCATTGTCTTTATATAATAACATCTAGTAATTTTCAATAAGTAACTGTGTGTTCTAAGTTGGTCAAATTTTTATTTATTTCGAAAATGACAAGACTACATTTGTTGTTTCTTTTCATGGATTCGATCGGTATGCGCTTTTAATGCAGACGGCTGACTAAATGTACTATCGCACCTCAAGCATTTATATGGACGAGCGCCAGTATGCACATTATTATGAATTCTCAAGTGATATATGGATGAGAATCGTTTCATGCATGTAGTACACAGGTGCGGTTTTTCACCTTGATTATGTATTGAGATCAGATGTTTGCGCAAACTTGAAAGTTGACGAAATTTTTTGTGGCATAATGAACAGGGATACGGTTTTTCACCGGTGTGCGTCAACATATGACTTCGATAAGATGATCGTGAGACCAGCAACATGTTGCATACACCACATTGGAATTCTTTAATTCCGGAATGTTTGCGGTGGTGTGAATTGAGCTCGTTGATTGTTTTATATCCATTGCCACACGTTTCACAGATGAACGGCCGATAATCAGGATGCATATGTAAATGATCGTGCAAGAGACCACGCTTTGAAAATTCCTCATCGCAACAGGGACATTTGTGCATTTTGATGGTGCCATGATACTGAAAGTTTTTTTTTTGTGGAATGTTAATTAAGTTGATATTGACCCAGAGGTTCTCGTCTCTATTTAAGAGAAACCTCGTGATAGTAGAAAATAAATTCGACCGAAAAGATTCAATTACCTTTTTTAAATGTCTACTGAGCACCTCTCGGCTGATGGTGGTTTTTGTGCACTGTGGACAATTGAAAACTTCCCGTTTTTCTACTGGATGGTATACATTTATATGTGCTCGTAGTTCATACAATCGTCTACATTTCAGCAAACACAAATAACATTCAAACTCTTTATTCGGTTTTTGATATTTTCGTTTCGATTTTACCGCTTTCGTTTCCATATATTTTCGAAGGCAACGTTTCGCATCGATCGATCTGTGAGACATTAAAATTGTTAATTATTTAGTGTAATCTATAAAGATCCATATTTGAACTAACATCAAAAGGGAACTTTCATCGATTGACACTTTTGTTCTATCACCTTCGTCATATCCCCGGTCTTCGGTTTCAATTGCTTCATCAATCATCACAATTTCAGTTTGAATTCTTTCATCGCAAGCAATGTAATTTCTATCTGTCGGTTTTTGTGATTTCCGATCTCGCCAACGTTTAACTCTTTCTCGCGTAGCTCGTCGACGCTCGTTTATTAAATGCAATTGCAATTCTGGCGGTAGGTACTGTTCATTCTGTTTTGTTTTCATGCGTCTATTTTTGGCCGATTCGGCTTTTTTCCTTTTGTACTCTTCGTATCGACCGGTCCGTTTTAGCATCTCTATATGCTTTTTATTGCGTTCAATGTTATCACGGCGACTCTGAAATTGAATTTTAAATGCATATTTAAAATAAAACAAATCTGTCCATTTTTATATAGATTTTCAATGAAAAAATATACCCTTTTCTCCTTCTTGCTATTAGGTTCTGTTGTTTTTTCTCTCTTTGTGGTAAATAATTCATCTTCATTATTCTCAAATTGGATAGATTGATCTTCATGATAATCTGATTCACATTCCGCTTTATTCTGAAATTCAAGACAGGATCCGTATTCGGTTTCATTTGTTACGACATCTTTTTCCTGTAATGAAAAAATAGCCAGAAAATATACCAAAAATATGAATGGCTTTGCCTATCTTACTTCATTTTTTATTTGAATATCCACAATCTCTATGCCGTCGTTATTTTCCGCACTATTCATCGAAAGGTTTCTAAAAATGTGTGCATTTCCAATTACAACTAAAATCAATTCTTCCGTCGTCCAAGTGGAAACTTGTGAGATCTTGTCAAAATCACTATCATTGAGACCGCTTACAAATTTATCAATCAGCATATAATCGGAAAATCGCTCAAATTCACATTTTTCAATTGAATTTTGAAGCCGCTTAAACCAATCAGAAATACATTCGCTCTGTGGTTTTTGTGTTGCATGGAATTGTTTCCGATAATGAAATGCACCTGTCGATGGAGTTTTGTACACTATCATGTCTATAAAACAATTTTATACTATTTTCATTGAGCAAACTGATTTTTTTTTCTATTGGAGGAATCAAAATAAACAAAGTATATGCGTGACAGCCTCCTGACAGAACAATGTGTCAATGTGTCTAGTTTGAAAACGAAATCTATTACATTTTTATTCAATCTCTCTATGCGTGAATGTCAGTTTGACAGCTTTCGAGATTGACTGTGTTTATGTACCAATGTAATCATAAATTTAAACTGTTCACACAAATAAAAATCATTGCCATTGAAAAAAAAAATGAGTACATCCCTGAAATTGTATCAAACACCAACCGAAGTGATTCGTCAGAATCGAAAAACATTTTATTCTGTACAAAAATTTAGCGATGAATCTATGTCACAATGGTTATGGCGAATCAGAGAGTATATGGTTGATTGTGAATTTGGTGCCGTCGCCGAATTTATTCTGATTGATAAATTCATTTGTGAGCTCACACTGGACGATGCTGATAGACTAAAGAACTGTAATTTATGGTCGTTGAAGCAATTGGAAGAGGCTGTTCAGCACAACGATTTTAGTGAAGAAAACACAAAACCAAACGAAATCTTAGACATCAAATTAGATATTGTGAGCATGAAAATTTAAGTTTTTTAATCTTTTTTTTTGTTGGTATAATTCACATTACAATGATTTTATTTGTATTCAGGATCATGATGTTTCATTTGTTGGCACAAACCTCAGTAGCAGCAGCGATTCTGAGGATAATATACGTCTTGCCGACATAAAACGAGAGATTAAGACTGAAAAAGAGAATAAGAACCAGAATCCGTTGAACGACAAAAAGGGAAAAAAGAAACCAATATCCAAATCAAGATCAATCAAGAAATCACCAGAAATCAAAGGATTTGTAATTGACGAAGCAAATCGATTTCATTGTTTGGATTGTGGGAAAAAGTTCACACAAAAAGCATCATACGTTCAACACTCTAGACTGTAAGCAAAAAAAAAATCTACACTTGAATTAACTGTAATATAATTTTCAACGAATTTATCTGACACAGACATACCGGTGAAAATCTTCTCTCATGCACGATATGCAATAAATTATTTCTAAAACCGAGTCATTTGAAAGGACATTTCAAACGTCACGAACGTGAGAGTAATGTGATTGGTAAAACGTTCGAATGTCATCTCTGCAAACACCAATTTTTGGCCATGAATGGACTGAGAGTTCACATGAATGTGAAACATGTCACCGGCGTGAAAAATGCATTCCAATGCGAACATTGCAATGAAGTATTCGTAAATCAAACAGTATTGGACGATCATCTTCGATCGGTATGGTATATGCTAAATTTCAATTTTTCGTTAAATAAACTGATTTTTAAATGTGAAACAGGAACATCAAATGAAGGTGACTCACAAATGTCCGCATTGTAATAAGGCGTTTGACCAACTATCAAATATGAAAGAGCATTTGACAGTACATTCGGAAGCAAAGCCTTTTATGTGTGAGGTGTGTGGCAATGCATTCAAAACAAAGAAGCAACTTCATCTTCATATGACCCGGCACACAAATGAAAGACGATATAAATGCGGTGAATGTGGTCTTATGCTCAAATCTCGATCAAACTATAAAAACCATATGAGACAACACACTGGCGGTATGTTTTTTTTTTCAAATATATTTCCATTTACAAATTATTAATCAATTGACTTCTTCATTAATAGAACGACCCTTTGCATGTACATTTACGCATTGTGAAAAAACCTTTGTTCAACGTGCAAATTATCTCAAACATTTGCGATGGCATACTGGTGAATAGAAGACATTTTTCCATATTAAATGATTAGAGTTTAAATCAATTTGTGATTAATCTTATTATTTTCGTTGTTATATTGAAGGTATCAAACCACATGGATGCACCTACTGTGAGAAAAGATTCCCGACCGCTTATGATATGAAATTGCACATGAATTCCATACATACTGGATATAAGGTTGGTAAAATATCGATTTGCTATCTGCCGAGACTAAAATCGTTTTTTTTTTTTAAATTCAAGCCATTTTGCTGTGAAATCTGTGGCAATGTGTTCGCCCAGCCAAGTACACTGCGAGTTCATAGGTTACGAGTACACAAACAAACGTCACAGAATTGATAACGAGTCAAACATTCTTCAAATCAGTATTCCAATAAAAAAAATATTCTTAACGTTTAATAGTCTAAAAAGTGTTTACGTCTCGTGAAGTTTAGTATTTATTTTTACACATATTGGTATGTGTAAACTTTGTATGATTTCCACACATGTGCACGTCATTGATAACACTGAACAACAACATTGAACACACAGAGAAAATGGATGAAAAGAAACAGGCGCTAGCAGCTTATGTGTAAGTATGCTAAGACAAGGAGAGAAAAACGTAAATAAAGTGACGAAAACAGATACACGCATACCAACACCATTGCAAATTTTGCTCTGTCATCGTAGTCATTTGACATTTTACTGATATGCGTGATTTTTGTGAAAAACATCAAACTCGAAAAACACATTGCTGTTACAGTTCACATTTTTTTCCGTAAAAACTGAATGTGACTATTTTAGTGTATTAAAATTTGAATAAGTTTCCTTTACAAAAAAAAATAATCATCCATAAAAATGGCATTTCGAATAATTTCAGGAAAAAGGCAAATCTTTGCATTGGCCAATTTGTCTCGTTCAAATCAAAACCAAATGAATGGATCGTTAAATCGTCGCAATGTCTGTACATCGATGTCCCTGTGGAAACGTGTCGCCTTCAATTTGAGTGATATTGGCGAGGGAATACGTGAGGTTGTTGTTAAAGAATGGTTCGTTAAAGAAGGAGATGTTGTTGAACAATTTGATAATTTATGTGAAGTACAAAGTGATAAGGCATCGGTAACAATAACCAGTCGATATGATGGAAAAATCTTGAAACTGTATCATGATATTGATGAAATTGCTTTGGTTGGCAAACCATTAATTGATTTCGATGTAACAGACGATGCAAACACCAATGAAGATGTGGACAAAACTGAAAGGATTATCGCCAAAGAGAAAGTACAAAACAAAAAAATTGACATTAAATCAGTGAATCCAGAGAAAATCCCAACCACACCAGCCGTTCGTCGTATTGCCAACGAAAACAATGTGAATTTGGCTGAAATAAAGGCAAGCGGACCAAACGGACGCATTTTAAAAAGTGATATTATGGAGTTCTTGGGTATCATACCACCAACTAACGATAGCAATCGATCAAAACCATTGGTAGAAAAACCAAAGAACGTTCAATCACCAATTGCGACAGAACCAATGCACAGTACAATAGGTAATCGTGTGGAAAAGTTAAAGGATGTACGAAAAGTGATGTTCAAATCAATGACATCTGCATTGAAAATTCCACATTTTACCTACAGCGATGAAGTAAATGTCACCGATTTGATCGAACTACGCAATAGTTTAAAGGCGGAGGCCGAATCGATCGGTGTGAAATTAACATTTATGCCATTCTTCATAAAAGCCGCATCGTTGGCACTTGCGAAATTTCCAATTTTAAACAGTAGCATCGACGAAGAGAATGAATCGATCATCTATAAATCAGCCCATAATATAAGCATTGCCATGGCCACACAAAGCGGTCTAGTTGTACCAAATGTTAAGAATTGCGAACAAAAAACCATTTTACAAATTGCACGAGATTTTAATAATTTATTGGAACGAGGACGTAGTGGAAAATTGACACCGCCTGATTTTCAAAATGGCACATTTTCGTTGTCAAACATTGGGGTTGTGGGTGGCACGTACACAAAACCTGTGATCACGCCGCCTCAAGTGGCGATCGGTGCGATTGGAACCACACATATTGTCCCACGTTTTGTTGGTGACAGTGATAAAATACAGCGCGCTCATTTGATCTATGTCAGCTGGTCGGCCGACCATAGAATTGTTGATGGAGTCTCCATGGCTGGATTTTCAAACGAATGGAAACGATATCTCGAAAATCCAAATCGATTTGTATTACAGTAGATGCGAATTGAGTTTTGGATTTACACGACTTTTCTGTTACGCTATTGCTACTACTACCTTTCTTATTTTTCATTTACTATGTTACAATCTATTCACCTCAACTTTTATTATCGGCTGAAGATGTTTTTTTTTAATGAATAAATGCATTTTTTGAGTTCAAAATTATAAATAGATCGAGTTTTTATGTAACAAAATAATGTCAAAGTTTTCAATTATTTATTCGAATCCAAGAAAAAAGGAGTTACAAATTTCAAAAATAAATTCGAGGTAACAATGTACATGGTAAATTAATAATTTATGCCAATTTATACACGAGCAACTTTGAAACATTTTAACATAAATAATTGGCAAGCACACATCACTTTAATTAAGTCAATGTGTTTTTTATGTATACGCGTTCATGCACCACTCCGAGCAGAAGCAGACAATACTTGTTTTCTATTTCGAGTATTTGGAATGTATAATATTCTAATGCTATATAAACTAGGGTTCGATTGCTCAGAAAACGAAATTTCAAATGGGGGATTTAGCGTTTTGGATACATGTAGAAATATAGTCCTATGAACCGGTACAGAACAAAAAAAAACAACTATTGAATGTCAACGGCCAAGCAAGAAAGAGACGAACAATATGTTGTATTCGATAAAAAACCATTAGTGTATTATCTCTATATCTTTATTTATTTATTTCTTTTTGTTGGTTTTGATTGTACGAATGCTATTGTTATCTATGTGTATTTTGTTATCGTAGAGTGAACAAAAAATGAAACTATGCAGAATAGACTATCTAACACCAAAAAGAGGGTGGCTGATACAAAAACACGCATACTCACATTGCATATATACGGCCACATATTTTGGAACGTGCCGGTGTCTTTGTGTGTATTAGTAATATAATGGCATCGGCTCACTTGTCAACATCTAAACGAAAATAATGCGTTTTGATGGAAATGGAAAATCATTCTTGTTTTGGATGCGCAGAAATTTACAACGCGACCGAGAAAAACGCAGCCATTTTCTCTTCTCTGAATAAAAATATAAACAAAACATTTGACGAAATTAAGGCAGGTTTTATTATTTTGTCATTTAATAGGACATTTCTATGTTTAATGACAAGGCCAAGGAAATCTTAATTAAAATACGTATTTATGTGGAATATATTTGAAATGTATTAAAACATGTGTGATTTATACGGCTGATACAGTGAATGATATATTTTCTGTGATTTAAAAACTATCGGACTATCTTGAGGAAATCCATTTTGCATATTACTTATTTTAAATCGGATTTCGTGAGAAAAGTGTTTGACTTTGCGTACGGAAATTGGCAGCGACAACAAGACGCATTAGTATTGAGTTACTGCAGAAACCGCAAAAACAATTGCATTTCCCATTTTCACCTACATTTTACGATAAGGAAATATATAAGAAACAAGTAGCCACAGCAAATATGTCTCCAAGCCTAGCTTCAAGTACTCATGCAACACGTATGAAACCTACTAATCTAAAGGCCAGTCTTCTTCAATACGATGCCAATTGGGTGTGGAGTAAACGACATCGGTCACATGAAGTCATTCTATCCGAATCATATCGCAAAGGTGAATATAGTACCAATTTGCTTCTTCATTTTACATAAATTTTTTCTTCCTATTTTCATTAGTATATTTTCATCCAAATTGGAGTAAGGGAACGGCTGGTGTGCGTGGTACACATGCGATAAACAGTTGCCGTCATTATTGGGAAATTCATGTGTCGCATCGAGTTTTTGGTACAAGGTAGTCATACCTCTTTAAATTTCTCCTTTCGTATACCATTTAAATTTCATAAAATACATTTAAATGAATGTTAACATTCCAGTATGATGTTTGGAGTTGGTACGGCTAACGTACGATTGAACGCAAATATGTTTGTAAATATGTTGGGCGAAGATGAGAACGGCTGGGGATTGAGCCATAAAGTGAGTCACTCTAAAGTACAAAAAAATCATAAAATACATTGTCATAATACATATTTAAACGGATTTTAGGGTTTGGTGTGGCATGGTGGGTTCACGTATAAGTTTTCTGAACCATTTATTGAAAACGAAGCGACCGTAATTGGTATATATTTTGATGGTTTAAATGGAACGCTAACTTATTACAAAGATGGACGATGTTTGGGTGTTGCGTTCCATGATTTGAACAAAATTGGAGAACCATTGTATCCGATTGTGATATCGACATCAGCCAAAACGGAAATGGTTTTAACCGAGACGCGACGTGATTTTCCCAGTTTGAAAGATCGATGCCGTGGAGAAATTCTGAAACACATCAAACAAAAATCCAATCTGGAAAATTTGGGACTCAAGAACCATGAAGTTGTGAATTATTTGTTGGATGAATTTTATGAGCCTCAACCTTGAACCTTTCGTTTATGAGAATCCTCCGAAAATGTCTATATTTTAAAAAGTTCTTACCTCAACAAATTTATCGATTTATATTTTTATTGATTGAATTAATTTATCGTAGCTCGTGTAAAATACGATGAATTTTATATTTTATATCCGTCGATTGACCAAGAAATTATACAACCCAAAAATCTAGTCATAAAAAGATTGATTTCGATAGTTAGTGATCTGAATAAGACTTACATGAGTATTATATTTTATGCAATAGTAAAATAAATAGTACAAACAAAACTAGCCGCACTTATAAATAAATCAAGTTTTTATACAACAGAACAATGTTCCAGTTTTTTTTGTGATTTTCAGCCAGGAATAAAGGACAAGCAGTAATAAACTTCCGCGAGGTAACACAGAAAATTGTAAATAAAAAATGTATGCTCAACACTCGAGCAAGTTTGAAACATTTTAACATAAATAATTAGAAAGCGCACACTATGAACGTAATCGTAGAGCGGTAAAGTAATACACAAATGTATAATAATAAAAATTGCAACTCTGTTGTTAGTTTAATTAAGGAAATGCGCTTGATATGTATACGCGTTCGTTCAGCGCTCCGGCCAGAACCAAGTAGTCATTGTTTTTTTTTCTATTTCAAGTGTTTATAATGGATAAAATTCGAATGCAATTTAAACTAGGGCTCTGGTTCGATTACCGAGCCATCGAAGTTGGGGGGTGAATTTTTTGAATTCACTATGATGTATAGGAACAAAGTCGGTGTTGTTTATGTCCAATGACTATGAATCAGCTTAAAATGGAAAAAGAAAGGTTTATGATGTTCAAATGTTTACGGCAACAGTTGAACTAGAAGCCAGAGACGAAAAGTATTAGTTCTGTTGTTTCAGATAATACTATTTTGGCAGGCGTTAAGTAGATACCAAACAATATGAATATTCATTCCATCATTCAATGCTAGACAAAAAGTGGAAAGACGTGAATATAAGCCTTCATAACGCTATTTTCATATTTTTCGTCTGGTTTTAGTTGATTTTTGTGCGAACGCTGTTGTTTTCGTCGTTATCTATATGTACTTTGCTGTCGTACAGTGAACACAAATATTGAAATCATTCAGCATATAACACCGAAAAGAGGGTGGCCGATACGCATACTCACACAACCGCACACACATATTCGTACGACCGTATATTTCGGAATATACAGAAGTCTCTGTGTGTATCAGTAAATGATATGGTATCGGCTCACTCAGCGGCAGCAAAATAATGCGTTTCGATGGAAGTGCATTTGAAAGTGGAAAATCATTCTGATTCTGGTTGCGCACAAAATCACATCGCGACCAAGGAAAACGCAGCCATTTTTCCTCACACAGAACAAAAAATAAGTATCAAAGCATCAAATAAAATTATAATAAGTGATAAAAAAAGTTAAACGATAAAATAGACTTGTGAAAGTTTCCACATAGTAGAAATACACTTTAAAAAATAGAAAAGTGAACGAATAAAATGTAAGCAAGATACCATTAGTTCAGTTGATGACGACGACAGAATCGATAATGCTTAGACAAAATAAAGCGAAAAAAAAATCAACGCATGACTAAGTGCTGTCTATTGCTCTGCAAGGGACCTCAATCGAAATCCATATTTGTTCTGAAAATAGAAAGAAAAAATTTAAAGACAGTGAATAAAGTTTCAGCACAATAAAATTGTTGCTTAAATGACTCTGATAATAGTGTTATTGTTTTTCAAGTCACTTTGTTTGTATCTACAGTCAATTGTTTTATTTTGCTACGAAAAGTTTTTGAATCCAAAGCAACGATACGGCGGTGGTGGTGGCGGCGGATCGTCATTATCAGGTAGTAATTATAATCAACGTCAGCGTTCAGGATATTCATTCTCAACTTCATCATCGAGTGCATTGAATAAGGCACGTGCAAGTGAACGGGAACAATTGCTGGAAAAAATTCGAGCACGAAAAAGGGCTGCCAAACAGCGAACATAAAACTGTATTGCCGCAAATCGATATTGAGAACAAAATCAAATGAAACGAAGCAAAAAAAGGCTGTACACTTCGACGCATTCAATTAAAAAAAAAGAAGACTTGCTAGAACAGTAGTTTCTATGGTATTCCATATCCAATTAATAGCTGAGCGAATAGCATTTGTGCGACAAGTAGAAAAACAAGAATAAATAAACATTTTTTTTCTTTTGTTTGGAATAAATGTTAACAAGACAGTTTCATGAAAGTAAAATTATCTGTGTAAGAGTTCAAATTATTGCCACCGAAATAAATTAAATTTTGATGAATCAACCGCAGGCAAAGAAAACGAATATTCGTTGAATCATATTTTTTGAAGCGCAAAACTCAATGGGGTGCACTGTGGTAATCAAATATTTTTGATGGATTCGTTCATAGAGTACTGGTAAATATACAGTGTTGCTTTATCGGGATCGAATCGAACGTCATGTGTACAACGTAATCACGCACAAACATAACTGAACAGTTTCCCATTTTCACTCATTGTGCGATTAGAATCGAAACGTTTCTGTATGCATGCGTGTGTGTGATCTCGCGTATTCTTGGTGTGTGTGAGTGTTTAAATTGAATGCGATTTCTTCAGCTCTAGCTTCAGCTATTCCGAAGCGGAGTTCGGCGACCCTTTTATTACCAAGGCAGTTGTTACATATGATTTTGCTGCTTCAACTCAAACAGAAAAGAACACTTCGTCGTCATTCTAGTGTGTTGCTGGAAATGATCAACTAAATAAGCAACCCCAATCGATTTTCTTCTCTATTCTACCACCACCAAATCTATTTGACTGTGTGTGCGTACATCATCACACACATAAATTTCGGAACACATTCACTTGCACCATTTTTACTTAGCTTGCAACATGATTGGATTTTGTCGTAAAATTATACGAAAACAACTATTTACAATTACTGTGGTCAAGACAATTTCGAAGATATATTGAATTACTGCTAGTCAAGAGAGAAAGGAAATAAACGTTAAGAAAATACCTCTCTGTATATGGGTCAGTACTGTGACTGGTTCTGTGATTGAGTAACTATTGGACTATCTTAAGGAAATCCATTCTGCATATTACTTATTTTTAATCGGATTTCACGAGGAAAGTGTTTGACTTTGCGTACGGAAATTGGTCGTGACAACGACACGCATTAGTATTGAGTTACTGCAGAAACCGCAAAAACAATTGCATTTCCAATTTTCACCTACATTTTACGAAAAGGAAAAAATATAGGAAACAAATAGCCACAGCAAATATGTCTCCAAAACGTCATTCAACCGCTCCGCACATTGAACATTTCAATCGAAAAAGCATTCATCACACACTTGAATACGATGACGATTGGGTGTGGAGTAAACGACATCGGTCACATGAAGTGGTGCTGACCAAACCATGTCGCAAAGGTGAATATTAGTAGTAAATTATTACTTTACAAAATTTCTATTTTTAAAAACAAAAAAATTTGCGATCACGTTGTTAGGAGTGTGTTGTCATGCAATTATTCTTCCGGTCTCGAATTCATGAGTAAATTTTTTACAACTTTTTTTTTCAGCGTATTTTCATCCAAACTGGAGTAAGGGAACAGCTGGTGTGCGTGGTACACATGCGATAAACAGTTGTCGCCATTATTGGGAAATTCATGTGTCGCATCGAGTTTTTGGCACGAGGTATAACTATTCCCATTTTTTATTTTCTGTTGTATTTCTTCAAAATTCATAAAATACATTTAAATGAATGTTAACATTCCAGTATGATGTTTGGAGTTGGTACGGAGGACGCACGATTGCATGCAAATAAATTTGAAAATATGTTGGGCGAAGATGAGAACGGCTGGGGATTGAGCCATAAAGTGAGTCACTCTAAAGTACAAAAAAATCATAAAATACATTGTCATAATACATATTTAAACGAATTTTAGGGTTTGGTGTGGCATGGTGGGATCGCGTATAGATTTACCGAACAATTCAATGAAAACGAAGCGACCGTAATTGGTATATATTTTGATGGTTTAAATGGAACGCTAACTTATTACAAAGATGGACGATGTTTGGGTGTTGCGTTTCGTGGTTTGAACAAAGTTGAAAAACCATTGTATCCGATTATAATATCGACAGCAGCCAAAACGGAAATGGTTGTAAGCGAGACGCGACGTGATTTTCCCAGTTTGCAGGATCGATGTCGTGCCGAAATTCTGAAACACATCAAACAAAAATCCGAGCTAGACAAATTAGAATTACCCACTGTCATCGTCAGTTATTTATCGAGCGTGTTTTTTGAACCACAATCACTTACACCCGTCGATAATTATGATCGCCCGTAAATTATATACATATTGAAACGTTCTCATTTCATTCATACATTTTTTTTAACGAATTATTCCATTTCTGATAGTTTCTTTTACACTGTGTTACATTATTTAATTTAAAGTGTAAACAGCCGACGGTGGATAGTTAACCAAGAGATTATATACGAGCTAAAGCCATAATAGAATCGTTTTACTTAAGTAAAATTAAAATGAGTATAAATTAAACCCGAAATAAAAAAAAGGACTAATGTGATTGTGTATGTTTTACGATGAATAATAGTATTCACACTTAGAATGTCAATGTTTCGAACACACTTTAGCTAATATAATTGAATGTATTTTGTAACAGATTGTACGGAGTGCACAATAGTTTAGGAGAAAGAATTGCACAAAAAATTCGAATGTCTTTTGGTTACACAAATCGTTATCTACGATTCGACGTGGATTCAATCGATCGATGCCATATAGCATAGCAGTATTATTATTTTTTGGAACGAACTAAAAACAACAAACAATTGAAATTTTACCTATTTTTATGCATTCTTATGAAGTATTCAAAGAATATAATCTAGTCAATTTTTTTCTTGTCGGAGTGAAATTAAAACAATAACTTATTTTTGGTAATGTAATTTGAAAATCTAGTCAAAAAAAAACACATGACATTTTCCGTAAATGAAAAATTCGGTAAATTTTTTTTTTAATTGGGCCAACATTGTGCAATAACAGGAAAATAGAAAATATTTCTTTTCAAAATGAATGTTTAACTGTGAACATTTTTTTATGTAATAGATGTCATCATCGAAATGATGCATTTACAAATAGCGAACAATTTGTTATAGTACATAGATATCCAATGGAAAATAAGATGCTTATAAAATATTGTCGAATGTGTCATGTTAAGAACATTTCAGGAATTAACCTAGGGTGAATCAGAAAAGAAAAATGGAACTAGCCCATCTAAACGTCATTACTATTGATGTCGTCAATGTATTTAAACATTTTATTCTAGTCATTTAAGTAATTTTTAATAATCGAAACCAATGAAACGTTCGATTGTAAACAAATGAAATTTCATACAAACTGATTTTTTTCTAGTGTAAAATTGTGTTGTTTCATTCCATTTTACTTTTAAGAGCGAAAAAAAAACGAAACAAAAGAAAATCGATAAAATTTGAGAGAAAAAAACATCCACGTAAAACGTATAAATTAAAACAAAGACTGTGTGGTTCCATTTAAATACTTTTATTTTATTAAAAGAATTCTGAAAGAAATGTATAAACATTTGCAAACGTTTCTTTCACTTTATGTTTGATGGATATATTTTAATTAGCGTGACATGCAATTGTCGGTTGTTTTGCTGTTTTTTTTTTACTTCACTCGCGCATTAAATGTTTGTTTTTTCTTATTCGCAATTTTAGATTAATTCAATTTGTGTACAGGCCAAACAAATATCCAATTTAATTATTTTGTGGTTGAGTTTTAGCGCTTTGCAGTGATTGCGTCATGTACACTTTGGCTAACGATTGTGAACAGAATTGGGAAATGTGTTGAGCGTAAGTATTGATTTGTCCGGAAACAATCATCGAATTCAATCGCGATGGAACTGGCAATGGTCTGAATGTTTTCAAAACTTCTTCATCTGGAACTGGTGCTTCGCCCTTAGCAATACGTGAATTGTTCTCTTGTTGATTCTTAGCCAATACACGAGTTTTATCCTGTTTGAAAATTCGGAAAAAATTTATTAATTTCATTCAATATAAAAGAAAAAGTAGAGAAACAAAAGTTATTTCCTCACCATATCTTGACGAATAACTGCTTGTTGATACTTGTTAAATTTGGTGGCTTCTTGGTTAAGTTCATCGACGCGTTCCATCAACGAGCGTAAATGGTTCTCCAGAACAGATGCTGTGCCCAAATCCAAGAAATGTGTACCAGACTCTTCTGGAATTAATTCGCCCAATTCGGACATCATAATATTCGTCAATGGTGAATTCTTGATGTAAATTGGCACTTCAACGAACAATTTTTCGTAGCTTATTTTCAAATTCTTGAGAGCTTCGGCAGTAAAATCACCATCTTTATACATAGCAATTGCTTGTGGTGTTAAACGATATGCTTTCAATGTGAGAAAACCGCGGGCCGATTTTTGTGTATCATAAATGACAACGACCGATTCCTCAATGCTGGTTTGATAGTGGTATTGCGATTCGAGCAATGGCAACGATAAAAAGTTACCAACATCGGCACTTTGATACCATCCAACATGAAAATGATCAACATTAACACGACGCAATCGACGCATCATTGCCAATTGATATTCTTCTTCGTCCATCGTTTCGTCGCCGGACTTTGGGAATGGAAAACAGTTCGTAATTTCCAATGTTTTACCGAATGCCAATCCAAGCAAAGCCCCTTGAGCCAAATCCATATTACTTTGTGACTCTTCATGGCAATGCTTTACCATTTTCATAACAGCCTAAAATTTACACATCCACACAAAAATTAAACATGAATAAATTTAGTTTTTGCATCGCAAACAATTGAAATGGCATGAAAAATGTGAAAAAAGATCGAAATTTTTTACATTTCCTAACCTTATTTTATTTTATTAATGATTTGACACAGAATTGTATTCGTGTGTGTGTATGTGTATGTGTGCGTGTAATGGTGACGAGTATAAGCGTGCAGCATGTTCGTCATTAGTGCCGACACACACAACTTTTCAATTCCAAATTTATCATCGATTTTTCACATTTTTACGCCAAACTTTAATAAATTCGTACTCACCAAACCATCACAATGCACGGATGCAATTGTATTATCCGATTCTTGTTGGCGTTGATTTTGATTTCGGCGATTTTTTCCAGACATTGTTTCACGACTTTATCACACTTGACAAATTAAATGAGAAGACACAACTATACTGTTGTATTGGGATGGTTCGCATGAAGTTGGCCACAAGGCTGACATCTTACTTTTGTAATGAAGTAATAGATTGCGAAACTATTACATTGAAATACATGAATGTTTTGACATATGATAATTTACGTAAAATCCACTTGTAAATAAATGAAACGTTATGAAAATAAATAGTTCTTTTTTATATGTATTACACAATTTAAACATAGAAGAGAAATTATATAAATTTTATCACCCGATATAACATCGGTTGAGACGGCGAAGAGGGCAACGAAGAATTTCATTTTGATTATTTTAAATTGTCACTTGTTACTTGCTGAAGAGCCAGTTGATACGTGATACCAACTTTTGACCTTTGATTGCCTTTTATGCACAATTTTCAAATAAAGTGTGGCAAGGAAGACATAATCGCATCATAAAAATGGACATTTAGACTTGTACCTCTTTTGGTTTTGAGTATTTGGCAACGGTTGGAACTAATGTTAATCAGTGTAAATAAAATAAGCTTATTTGCGTGTGAATCGCTCACTCTTTTGATCCATCACCATTACATTTTAATGTAAATTGAAAGAAAAAACAATTCAATGAATAATTAGCTAATCAACCGCATCTAAGAGTGATACCATGAACACCATATGGATGCGTATATTTGTTCACAGAGTCGACATTGTTTAACAACGGAGCGATTCTTTTGGATAAATTTCGTATCAGTTTTGTTATGTAACATATTTTTGAATTCATCAAAAGTTGAGATGTTTTTAAAACAAGAGAAAAACGAGTTATGTGTTATTTCAAAAAAGAATCATTCATTGCTAAATGGATGGGTTTAATGCCAGCAAAACCGAAATGCCAAAACATCTGTCAGCTATGACGAAGTGACAGCTCAACAATGTTAATATTGTTACTGTTACTGCCGACAATACACGTTTTTCTCTACTCATATTTCATCATCTCATTGTGCTGTAAAAGAGAATGTAAGTATAATCTTTCAATCTGTTTGTTTATGGTGATCTTGTGATGTCTGCAGCTTTACAAAATATTCAAATTAAAAAATCATTTGATTTTTTTTTCGTTTATTCAAATATTTAGAGTTGACGTTGATAAGTAGGTTATAAAACATACATGTGAAAAATGGCACCAAGCCCGGTTGAAGCGAATGTGCAAAGTGGTGTTCCGAAATTGAGTGCAGAAAATGGTTCATCCGATGGAGATTTGTATCGTGTTCCAGAGACAATTAATTTTCCTGCAGAAGAAGAGGAAACATTAAAATTTTGGGGCGACAATAAGGTGTTTGAAAAATGCCTTGAGCAATCGAAAGGAAAACCAAAGTAAGAACCAATTTATTCATTTTTTAAATTATAAAATGCAGTAATATTGAATGAGAAATATGCAATAGTAAAAGTGTCTGATGAAATATCGATTGCGTCTTGCACATCATGCCATTTAAAATAAATGTCATAATAAAAACATTTGTATTGATGATTCATCCATTTATCGCTAAATGACGATTACGATTGCACATTGCACAAAAACAAAAATTAAAGTCTCTCATTTTTTATACTAAAGCTATACTTTCTACGATGGGCCACCATTTGCAACTGGATTGCCACATTATGGTCATATTTTAGCTGGTACAATTAAAGATGTTGTTACACGGTATGCACATCAACAAGGCTATCACGTTGAACGACGATTCGGTTGGGATTGTCACGGTTTACCCGTTGAATATGAGATCGATAAAACGCTCAACATTCGTGGACCAGAAGACGTTGCCAAAATGGGAATTGCGGCATACAACAATGAATGCCGAAAAATTGTCATGCGTTATGCTAACGAATGGGAGCAAATTGTAAATCGAATGGGTCGATGGATTGGTGAGTGACATCTTCATTCTTTTACATTTTTTCTTCAATATTTTAGTCTAAATAAATCATTTGAAATTATTATAGATTTCCGTAAGGACTACAAAACGTTGTATCCATGGTTTATGGAATCAATTTGGTGGGTTTTCCATCAATTGTTTGCCAAAGGTTTGGTTTATCAAGGTGTAAAGGTGATGCCTTATTCAACTGCCTGTACTACCGCTTTGTCGAATTTCGAATCGGGTCAAAACTACAAAGATGTTGTTGATCCATTCGTTGTTGTTGGATTCCCGCTTCTTTCACCGAAATTCAAAGACGTTCAAATGCTTGCATGGACAACAACACCATGGACATTGCCATCGAATTTATCGCTTTGTGTGAATCCGGAAATGGTTTACCTTCACATCAAAATAAAGGACACCGGTGCCCAATACATCTTCTCCGAATCACGAGTTGGCACTGTATTCAGTGATGACAAATTATACGATATTGTAGCGAAATTGAATGGCAAACAATTGAAAGACGAAAAATACGAACCGTTATTTGATTATTTTGTCGAGTATTCGAAAAAAATGAATGCACATCGTGTATTATGCGATGGATATGTTACAGAAGATTCTGGTACTGGAGTTGTTCATCAAGCACCATACTTTGGAGAGGACGATTATCGTGTGTGCTTAATAAATGGTATCATACAAAAAGATAGTGAGATTATTTGTCCGGTCGATGAATCGGGCCGATTTGTTGATCCAGTTTCACATTTCAAAGGGCAATACGTTAAAGATGCCGACAAAAATATCATTGCACATTTAAAAGCAAGCGGTCGTTTGATTCAAAACGGTCAAGTTAAGCATAGTTATCCATACTGTTGGCGATCAGATACACCGCTTATCTACAAAGCCGTCCCATCGTGGTTCATTCGAGTTGAACAAATGTCACAACAATTGCTAAAGTGCTCTTCACAAACATACTGGGTGCCGGACTTTGTGAAGGAGAAGAGATTTGGCAACTGGTTGCGTGAAGCACGAGATTGGGCTGTCAGCAGAAATCGATACTGGGGTATGACTTTTTTATTTGATCGTTTAGCACAAGTTTTTGCATTATCAATTTATTTTTCAGGTACTCCGATTCCAATTTGGATGTCGGCCGATGGCGAGGAAATTGTTTGCATCGGTAGCATTGCAGAGCTACAACAATACAGTAAAACACCAATCACAGATTTACATCGTGAATCAATTGATGACATTGTAATTCCATCGAAGCGACCAGGTCAACCGCCATTACGTCGTATTACACAAGTATTTGATTGTTGGTTTGAATCCGGTTCTATGCCATTTGCGCAACAACATTTTCCATTCGAAAATGAGCAAGAATTCAAAAATTGCTTCCCAGCTGATTTCATTGCCGAAGGTATTGATCAGACGAGAGGATGGTTCTATACATTGCTTGTCATCTCAACGGCTCTATTCAATACGGCACCGTTTAAAAATCTCATTGCAAATGGTTTAGTTTTGGCAGCCGATGGCCAAAAAATGTCCAAACGTAAAAAGAACTATCCCGATCCAATGGAAGTAGTGCATAAATATGGTGCTGATGCTTTACGTTTGTATCTTATCAATTCACCAGTTGTACGAGCAGAAAATTTACGTTTCAAAGAGGAAGGTGTTCGCGATATAATCAAAGATGTATTTTTACCATGGTTCAATGCATATCGCTTCTTATTCCAAAATATTTATCGTTATGTTAAAGACGAACCAACTGCAAATAATCAATTTCAATTTGATGCAACGGTTGTGGCTGGCGCCACCAATATTATGGACGTATGGATTCGATCGTTCAAAGAATCGCTATTGGATTTCACCGCACGCGAAATGAAAGCATATCGTTTGTACACCGTTGTGCCACGTCTAACGAAATTCATTGACCAACTTACAAATTGGTATGTTCGTTTGAATCGTAGACGTATCAAGGGCGAAGAAGGTGTCAAAGATTGTGTTGCATCGTTGAATATTCTTTTCGATGTTCTGGATACAATGGTAAAAATGATGGCACCATTCACGCCTTACCTTTCAGAATACATGTATCAACGTTTGTCACGTTTGAATACATCCAGCAATTTGTCGTCAAAACCACCAGCATCACCGGCTGTGGCAAAGGGAAAAAAGAATTCAGGAGCTGCCACATCATCGACATTCAGTGGCAGTGTTCACTTGGAAATGATGCCGAAAGCAAATCGCGCATATATTCAAACAACCGTTGAAACGGCTGTAAATCGTATGCAAAATGTCATTGAATTGGGTCGAGTTTTGCGTGATCGCAAAACAATGCCAATTAAATATCCCGTACCAAGTGTTATTGTCATCCATAAAAATGAGCAATACCTTAAAGATGTTCAAGCACTCGAACCATTTATTTTGGGCGAATTGAATGCACGTCAGTTGGTCACATGCGCTGACAAAGGTGTATATGGCGTTAAATTACGCGCTGAACCCGATCACAAAACTTTGGGCTTAAGATTGAAAGGTGATTTCAAAAACGTTATGGCTGAAATTAAAAAACTAACCGACGATCAGATTCAAGCGGCTCTTGACCAGGGCTATTTTCAAGTTTTGCAACATCGTGTTGAATTAGAAGAAATTCGCATCATTTATGCATTGGATGAGAAAACAGACTCGAAATTTGAGGCACACAGTGACAACGATGTTTTGGTATTGATGGATTTGACACCGACCGAAGAATTACTATTCGAAGGTGTTGCACGTGAAATCATAAATCGTATTCAAAAATTGAAGAAAAAAGTACAATTAATCCCAACCGATCCGGTTATTGTATATTACGAAATATCGGATACCAACAGTGATTTAAGTAAAGTGGCCAAAACACATCAAGAATTTATTGAAGGAGTCATTAAATCACCGTTTTTGCCACTTGATGCGGCAAAAATAGCAAAAGAAGCGTCAACACGCAGTTTTATTGACGAGGAATGCGATGTTAAGGGGGTCACATTCAAAATAACCATTAGCATGGAAAAGAAAGCGGCCAATGCTGCTGCTGCTGCGAAAACTTCAACGAGTCCGGCAACAAAACCTGTGGCTCGTTGGCTGAATGTAGTCACAAAAATTCAACCCCGTTATTGCTCGTCCGGTGCCAGTAACCTTGGCACCGTTCTCATTGATGATCCCCATAAGAAACCATTAACTCTTCAGAAACTACAGCGCGAAATAGAGCAATTGTTCGGATTGTATCACATGAATTTGTTCTACACATGCAATGGAAAGCCGGTTGATTTATCGTCACCCATTGACACAGCCGAAAAATTCAACGGCGAAACTTTGTTCGTGTCCAACCAACCCGGATACGTGGAAAGCGATAAGAAACTATTAACCACAGCTAAAGTACCGTTTGTAAAATTTTCCAACGTAACGGTTGACGGATTGCCAAGAACGATTTTACTGGAGAATCCAAAGGGTGAACTTTTATAAGAACCGAAGATTCATAAAAACAATCAAAAGTTATTTAAAGATAAAATCAAATTATAAAGAAAATCGTTCTAAAATCGATTAACTTAAATCGCGATAGAAAAAAAAAACTGGCATTCAACATGGATTGATTATTTTCTGTTTGACATATATTCTTGATTTATTGATATAGAATTTCACAAAAGAAATCGTAATAAAATACGAAACAATTTCTGTACTTGGCAATAAAATTGCTCCCGCAAAGAATATTTTTTTCTTCAATAAAATATCGATTTGAGCAATAAAAAATCTTTCATTCATATTTCGTTATTCGACATCGAAATTCGTTTTTATTGTCATTTAGGTTTGCCAATGTCGTTTGCAGTTAATGTGTGAATTATTGGCATGGGATTTAATTCTTACTTGAAAATGGTAAGTTGTTGTCCTTGAATTCAAAACCTTTTTCCGCATCTAAATCATCGAACGGCAATTCACTGAGCGAGAATTGTTTTGGATTCGGTGCTACGATTCGAATGCGGAAATGAATGTCTGCATCGCAATGTTTCTATGTATCGCAATTGATATATGGTGCGATGATTTATTCACAGTGAAAGAAGGTGCAAAAAAAGAAGTAATTCATCCGAAGTACAAAGCCACCGATGTGCATTGTATAGCAAACAATGTGTGTGACTCATTCGACAGTGGCAAGTGGATGGGTATTTTGGGTGAGCATTAAGCATATAACAGCATATACACTACATGCAATGTAAATATCGATTATAGTTTCGAGGCATGCGCATTAAATACCAGTTTTGCCATTCAGAACAGTTTACATATGATTATTATGAAAGAGTTGATGGGAGAATGTATAAAATATTCCATATACGATGAGCAGATCGAATGCAATTTGACCAAAGAATCCGATAGGAAATAAACACCAAAACTGAGAACGAGTGCAAATGAATTGTGTGTGCGCGCACGCGATAGAATGAGGGAGAAAGAGATCAGTGGTGCTGAAAACAAGTTCATTCATGCATCCATCGTAGAATATGCAGTGAATTGCAACGTACGAGCTAAAAATCGTTAGCCATGCGAAATGATTTGTGACCAAGAACGAAAGATTTATTTCGCTTTTGATTACGCAAATAGCATCGACTACAACAGCAAAATCGTGTTCGATAATATGTTGATGCATCATAAATATAGAGAAGCATAATTGGCAGGAAAGCCAACAATTAACATCATCATCAACATCGGCCAACCAAGCGAATTGATATTTTATTATTATATCATATTGCAACGTATTATTCTTCTTCTTTCGTTGTTCATTGATTTGATATGCGTTTACGGTACTCAATTGATGGCAAAGTACCGCACGTACATTCTAATTCAGTTTTTCATCATCAGAAGATGAAGAATATACGCCCCAAAAGCAAATCAAGTAATTATTATTTAATCCAAATGCACGAGATTCTAAGTGTGCTAAACTCAGCCCAGAACGCAATTTCATTGAAATGCAGTAAAGATCTACTCATATACTGGCTAAACTAGTGAGTTGCGAACATTTGCCAAATGTCTATGTTTCTAAATTTAATCACGTTCGTCTTGTATATTTATTACTGTTGTTGTGTCCTAGCACACTAGACTATAAAGTAGCAAAGCCGATTGTGTCCCATATTTTTGTTTGTGCACACACAACAGGAACACTTGTTTCGTTCAGATGAATCGTATTTGTATACAGCGATAGTTAAAGATTGAGAGCATGAATAAACGAATAAAAATTACAGCAAACGCTATTATAAATGACTGTAATTTGGCTTAAAGTGTATCAATACAATATTTTTTTTTTACATTAATGAAGCAAAAACGGTGTCTATCTTTTATGTTTGTTTTCATCATGTGTTTGATCTAATACAAACTTATTTCGCAATGAAAAAAAATGATGTTCCGATGAATCCGAAGAAGAAATCGGCTAATGTTCGGTAGAAAATCAAACAAAACCACATAATTTGTATTTTATCAAAATAATGCGAAACAAGTAGGTGAATCGGTTCTATTCGAGTACGGCTATATTTCAGCTGGTTACACAGTCTCATCGCAGTCAACGCACACAACTCTACAACCAAAATATCTATAGATAATGCGCATGAATTTTATTCATGACAAAACGTCCATATAACTTGATTCAAACACATAGAACATGAATTGCGTTCAATTGAGTTCAACACAAACAAGTCTCTTTCTCTTCAATAGTCCTCTTCATGACTTTTTTTTTTATTATTGAAACGATATATATGGTATAAACGTGAGAGCATTTAAATACAAACTATACGCCGAATAATTTAGGGGTAAAATTGGAAAATATACGTATTTTTTGAGAATGTAATGCTGAGTGAGTGATTTTATTTGCGCTGTATGCATTGTACTGTGTACATGTACACGCTATATTCCTTGTTATATTGTTTTTTGTTCTTCTTCTTCGATTAAATCCACGTTGAGTGTGCTGTGTTCTATGGCGACACACTTTTATACGTGTTTATATGTATATATTGGTAAACACAGACAACAGCGCACGTACCAAAAAGGTACAATATACCAACAACAATATGGTCGATGCTATAGCACGCTAAAGCGATTTTTCCATCAGCAGCACACATTCAGTGTGTAGGAAGTCACTCAGTCGGACGGTTTGATTTAACGTCACTGAACGAATTATATTTTCTTCGAAAAGCAATTTTTTTTCTTTGCAAATTCTAGAAAGAGAAGGAAAACGAATTGTAATTTTTCGAACACGAAAACGAATACGATACACGAGTTATTCAAAATAGTGAAAAGTTTCTGAAAGATGCAGAAAGATTGAATCAATTTAAAGAGTATAAAAAAAAGGACAATCAACCAAATCACGAATTTCATTGTGGCAAATGTGAGCGCCAAAAAAAGAAGAGAATTGATATCAATCATAAATGCAAACGACATTTCAAAGTAGTGAATAGCTCAACGATTTTGAATAGAATTATTGCTGATAAAAGTAATCGTACTCGAAATTACTTCTATATTTAGTGTAAATCTGAAATTATTTCAAGTGTAACATATTTTTTTTTTTGTTGGTTTGCTCCGTATCGACCATATTTTCTCAATCCGTGTTGTTTATTCGTTGTGTGCGCGTGTGTTGGAGAAAGTCATACTATGACACTTTGTCAGATGGCAAAGTTTTTACAGGCACAAATTGGTCACTGAATCGAAAAAGAGAGCGAGAGAGCGAAACGGTTTTACCAACAGTGGACAAAATGCAAATATAGGCATAAAATAAAACACGAAGTGTACCGTTAACAGTGGTGTTGATCTCACGTTTCACATCGAAAAATGCAATAGAAAAATCACACGGCCGAATTGGACACGAAAAATCGGGAGCACCAGTACAGAAAAAAAGAGACGCAGAGAAAGAGAAAGAGAGAGAGTGTGGATTGTAATATTTTGTTCGTGCTGTCATACAATCGAAATAAAAAGTACACGCTCAACAAGGAATATTGAATTGCCGTTATTGACGCAAGCAAATTTTCATAAAAATGGCAGAAGTACGAATCGATTTTTGAATACATACTATTTAATACTAATTTTCTATTACTAGTTTTCCCCCCATCGAAAAAAACAAAAACAAAAGACAAACATACTATTACTTCCTTTATTTAAAAAAAAACATATTAGTAAACATACTACATATTTTCCACATTGTGCGATTAATGTGCGCGAGTCATTTTGCTTTGAAATATTAATTCATGTATGAACTCGCATATATGCGACTGTTACATTTTGCCATTTATATAGACATTTTCGTTGCAATCCATTTATTACATAATAATTTCGATTGTCGATTCCGTTCGGTGGTCTCTGTCTAACGCTTGTTTTTCAAACACAGAACAAGAAAACAAATTTATTTAGCCATCAAAATCGATTGCAGAAAAATTCAGCTGGAAAAATATTGAATGCAATCAACTGAATTAAATATTTCATCATTTATAGATATTTGAAGTGTTGTGCGAATGCTGACGGCAATTCAGCATCAGACACTATCGTGTCGATTTGATTAGATAACGATTTGTTTTTGTATAAATATGATAACTGTTGAACTGCACCACTTATCTCAATCTTGTCTCATAGCCGTCACTTCGCACGCAGAAAAAAAAATTTAATCCGCAAATCAGTCAGTTTAACTCGAATTTTTTTATTCTCTCAACTCTTTTTTTCTTCGATTGAAATAGATGCGAGTTTTTGCCTAATCTTTATTCATACATATATGGAAAAACAACAAATTTCTTGCTCAACTTTTTGAACATTTACGCTGAAAAGTTGTAGTTTAAGAAGTTTCTTTAGATTCCTTTTTTGTTGAGAACGCTTTTCATTCCTTCAGGGGGTAAGTTTTTTTGTAGATGCAATTTTCGTTTCGGTTTGTTCTCTTGTGGCTGACTTTCTTTTTGGTTTCGTTCGTGGCTGTTTTTAGATGTACACGTCAATAATTAATGTGTGACTTTTTTTTATTACGTTTAATCGTTTATTGATTAGATTTTTTTCGGTCGTTTTTGCAAGCACAATCGATTTTAATACATTTTTTACGTCATGCACAACTCACTTTTACTTACATCATGATGTGTCATTTTTATATTCAATTCTGTCAAAATCTACAGTTTTATAGTCACCCAAATGAATTAAATAAACACAAAAAATCATTAAAAGTAATAAAAACATAATGATAAGATAAAAACATCATCTCATGTTACATATTATCAACTAACAAAATCCATCTCAAGTTCCACAAATTGTTTTTTTTTTTTGGCGGAAAGTAATAAAAACTCATTCCGCATGAATTGATTATATGACCATAAGCTAGTTAAGCAATTAGATTTTCTCACGTTAGCAGTGAAAGCAGTTTCTTGATAAACGAGAACATATTTATTTGATTTATCTATCGTTGGGCAGCACGACGACATAGTTCAGGTCAATTGCCTTGTTGTTAAAAATAGTTTTTCTCATTCGATATGTGCGCACTGTACATGGTTACTGGAGTCGTTTTTGAGTGAGAAATGATTTCCTTTTGCTTTTATTGGTCATAATCGTTTCACCGGTATAAGCGAATAAAATGTATGCGTTTAAATCGTTATAGCATTGAGTCTTTGTATAGTGGTTCAGGTGTCGTTGTGCTGTATTCATTTAACGAAGCAAGAAGAGCATGCAATAAACACCGTCATTGCCGGCTCAAATAGATTGCCATACAGAAGCACTACAAAATAATAAATGGAGAAAGAGAATCGTCGGAAGGGAAAATCGTAGAAAACAGAGCACAAAGTTAGAAGCAAAAAATAACAACAACATCAAACAAATAACAAAAAAAAAAACACACACAAAAATGTATACGAAAAAAATGGTGTTCATTCACGATGCCCGTGCATACATGACGAACAAAAAAAGGCAGCAGTTAACATGCATACGCTTCCATGCAAATATCGTTTTGTTGTTGCCATACTACTTTTTTAACGTTTGGTCTCCGCGCCGCGCCGTCTTCTTCTGTACTTTATCGTTCGATAGACAACATACAGACCGGCACCACTTCAATCGTGCACTTTTTTTGTTTTTGCTGCCATTGTTGTTGTTAATGTTGTTTTTGCTTTTGGTACGCGCTGTCTTTCATTTGGTGGTGTATTGAATATGTACCGACACACTCAATCATCGATCAGTTGCGTTCTGGCGAACGACAAAGACACAACGCGCGTCGCGCTCCACGTATATATCATTTAATTAAAACACATACATCCATCCATTTGTTTGAAATCAAATTCAAGAACACACACAACGTAAAGAATCGCCAATTTACATAAAGTGTGCAAGAATACAAAAATCGGATTATATTGTTTGTTATACTGAACAAAATGCATTTAAATGTGTGAAACTACGTGTAAATATCGAGTTTTTCAAACTTTTATTTCTGTTAAATGTACGTCTTTTACTACGACGCACATTCATGGGCACAAAAAAGGAAGAATTACAAAAAGACCGATTTTTTTCGGCTAGTTTAAACAGTACATTTTGTTTCATTTTATACGTTCATTCGCACCGATAATAAGTTTATTGAATATGTTCGACGCACGACATATGGATGAATGGAAATAACCAAACAAATGAAGAAAACCACAAATAAAACAGTTTTTTTTGTTTGAAATTGAAAGCAAAACCATTTGTTAGTTGAAAATGAAGATTTCGTAAATGAAACTGGTTTTCTTTGAGTTGGTGTGAACATGTTCCTGCTTTGATCGTTGTTGTTATTAAAAGCAATCGATCATGGTGAAAATAACTATAATAATGGGGCTATAACTACATTGAGTACACGCATATGAAGGAATCAAGTGAAAATTGTTAGTTTTGACGAATGAAAAAAGTGATAATTTGTCACCGGCGATGTATGTCACACATTGAAAGTGTATTTGAAGAACTCAAATGGGCCATTTGCCAACTCCCTTCCATACACGAGTCTTATTTGCGTGCAAAAAAAATAATATTCATTTCATGTCATTTTTTTAATATTATCCAAAATGATGTCATGTTCTGTCTGTGATTGTGTAATCGCAATATAAACGCTTATTCTTTGTTTGTCGGCTGTTAATTTCGAACAAAGTAATTGATACAAATTGACTCGAAATAATTCTATGTGTTTGTTTTTGTGTATTCATTGTTCTATTCATAGGAATCGAAGCAAACTAAAATTCCTCGTTTCGAAAGTGGTACATCGTCATCGGTAGTAACACGAATCCCGAAACCGGGTGGTTTTACGCGACAAAGCATAGGTATATCAAAATTGGCCCGACCACAAGTGAATGGAATTTCATCGAAAACTCGAACTTCGTTCAAACCCGAAGCGAATCCAATTATTTCCGAAGAGATACCATCAAATTCATTTCCACGAAAATCACTGTTGCACCGTTTTGGTGTGGCAAATAAAGTGCAAATCAAAACCATACCGCGGTTTCGAAACACAAACCCGCAGAGAACGTCACAACTGTTGCCTTCGCAAAACAATGTCCGCATTATAAATGAAACCATGGAACTCACAAGAGGCACCGCAATGAATGTAACCAAACCAGTTATTGAATCGGAAAAGAATAACGATGCCATTATGGATCGAACTCTAATTAGATCAAATACATTCGTTTGTGATGATGCACAGGCAAAACTATCGATAACACACGATATTCCGATGGCATCCATACCATCATCATCACAACCAAATGACACAATAAACCAAACAAATCTCCAGCTTAACAAAGAGCGTACATTTAAACGAAGTCTATCGCCCATTCCAGGGGAACCAATGAATTCAGCCAAACGGAAACTGATGCAAGTGTCGTCATCATCATCATCGTTGTCGTCTTCGTCGGCGGCAGGGCAAAAAGTTATGTCAGTTACACATGTGATGCCAATGAACTCAACGCCACGTCGAAGCATTACACATTCCGATGCAAGAAAGTCAAATTTAACATTTTTTGGTAGAAAAAGTGTAGATTTCAGCGAATCACAAGTGGACCAATTACAAACATTTACATTTGATAACACAACATTCGAACAAAGCAACCATTTTGCACCGGATGCCACTAAATTAGATAGTGCAACGAATGCAACGATGCACAGCAACAATCGCGTGTTCGATCTAACACAAACCGTTGAACAGAATGATGCATTCTATCCAGAAACAAAAAATTGCAATGTAACTCTAACACTGGACTCTAATGCAGCGGAACATGAGCTAAAAAATGATGATTCAAACAAACCCAACATTACCAAAACCATTTGCACTAACGATACAGATGGAAATCTAACGAAAAATATCATTGGTAAGTATTTTAGTAACTGTGCCTCATTATTATTAGTTTTCTCTTCTTCTGGCATTTTGTTGTAGCTGTTGCCTTTTTTGTCTTCTACGGTTATGCAATTGAGAAAAAAAAGATAAATGAAAAATGTACATGCAAAGAAAGTCTTGGAATATAACTGAATATGTGCTTTTTTTTGTTTTCGTTTCTTTTCTTTTCTTTTTATTTGAATAGTGGAAAAATCCCAGCCAATTCAAATAGGTGGAACTGGTGCGTTGAGTGAGGATCTATTGGTGGCTAAAAAGCGTTTTTCACTTGGTTTAGAATTGCCCGAATGCACATTGGATTGTTCGATTGAATTGTGTGATTCATCGGCGGCGACGTCTGCTCAAGATAGCTCACCATTAGTCAACTACAATCCACATTCATACGACATGGAAGAGAGCCTTGGAATTTTAACACCCGATCAAATGATTGAATTTTTGGACACAAATGCGACAAATATGAAAATTGAATTGCCATCAAGTTTGCCAGCGAAAATTGAACCGCATAAATGTCGTATTGATCAAACACCATCGCCCGAAGATTTGCCATTGGACACGATTGAAGTGAAAACAATTGATTCATCAAAAATTGAAGATGTCGATTTAACACTGCAACCATCATCAATCGTTTGTGACAATGATGGCCCATCACAAACCGATTCATACTCAAAAACTGACCAAATGACAAAATCAACTACCTCAAAAGTGACAAACAGTTTTATTACAAGTGTTACGAGCATCGCAAGCCTCGACAATGGATATCATGCCGATGGTGAAATGTCACGACCGGCCAGCCGTGGTGCTGAATCGCCAATGCGACGCGTTCACAATGCTCGTCAAAATAAATTGTATGCCGCTCATGATGTAAATGTTCCGGTTGTTTGCCGACGTCAGGATCCAATGACCGATTCGGATTTCTTCACCGAAAGTGATGCCGATGTGGACATTTTTCATCGTGGTGATCGTCGTGTACAAATTATCGACGGTCATATGTACAATGCTCAAGGTGCTGATGTATTCATTGACGAAGCACAGCCAGAAAATGAGATGGAATCAAGCGGTGTTTATACAGATGTTGATCATCGTGATGATGTTCCTTCAAATTCAAATTCACAAAATGAAAATGAAAGTGATATGTCACCCGATGGCTCAACCGAAACGATTAAAAGTTCAGAATATGCAAATATTAATGAAAACAAAAAATCGATGCCAAAAACTGATGCAGACAATAATACAAAACAAATGCAAAAACAACCATGGGCTTCGCTACCAACACAATCAAATCAATCGATAGCAGCGATGTCAAACATTTCGAATAGTTCATCAACGACAATAAACGACAGCGTTACGACTTGTTTGTGTGAAAAACCGAACATTGACGACGGTGGTGGGGATCATGCTCAGCTGGTTATCAGTGAGGCGTCGTCATCGTTGCCGTCGTCGTCAAATAATAATGAAAATACATCGTGTAAACTTCATTCGATCATTTGCTCTGACAATGACAATAGCAATAGCAAAACAGCTGCACCTCAATTTAAATCAAGTACACCAAAAGTGAAACGCTTCAGTCCAAATCGTAAACAATTTAAAAATGACACTGGATCAGGTCATAGCAAACGAAATGAATCAGTTGGAAAACGTGAATCAAAATCGATTGGTGTAAAAAATCGTACAAGTGTTGTGTGTGGTTTAAAAAAATCCCCATCAATATCATCAACATCGCCAGGCTCAAAATCACCAATTGAAAATGGTCGAAATAGTAATTGTGAAAATGCCAATACAATCAATATGACCAGTGATCAATCGCCGATTGCAGTGCACGTACGCAAAATCGTACCAAATAAATGGGATGCGGTCATGAATAAAATTGCACTAAATAAAGCCGAAGTGAAAACAGTAAAATACAGTGAGGTGAAATCAAAAGTAACATGTGGTATAAAACGTGCTTCACCAAATTCAAAGACCACAACAAATGAACAACAATCGACAACAAGTGATTCGGGTAATTCGTCATTGATTTCAACCAAATCATCCGCATCACCAACGGTCACTCGACAATCATCGCATGGAATTACAAAAAGGTTCGTACTTTCCGATGATTGATTTTCTAATTTTCTGTTTATTTTATCCGATACTTCGTATTGGCGCGCTATTATTGTTTATTTCTATTGTGATGTTTGTACGTTTTGTGGCTTTGCACTTTTGTTTTAATGTGTACACAGCAATACGTGTTCACACAATATTTCTTCTTGGCATCGTTTCTATTTCGACCGATAATCTCATAAAACGCTAATATAATCGCGTGCAAAAGAGAAAAACCGCGAGATATGAAAACAGAGACATAGATAGACGTAGACATATATACACAGCATGCAAAGGCTAGATCGTTAGATATTGATAATTATCTAGGTTTCACATAGTAAAATTGACGCTGATATGAACAGTCTTGCTAGTGTTTTTTTCGTGCGCTGAACATTGTTGTTGGATTGACGCGCTGCTGCGATATAACAATTTAGCGGCAATAATCATAAAACCTAATGGCAAATGGTCATTTTTCATAAGCAGAACTAGTTAATGATGCGAAGCAAAGAGACTGATCCTTCAATATTTTTTGTCGCGCCAGCAACAACGAACATATGCAATAACTGCTGCGTTTCAATCAAACAAAAAACGAGACGCTTTACGAAACTACGTTTAATATTTATTTTTCTCTTTCTCTCTCTTTTTTGCTAAATTTTCGACGTTGCTGAACCAAGTTTAAAAACAGGCGTGAAAAAACGATGATTTTCTGTAGGTTTTTGTTCAAACTGTGTTTATGTTTTTAAACATAATTCTCAATGAATGTTTTATTCAATAAAATATGGCTGCTTGGTGGCTATGGTGGTAATTCACAACTTTGAACCGAGCTACGTTCACTTTTAAATAAACATTTTTGCTTGCCAAACTCCAAGCATAAGAATGTGCAAAACGACCTCAACGGATTGATTTAAATATTGATTGGTATATAAAATGTGTGTGTTTAAATGACGTTTTGACGTCGAAAAAAAAACATACACACAAAAAATCCGTTTGTTTACCAGAATATACTTGAAATCATCCGAAGCAACGGGCATTTGATGCTGTATAACTGCGCAAAGACATTGTTTTTTTCATCATTAAATCATAAATTGTGATGGAATTTTTGTGTTTGCGATAAAGATAGCATCGCTTAAATTTAAACATATACAATTCATTCCATTCATTCACATGTCACCGCACAAACAATACATCCAATTATTATTGTACATCTTCATGTATCTCCCGTTTTATATTTAATAAAACTCTTGTGCATATAAGTTTTTATCTTAAAATATGAATGAAGTGAACCAATTAACATTGTTCTTAATTCAATTTGAAATTCATTTGAAAGCGCGCGCCCAATCCGCAATATGTATGGTATATGTATCAAAAACGGTTTCTTCTCGATAAAAATCAATGTACCGCATATATGTGATTGGCATCAACCATGATTTTATGTATTCAAACTATTCATTACCTATATATTTTCGCTTCAATAATTATTATTTGTTATTTTGCGAAAGGAATTTAAATAAATTTTAAATGCATTGCTATTCGGCCCGTCTGTGTCAGCAGTGCCCGAAACCGATTGACACACATATTCGTGTGTGCGCGTATTTTAAATCATGAAGCATAACGAAAATATAACCGTATACTCAGTATTCTGGCGCATTATGCGCACCAAAGCACTTGAATAAATGATTTAGTTTCAGTTTTTCGTTTTTTCTTTTCATTTCTTTTCTTCCTCTCTTATTTGATTTGCAAGCGCGTCGCGATCTTCACTTGTCATTCGAGTTTGTTGTATTTTGAAATTGTACATCTCGTAAATAATAGTGTAAACCAATCTATCTAAGTAGCACCGTTAAAATTTCTTTCGGCACATATCACACGCACATTCTCCTTCCCATAATAATTAAAATGTTGTGCAATATTTTGCACATGCAATTGTTTGGACGCTACAATGTTAGAATTCACAAACAAAGCGGGCACGTTCGGTGAATTTGCCTCAAAGCGATTGCATGAAAACAAGTACGCTAATTTTAATACCGATTTGAGAACACTGCCAGGGTTTTTGCGTTTTTCTATTTGTTTTCGATTGATGGAATGCGCTTTTTTTTCTCACTTGGCCTAGCAAAAAAGGTTATCATATTGATAATCGTCTGACAATTCGGGAAAAATAAAAAAACGTACACAATACGCATCGTTTTCTTTCTATTTGTAAATGAAACATGCAATGCAAACACAACAGCATTTTGAAGATAATAAAAATGATTTTAAAACAAAAAGTTCAAACGCTGAACTCTTATACTACTTTTTCAAATGGTGATTGTTGATGTATGTTGGAACTGGGAATCATATAATTGAATTGATTTATAGTCTAATTGCTCATTTACTCTCGCTGCTACTTTAATGATATCATTCAATTTTAATGGCCGTTATATTTTTTGTTTTATGATAATGAATGAGTCGCTTTATTCGAAACCATTTTCTCTATGCATCGCTTCTTTGATCTGATAGCGAAGTAGAAAATTCATGTTTAGCGACAAGTCATTTTTCATTTATGGGCGGTCTTATTCACATAGTTCGTAAATTGAATTCAAAATTATGTGCATAATAAAAGAGAGATGATGAGATGGCGATTGACAAAGAGAAAAAAAACGTAGAAAACTTATTTTAATTAGACAGAAAACGACTGAAAACTCAAATAAACTCGTACGTTTTGCTTTTTTTTAATCGTGCAAAATGCTGTTATTTCGAAAGCAGTCGAGAATAGATTGTTTTGAAAATGTGAATATTGCCGATGTTTTTTTTGGCGGTCGAACCAAATTGATTTTCGTGTTTTTTGCGGTATTAGAACAAATATTTGCAACAGAGCATGCTAGTTAAGCACACGAGGAAATGGTTACATTCGAAACGAGCTCGTTTAATGAAATCCGCTCAACTTTTAAATTGAAAACACACAATGTAATTTTGTTTTTTTTTTTAAAAAAACGAACAATTCAATTGCATAGATTAACCTATTGATTACTTAATAGCCATTAAATGCAGTGTGTCATCTCTTTCAATGTGCTCGTATGTATGAAAAGCACCGTAAATGTTCAATTAGCAATTGGAATTTAAGCCACAAAAGTACAAAGTCACTTCTGCAATCGGCGACAGCATGCAACAACAACATTAGGCGCGCACAAGCCGTTTATTGTATTAAAGTGTCTCTTTTTCGTATCGAAACGGAACACTGTATACGATGTTGTCGTCTTTTGCATTGTTCGTTCATAAATTATAGTTAAAGTCTATCTCTCTAAGAATTAAAATGCAATTTTTTCTCTGTCTTTCTCCATTTACTTTAAATCATATCACGTTTGTCAATTGTGTTCTTTTTTTGCTCACTTGTTTCTTTACCATTTTCATTAAATATTCGAAACAGAAGCATCGAACGCGACAGCAGCAAAGATAGTCACTTGAGCTTCAGTCGAGATTCAGCCGTTGTAACACCGGGAAAACAATCGAAGCCGACAACATCAAGCGCACGTAAGTTGAACAAATTGAAAGATAAAAAATTCCATTTTAAGTTATTAGATTTATCGTCGTTTTTTTTTTTCATCGTTCGCCATTATATTTGTTAATAACTTCATTATAAGTTTGTTGCGGGCAAAAAAAAAACAATAATAAATAGAAAATGTAGAAAATGCATTCGATAACGTTAATATTCGCCTGGCGACGAGCCATTAAAATTCTTTATGGAATTGCATACGTTCAGGCGTTTTTCATTCGCTGAAGACGTGCTTTACATTTTGTTCTGTTTTTTTTCTTCATCAAAGAAGCGTAAGATACGAGGGATTGGAAATGGAAAAAAGAAAAAGGATTTAGTGTTCGAGTTAATGAGATCGTAAAGTGACAAGTCCGAAACAGTTGTTTCAGTTCACGCTATAAATATTTAAGCAGGTCTGTTGGCATAGAGAGTGATGCGCTTTGGCCCAGTTTGCAATGTGTGATGCATTTATATTTCGTAACCGTGAAAGTTTCTGTTGTATCTCGCACACATACGACCGAACATCGGACGCATTTCTTAATACTTGTTCATTTAAATTTGACGGAAAATTGCAATTCTAAATAAAAGTTTTTGTCTTTTGTGGTAAACTTTATTCATTTTCACATCCAACGACTTGATTTAATTCCAAATTTGCATAAAGTTTTAAGTATTCACATCACTCCATTTAATGACAAGGATATTGAATTTTCGTGCATTTCTGCAAATCCGCTGCCACTAGAGACAGTCAACGCTTTCATTTTATGAATAAGTAAACATGTTGCGCGTTTCATAATAATTTTTCAAATACTAATTAAATTATATTGTGCACATTTGCACTTTTAAATGGTTTACATTTCGTGTACGGAGTCTCATGTATATATCCGTCAGACTGTGTACTGGATTAAAATTCGTCGTTTCTGTTGAAAATTATAAAAAACAAGACAGGCAACAAAATAAAATAAACAATCGCCTAGAGATAAAGTTTTTATATTGGAATTTGATGTGTTTAACCATAAGACATTTAATCCACTGTGTTACAAATGTAATGATGTGATCTCATAATAAAGTCATATCGTGTGTTCAGCGAATCCATTTGAGGAAATGTTGATCGATCGTATTGTAAACACTTTTAAAACCTGTGTTGAAATAACGGTCAGTCACCGTAAAACGATGATGATAAATGTTGATGGTTTAATCGCTCATTTGCACAAATAAAATAAACACCTCACATAAAATGTTGGCCGAATTAGATCATTCAGATGTTTGACGCACACACCGTTTCTCCGTTGAGGCACGATGTTAAGTGTATCAATCTCATAAAATTTTTCATCTAAAAATATCGTCTGAGAAATATCGCTGAAAAAAAAATCCATTCAAGAAAATGCACACAGTGTCGTGCACACACCGAATATTCACTTCTCGCTCATCCGATTTTGATCGCCATAGCTTTTGCAGTTTTTCCGCTCCCGTTTTTTTTTTGCTCTTACCAAAGTTTATTTTCGTTACGATTTCAAGCGTTTGTTTTCAATTTTCCTGTACTCTTGCGTGTCGAGCGGAAAAAAAAGAATCTTTATTCAACGATCAACATAAAAGAAATTGTGTCGTCGTTTTAACTTCATTACAAATTATTGTTTACATTGTGTGCTCTCAAAACAGTATTCGGCTTGGTTTTTGTTTGTTATGCAAAAGATCATCTCGTTCGTGTAGTAGGAACAAAGATTTTCGCCAACGAATAAATAAACAGACTCTGAGAAAAGCATGAACAATGAACAGTTATGTGTGCTATGTTGGGCGATTCGGTTCATTTGTGTCATGCAATCGGAAATCATTTCTATCGCAGATAAAAAAAAATGCAAACACAATGAATCGCCGGGTCCTTCCCCTATTGCGGAGACAAAGGAAAGAAAACAGAAATTTGAAATTCCAAATTGAACAGATGATATTATCTTTTTGCTTCGCCAAAATCCATTGTACTCTGATACCACGCAATTCATGTGTTTTGAAGAATTGCTGTTGAAAACAGAACGGAAAATAAAGTACACATGATTCTTCTTTATTTTCGAATTGTACTTCTGGACAGATAGTTTCAAATGCAAATTGTTTATTTAAATTATGAATATTTCTTTGCAATTACACCATTCCGTTATCAAACAACTTTCAAAACCGTTCGTTCCAAATGATATTGTTGGAATACACATTACCCATATAAGTTTGATGGCACACACACACTCGCGCGCGGCATCTGAAAACTTCTCTCTTTACTCATCTCTCTCGCTCTCATTCGCTGTCTTTCTGAAATTCAATTCTAAAGTTCTTTTCACTTGTCTTTGTCAACTTGTTTTCAAGATGTCAGCATTGCGTTACGTATTATTATTCGAGATTCCTTCATTGGAAGAAAAACCGCGATATTAAAACACCGCAAGCATGACGTACGACCACATCGAAACGCACAGATAGTTTGAAGCATCTGTTCGTGATGATTGTGTGCGTATGATTGGCTGAAAACAACAATAACAAAACAAATGAATACACCGCGATGTTTGGCTTGTGTGCAAAATCGCATACAGTTGTTTCACATTTCATGTGTTATATTGTGTATGCTAAACATAAGATGTTTATTACACGACCAACAATGTTTATAAGTTTCTTCGTGTTGTTGACAGTTGATTCCGCAATAAAATTATTTATATTCAATCAAGCGCGTTGCTGATGAAGTGAGTAAGAGAATACAATGTGAAATGATCGAAAATTCAATGGAAAAATGGTCGAGAAAAAAAAAAGAAAACAAAAAACAATTATTTGATTCGAAAATGTAACGTTGCAGCTCACGAGCTCACACAAAAATAAACGCTCCTTTTCAGCGTTTGACAAGAATATTGCTAAACGTACAATTTAGAATATTAACAAGGCCATTTCCTCTCTTTCTCCCATTTCATTTATTCGCTACTCGTTTGTGAGTGTATGTAGTTCTCAGTGTTTTTTTCCTTCACTGATTAACCGGTATTTCATTCGTCGCTCGTCATGTTATTTGTCTACTTTTTGAGTTGCTCTTTCATCGTACTTTACAGATAGTTGCATACAGAAATAGGCTTCGATGGATCCCGTTCCGTATAAATATTCACAGAGAAAGACAGACAGACACACACAGAGAGTGAGACTGAACAAAAGCGAACGATGTTTCGAATGTAAATTTCATTTCATATATTTCTCTTTCTCAACCGCATACATATTAACCAAATGTAAAAATACACGATACGAATCGATTGTATGCTACATTCTTTCATGGTGTTCGACAACAGGCTTCCAACAACACTGGTTTTTAATAACAACATTCGTGCACACATTCAAGCAATAGAATGGATAACAAAGTCTCTCTTACAAACTATCTAGATAGAGAGATAGAAAAGTGCCGATTGCAATGTCTTTCGCAATTCGCGTTCAGTTCTTTAAATAACAATACTCAAACAACACCATATATTTTTTTCTTCTGTTCAACCAACGACAACAGCTACGACAACGACGATGAGAGAGAAGTGAGCAAAAAAAGCGCACCCAAAACGTTCGAAATAAATGTGAACAAAAAAAAGCGAAAAATAAATAAAAAGCTATTTTTTCTGCTTTAGTTTCGAATTCTTTTACTTCTTTTGCACCGCTTCGATTACGGTGCGGAAAAAGACAGTTGAACACATTCACTCATTCGCTCTCGTGTGCTTGCACACCGATTTTCTGCCAGATCAAAAACGAAAAAATAAAAACACTCACAGAAGAAACATATAAATGATTTTGTGCATTGAGAGGCTTCTGACTTCCAGTACTATTGGAAACGCGTCACTGTTCAGACCATATCATTGCGTTGGATTTCATCGTTTATTTTTTCGGTCAGGTTTTGTTTTTTCGTGTGTGTTTTATCACTTGATTCGTGTCGCACGATTCAAATAAACATTTTTTTTGGTCAAGCATATATGCTAGTTAACAAACATTGTGAATCATTTAGATTGTCCATCGTTCTAGATCGTGTGTTGCGAATGTGAAACAAAACTAACAAATTCAAAATTACTATAATCACCGCAGTACTGAATAATATTCATATGTGTGAGCCTGTATTTGTGTAGCCAAAATTGATTTGTCGGTGATTTAATTGGTGTGGCGTGTGTCTGATAAAAAAAAAAACAAAAAAAAACCATCACATTTGAAAATTGGTTCAATTGTTTCAAAGACTTGTTGAACATTTGTAATCTCGCTGTATTGTTCACATTCAAAACTAGTAATTGATTGTGCGTGGTTTGAGTTAAATCGATATTTTACTCCTTCATTTTAATGTGATGTGCGGTTTTGTTTGACGCGAAAAGCAATGAAGTGGCAAAGATAAAAAGGCCAAAATAATTAACGTTTAATGCACAGAAACCAAATATGAGCAAAAAACTATGCAATACGAAAATGCAATCACAATTGGTCGGGTTAATGAATTGATTAACCTGGAGGTTGACTCTCTGCATCGGTTGGACAAAATAGCATTAAAATCAATGACATACAACTTCCCATTTTCGGTGTGATGGGAGAACGTGTGCAATTGGCAGACACATAATTGTGCACATAACATACAGTAACTGAAGACAAAGAAAATAAACACAAGAGATAAATAGTTTCCGATATAATAGTGGACAGCAGCATTGAAAGAAGAAAAAAAAACGGTGGAAACGTGTACGCATAAAAATATCCGGATTATTAGCGACACGGAGATAGAAAGAGAGAAAGATTCAACGGCGTTTTTGTGCTTTGCTCAGTTTTGTATGGGTGTGCGCGCGCGCGAACGCGCTTACATCTCCCGTTCATGTTGACAACGGACACGCTCAATGCTAATTGAAAGAACCATAAACTGAATGGCCTATAAAATCGGTGCGAGACTATTTGAAAACTGGCCCATTTGTGCCGTTGTGGTGCCGTGACTTCGTATCGAAAACTTTGTAAAGAAGAAAACAAAAACGTGAACAAACGGCCATTGCGAGAATAAAAAAAGAGCACAGAACAAACAGCTAATTTGTATGAACGAATTATGCGCAGAACGCAGTAAAAACGAAAACGGTGACGACGGCATTGATTTCTATCATATTCGACGTATTCTCAATCTATTTTCGAAGAAGAAGCCACAAAATCAATTCAACGCAGAAATTGAAAAAAAAAGAGAATCATTTTGGTGCCGCCATTATAACACACAGACATTTCGGTCAATTTTTATTCTTGGAACCATAAAGCGACGTAGGATTCAGTGATCAACTCCACTAATTACTTTTCAAAGCGTGATTTTTTGTTTGTGTATGATTCGGTGATCGATTCGAGTGTTTATTTTCTATTTCGATTTAGTGCATGGAGTCAATTTTCTAGTGGCTTTAATATATATTTGTATAGAGTCTGTTTTCTGTAGTCATTCGAAGAAAAAAAGCAGCCGCGCATCGACAACCGCAAAAACCATTCGAAATTAAAACGCATATGCCATTCGTGAAAATTTGAAATTGCTGCAATTGAAATTGAGATTGTGCCTATTTTCTGCTTGTTTGAGTGCAAAATCGACGTTGAATCGCTTTTGAAGCTTCATTTCGGAAATAAAACGGTGTAAATTCCGAAAGAGAAAAAAAAAAACCAATTTACTAAACATACAACATAAACAAGTACACAAAAAACACTCGCACGGCATGTAGAAATTTGTAACTTGCATCCGAACCGTGTTCATACATAGTATCACTTGTAAACGAAAATATCTACTTCAACAGAAGAAGACAAAGCGATGTGTGTTTTTTGTTTGTAGTAAAATACATATTTTATGTAATTTCATTCTGCTCTAGTTACGGCAAATTCGCCTCTTGTGAAGAGACTTTTAGAAGAATTATTACATATGCAAAAAGCATTCCACCGCCACCGCCGTCACCGCCACTGTCGCCGCATATGTATATAATATACAGCGGATTGCAAATAGCCGCAACGCGAGAACAATGCAGTTGCTACAATTCGAGAGTGGCCCAAGTGTTTGATGCATAATATCGACATCCAAGACGTTCTCTTGCACAAAATAAATGGAAACGATTCGATTGCCACACAATTGATATCTCAAAGCAGAAATCGCGTATGAATTGTTTTTCGTCTGAAGTATGTTGGATTACACATGGATTTAAATAAAGTCAAGTGGCTTTAGATAGCGTCCGGCTTGCTATAATTCACTCATCGACTGAAGTGCTAGTCTTTGCATGCAATAGACATTTATCCTCGCAACGTTTTTGATTTCATTTAATGATCACTTATCGCATCAGTAGCAACCGTTACAATGGGAGTGCATGGATCGAAGGAGAAATTGGCAAGATCGGCATCTGAACGTTACGTGCACAGTAAATATATTGAACAAGAACGTTTCGGCCGATTCGGTAAACGTGCGCGAGGTAATTGGGTTTCGCAATGAATCTTTTCATATTTTTGCTTCTCTTTTTGATCTCTCGAATTCGGTTTCGAGTGATTCCGCTTTTATTTTTAATCAAAGAAAAAAGAAAATAAATAAAAACAAAAAAATCTAACGCCAAATATTGCGAACATTGATTGTGCAACGCTTGATCGGTTTCTGTTGTGATTCGGAAATATCAGAGTCGACATTGTATTTGTGATCTCACATATATAGAGCTCGATTTAGACTTTCAATGAGTCATCTGCACATAATACATGAACAGAGGATACTGTAATGTAAATTAATTTGTTTTTTGGTTGTATCGTCGATTCGATACATTGCACAGATCAGAACGAATTCAATAAGATATCAAAAAGGCTGTGTTGTGCAGTTACATAAAAAAATTAAATTATTCAAGAGATTTTGCGTGGAATTTTCTAATAAACATTTTATTTAATGTACCCATTTCACTTTTACAATGCCTTCATTCATTTCATTCGCGTTAATATCAGAAAACTGTATCGAATGCATTTCACATTCTTCCGTAAGGATTGTAACCCATCGTATTGAATGTCGTTGTTGTTTTCTCATCAGTTTTTCTTAGAAAATTTTTCATTTGTTTTGTTTAAACGAGTAATTAAATTCTGATTATTTCTGATTTTAGGTTCATCGACCAAAAAACGTTCATCGATCCAAAATGGATTTAGTCCGAGTGATACTAAAATTGACACGACTGCAAAAACGGACCCATCAACGGCCAAGTCGGTCACATTGCGTAAGTTTATATCCACATTTCATTGAGTATTATCAAATTTTATGTTGCATTTTAATGCTTATTTATGTCCATGAAAGATTTATGCGCAATTAAATGAAAGTTGACACATGTTTTTAAATGCTAAGGTTAAAAAAAATGTGAGTGCTGTCAACGATGTGCTTTTATTTGCTTGAAAGTTCAGTTATTTTACATAATTTGTTTTCTTCCGTTCGAAAACCGGAGTGAATGACATAAACAAAAGCAAAGAAAGAAATGAAAAATAAAATAATGTGTGAATTTTATTAATATTTGCAGATAAACGGTTTCCAGCAAACAATAATCTTCAAACGACGACTTCGTCGCCAGTTTCAGAGAAACGAGCCACAATCACAGCTAGCAAAAAGTCATCGTCGGCATCAAAACATGTGAACCAGACTAGCACACCGGTGGCAAACAAAACGTCACACGCTAAAGGTGAGCGATCTTTATCAATCTCTTTCTTTTACTTAACCACCGAACATTTACGTGAAGATCGCATGCTTCAAGCATTATGCTGATTGCAAAGTGAGAAGATGTACGATCTGGTAGACGAAGATGTTTTTCATGTTTTGAAATTTATTTACTGTTGCTCTCTCAGTGTTATTCGTTGTTGTTGCTTGTAATTGCAAAAAACAAGCGAGTGTCGAAATCTCTTTCGATTGTATTTTGGAACGGAAGCTCAGACTGACCTTATTCAGTCGAATGGCAGAAACCCTTTTTTGGGTTAGATCATTTTTGTTCTTCGCTCTTTTCGAATTATTGTGTTCCAATTAGTCGCTACTGTGAACGGCTTCCATCGATGACGATACGGTAATTAAGATCACACACATAGGTGACCTCATAAATCTTTTGCACAAGAAAAGCAGAGAAGAAATTTGACGAGAAGAAAAAAAAAACGGTTTCATCTCATAACTTTCGCATTCATTTTTCGTTCACTCCATTCAACCGCACCAAATCTCAATTAGAAGAAAAAAAGACGGCGCCGCGTTACACGAAACATTTTTATTAGAGAAAATCCGCATTCGAAAACAACAACAACAACAAAAACCGAACCGAAGAAAATAACAATCTAAAAAAAATGTATCGCATGCATTTGAAAGCATCAAAAGCACCGATCTTTTTCGCATCTACACATTTCAAGTGAATAACAGATTTTAAAAATGAGATGTTGCTAAACACTATCGAAAGCGATGAACACACATAATTAAAATCATTTATCAAATTCGCATTTTAATACGATCCAGCGATTTGTTTTTCTCTCTCTTTCTCTCATTTTTCGCTGTGCAATCGCACACAATATAACACCAAAGTCATTGCTTGATGGAAGAGAAAGAGAGAGTGCTTTCGTTCAAAAGATAAATAAATAATTTGCGTCGATGTTTTTTTCTTCTTTTCTCTTCACAACGCGCTCACATAATTCTTACCTATATTTTCATTGAATATGATTTGTCACACAAGCCCATTTTGTCAGGTTTTTTTTTTTGTCGCTGCAATTTTTCTCAATTATTTTCTATTATTTGCTGTTATCCAAAGAAAGTTTCATTTACACGCTGGGAGAAAATATTGTGTTTCAATGAGACGACATCGACGAATGTTTGTCTTTGAAGCACGTTACTATAAAAATAACGAAAATAAACAAAAACAAGCCAACATGCCATTACGACCGTGCAGCTTGAGACTCACGGTCTCGTCGACAACAACGATGACAACCATAATTTAAACAGATCGAAGTAATAATAAATAAACATATAGTCACAGACACACACATTCACCAAACAATTTGAATGCGGCGAACACTATTTTTTTTTTGTTTTTAATGATTTTAATTAGCTTTTGTCTCTAAATTCGTCAATACGAAAATGCTGAGTTTTGTCACTTTTTTGGGTTGGGTTCAGCAAACAAACTGCCAGAAAAGAAACAGCACGAACAAACGATCGTTAGTTTGTTGTATCATTAAAATCCAAAAACAATTTCAATTTCTAATTTGCAATTCATCAGCTAGCATATCACACACACACACACGAAAAACAGTTTGTAATCAATACGCTTCAAGGTTACTTTTTGCGAATCTTTCCCCGAAGCATTAAATGTAGTCAGCCGCACACGAGATTAATTTAATTGACTAGAGAAATTTTCCATGGAAAAGGTTAACGAAAATCAGTGGGTAATTTTCCATCATCTCATTCATTTGGATTTTGGAATCAAATTGCGGGTATAAAATGGAAATTCCCCCAATAATACCTTTGGCTTTAGTCTGTTTCTCTTCATTTCTTCACAAAGTTAGCAATTTTCTTCTGTAATTTCCCTCCATTTCTATCGCACATAAATACCAAAGGATACTTAAATTGAGCTGGTAATTTTTGCATTTTTTTTCCAGTGCATTGATGTTTTCTGTTGTTGCTTTTTCTTCTTTTCCACTCTCATCCATATTCACACGTTATTATCTTGATTATGTGCATTAGATCTATGCTTCAAGAGTTTTTGTATATACCATGGATAGAGTCGGTATGACTACATCGCACTGATTCGACCGACAACTATTCGTCAAATTGCTGAATATGAACAAGAGACATACAATAAACGCAAAAAAAGCGTTTATTAAAACTCGAGTAGAGTGAGTTACAGCCTGTATGTGTGTTCCCTCTTCTGTTTTTTCTTTTTCGAGCAAAGAACGTCAATTACAAATACCGCACATTTGATTTACTCCATCATCAGTACAGAGTAGTATACGAAAATACACGCAAATCAACGATTTTACCTTTCGGTTTTGATGAAATGCGCGTACAAAACAGATTGACTGTTGTTCTTCACTTCTATAGTCTGCATTTTCAATGATCGCTTTGCTCTCTTTCCTCTAGCACGGCCGATCGTAGCGTCAAACACAATACGCACTATATATCGCAGATATAATGTTTCAAATCCATTCGTGTGTCTAATGGTGAAATGCGTACGTTAGATTTCAGTGTTATTTTTAATGGTATTTGTTGTTGTTGTTATAGACTATTTTTTCGTTTTTCATTTGCTTCAACTGTACACTTAAGTATGTATGCGCGTACACGATCTCTCTGGCTAATTTCTCAGCAACGATTGAGTGTGGTACTCAAATGCTTTTTGGTAGTTCGGTTTTTCAAGCGTTGTAGCGCAAAAAATCATAATTTGTAATTTAGTTGGACTGGAGTCATTGAACGGCACAAACAACATTTTCACTCTGTCTACATCGTGTACATCGCATTGCACGCGCGGTTGTACATCAGTCACGTCATTCATTTACGTTTGGCATTTTCGGATTACAAATCAAAATCAAAATATCTTTTGATGGTGAAGTGTTTTACGGGAGTTTTTATTGGATATATTTGATCGATTTGTTTTTGTTGGGAAAAATATTCTTTCTTTGGCCAATTTTTTAGTGTCCATCCAAATGAATAAGATTTCCGTTTAATGAATAGAATTGAAATTATTTTTTTTTGTTCTTAATTGGAAATAAAAATTTGAATAATTTGAACGAATGATTTTTATTGAAGTTTTATGTAAAAATGTGAAACGACCCACACCATATTTCGATACGCGTCGTATACGCTAACATACCATATATAAACTTCGACAAGTGCCACGGAATATGAATCTTTAGAATGAATTATGAATTCCATATACAATAACAGTAGTGACATTTGTTGTACTAATAAAGAGCAATGTTTTACACCGACTTTACTATCGTGGAGTTCATTACAAATAACAAAGCCAAAGAGTTTTGTTAATTTACCTGCTGCTGCTACTGTTGCTGTTACCGAAACTGGTAAATAATAATCTATACTTACGCCTTCCGATCGAAATGTGCCAAACCAAAAAACCAACTACACTTTTGCCAAACTTGCAAAATAGATGACAGAATAAAAGTAGGCCACAATTGACAGAATACAAATGTGCATTATGAGTTTTTTTTATCGTCATCATCTCGAAATTGGATTTCGCCCTTGAAATAAATGAATATCATGCTTCCTTTCTGTGACATTTCAAGTGTGTGCAATAGTAATATACTGTTTTTTTGTTTATTTTGAAATGAAATGAGTGCCGCAATAAGACATAACGATGTTGTGCTTGACTTGCAAGTGAATATATGAAAAGACTTAGTTTCTTTTTAAAATAGTTTATACAATGCGTTCAAAGTATATAAAACAATGAATATTTAATTTTTTTTTAAAAAACGAATAAGTAATTAAAATTATCAATTCATTTTCGATTGTTGCGAATGATTTCAGCGTTGAACCATTTCAATGTAAACATTAACATTTTTGCCAATCTGCACCTTTTCTTTTTGAGAGTCCAGTTTCTTTTTCTCATTTCATACGAAATTCATTTGCAAGTACAATGGTTCAGGAGAAAATCTGCCAGTCAACAAAATGTTTCAGTGATTGGAAAATTTGACCGCGCACTATTTAATGATTATAATTGTTTGTTAAGTGAGTGAATATGATGAGAGACTGACAGAGAGCAAAAAAAATCAGCAAAATGCTAAAAATAAAAACATTTATTGCTTTTTTTCTTGTTGTGTTGTTGTTTTAGTGAGTGTATCGAAGCGAATAGCATTATGAAAGGTGGCCATAATGTGTGTGCTCACTCATTTGAACATTAAAGAGAGCAAAACAAGAAGAAACAAAAAAAACACATCACTAATCACAACACTCTGAAGCAAAGTGTTTCTGCAAAATTGCAAGAAGAAAAACTACGTAGACAGAAAGTTATGAAAACGAATTGTAGTAATAAAACGGCGGAACATTGTTTCATCCGTAATTTTCGCAGTGATTTGCATTTTTTTGCAAAGGAAATTCCAAACAAAATTCTTCAAATTAAGAAGTCAATTCTTGGAAACGTTTTCTTTTTTCCTTCAAACTGATCTTTGGCTTATTTTCAGTTTATTCTATTCTGTAGAAAAGTTGTCAATGAACTTTTAACACAAAATTTTGCATGCTTCCAAATGTGACCCTTGATTTCATTGTTAACAATTGCAAACGATTCAATACTATAGAAACTTTTAAACCACAACAGTATATTGAGTGATGACTTTGAACTTTGTCGTTGAGTCAAAGTGTATGTACTATTTATGTCTTATTTTTGAAATCACATGCACGATTGAATGCGATAGAGATGAATCCACCACAAAAAATGTAAACAAAAACATTTTTAACAAATATCGAGATAGCAACGTCAAATCTAGCGTCAAATTATTCACATAAAGTTATAAAAGCGCTTTGGAAAAAGTCAATTAACAGAAAAAAATATATTCGTGTCGATGAATCGTGGAATCTCTTCGAATCGAGTCTTGAATATTGAAATAGGTTTTGAATTTTCTAGTTTATGTGAACTCATTGTGAATGTTGTTGTTGTTTTTTTTTCGCCACAGATGAACTTGTGTTTTTAATTCGATTAAGCATGGTTTTTAGCAAAACCTTGACAAAATTGATGAATTGAGAAATCCATGCGAAATCTATAGATCGAAGAAAAAAAAACAAATTACACTTAGCCGAATTGTTCGAGTGGAAAAATTGTCGCAACATGTTTTGTGTTTGTTTTCGCATTTCACTTCTTTTATGAAAATGCCATACGTTTTTTGTCTTCTTTATTCGGAAAAGTTTTTTTATTAGTTATGAGCTTTTCAAGGCGTACTAAGCATGTTACGCACAGTTAGTTGCATGCAAATAGAGAGCAAAAAATTGCAAAAAAAGTATTAATTTGTGTTTGCGTGTGGAACTAACGATGTGTTACTTATATTGATTTTCTGTGTAAAACTGATTGTGAATGAAAAAAAAGTATTTCCATGATTTCCTAAGCCATGAGTATCTCTGGTTCAACTGAAAAATTGCTAGCTCACAAAAGATTCTTCATCCTCTTATGTTGTCAATGGTGTCATTTGTGGCAATGCAACTCATTCATTGACTTGATTAAGCAAATGAATTTTTTTTCATCAGAAAATGGTATTAAATAGTAAAAATTCGAACGGAATTGAAAGGTCTAGACAATATTTAATGACTTAAAAAAAAGCAAAACAAATGCAGGTGCATTGAATGTGCGTAAGATGTAAAAACTAACAGAAAATACCTAATTTGCCTGAGTGATCACGAATTGTTGACGTTATTGTTGTTGTTGAACCAGAAACTCATGCATTCGATATGGTTTTGCATTTTGCAAAATTTACTATGGCAAATAATGAAGCGGTAGTAACGTAAGCAATATGTATTACTTCAGGAAATATATAGAAAATCTACCACGCATATCGAATTGTTTTGATTTTATTTATTCATTTAATTTTGATTTCTTATGAATTGATTCATTTCAATGACGTAAATTGTGATAATTCAGGGATAAAGTTATAGCTAAATAAATTTAATGAAATGAGCAAAGAATTTAGGACTGTTTTTTTTTCATCTTCTGTTTTTTCATTAGAACTCGGTTTACAATCGACGCCAGCACATCCGTCAACCATAAATAATAACAATAGCAGCATCAGTAATAACAATCACAGCACGAAGAGCGGAACGAATTCATCAAAATTAGCAACGAATGACGAACACCATCAGCAGCCGCTAATAGCGACTATTCATCGAAATGGTAAAACGTCGGCAGCAACATTAATCGCAAATAAAGCGGTAGCCGTGCCGCAAATTAATGCAAAATCAACAGGAAAGTCAGCATCTCGGACGATTGTCAATGGTGAATTAAATGAGAATTTAATTGAATTTTCATTCGTCGATTCGATTGATGGTGATACTACCGGTTGTTATGCATCGGCCACCGTTTCGACCATAAACACTGATAAAACAACACGGAATTCAAATCAGCAACAGAAGCAACAAACGGCAGCTGATTTGAATGTTATAAAAGCGAACAAAACCATTGTTGCATTGAGCATTTTAATTCAGCATTTAACGACAAACGTAAGTATTTCTTTCGAATACACAGGCACAGAGGTGTGTGCACATGAATTATTCAATCGAAATTTGGATCGATATCTATCGAATAGCAACTAGTAAAAATCGTCGTAAAATATGTTTTTGATCGTTCATTTGCATTGCATTTTAGAGAAGCAGGTAGACAACAAACTCAAAACATATACTAATCAAATGGTTCACTATATTCGATTTGTTTACCTTTCTGTAATTTTCCATAAGAAAAAGAAATGACATGTAAAATGTTTATGATTTATGGGGAATGTCTGTCAGAAAGAGACAAGCTAAAATTGAAATGTGTCGAAGAAGTCAAAAATGAGTTGGACACGAGAGTACAAACAAGGAAAAATAAAATTGAAAACCATGTGTTCATTAGGATTTGCAATGAAAACATTTACTGTAAAATGTATCGATGCTTTGACGATATGCAGCAGGCACATGTACACACATTATTTTATGCTTATATATACGTTTTGTTTCCTTTGTGCTTTGTCATGTGCGATTTTTTTTGTGCTAATACATTGCGTGTGTGTCTGTGTGATTTTCAATCGCACCCGCTCCATACATACACATACTGGCATTGTATTCTATTTGATGCATATTCAGGAAACTACTGCATATCGAAACTGTAATATTCCGTTCGATTTTCTACCTGCAACAAAACCCATTTTTGCATATGTTTTCTTTGACACACATTCCGTTGCTCGGCACTATCGATCAACGCTTGTGCGCATGAAGCAATTGTCATTTAGTTTTTCTCTACTTCTTCTCCTTCTTTGTATATTGTATTTTGCCGGCACACTGATACACTATTACCGTACAAACCCCACAATCGATTTTCACACGTGAACGAGCACAGATCAGAACTTGTTTTTAGACATAAACTATACTATAGTTGCAATTCGATCCAAACGAAATTAGAAAAAAAAACATTACGCATTGTCGTTTGTAAATTTCTGGTTGACGTTGCATTTTCGATTGAGTAAATTTATTAGACGGGTGAATTCCTCTGCGAAGCGGTTTTTTCCTAATTTGGATTTTGGTTTGGTTTTCTTTTTCGTTAAAATTGTTTCAGTTAAACGCATTTGAAACGCCGTCACTTCGTGTTGCATTAGAAACAGCCAAAGATAAATTATTGGAATCGCAACATAATTTAGAGACCATGCGCACCAAATGCAACTATCTCGGAGAACAAATGGTTGCAAAGGAAAAATTCTACACAACGCTGAAGGAGACAAACGAACGTGAGCTGGATAAGAGTGAGTTTTTTATAGTTGTTATTGTTTTTATTCTTTCATTTGGTGTTCATTCGCTTGGTGCGTTTTATCAACGAGGCTAAATTTCGAAAACTTTCTTTTTTTTTCTTTTCATTCGTCGCATTGCATTGTAAATTAATAATGTGGCGTTTAGTTAAATTGAGTCTACGCGAAACGGAAAAATCGGCCCAGGAACAAATTAAATTGCTGCAATATGAATTGGTTAAAGTCAATCAACAAAATATTGATGCATTGAAGTTATGCCAAATGAAAGCAGACAGACAATGCAGTGAACTGGAAACACAACTACAGTTGGCCCGTGACAGAGAATTAGAGCTTGTGGAACGGTTGAACAATTTTACCGTAACCGAAAATCAATTACGCGATAAAGTGCAAGCAAGTGAACAAGAATTCAGTGAACGTTTAATTGCGGCCACAGCACGTGAGCGGGAATTAAATGAAAAGGTGGCTCAACTAACGCGACAATTGAAAATCAGCGATGATAAACGATATGAGCTCGAAGAAAAGGTCAAATTGGCATGCGACGAAACAAATGATCTGCGTCATCGACGAAATAGCAGTGAACATTCAATATCAAATGGTAATAATTCAGTACAAAATCAATCAAGTAGTTCGGTGATGCTCGAAGAGGAAGTGCTAAGTCTTCGCAGTGTATTGGATATGAAATTGAATGAAATTTCGGAATTGCGAAAACAAAATCAGTCGATGGTTCAAGCTCAGGACGAATTGCCAAAGGCACAGCTCAAAATATCTATTCTTGAATCAAGACTCGAGGATCTTACCATTCAACTTAAAACCAAAGTCGAGGAAGAACAGTAAGAAATATTCAAGTTTTTTATTATCATGAAAATCTTAAAATTGAATTATGTATCACTAATTGATTTTTTTTTTCAACCATTTCTTTTAAACAGTGAATTATCAGTGCGAAATCGTAGTTTACAAGAGATGTTCAATCAAGAGGTGAAAAATCGCACCCGATTATCGCTTCACAATGAAGAATTACAATGGAAATTGAAACAAAACTCGGAAAAATACACCACCACATTGAATGAACTTTCAAAAAGTTACCAAGATCCATCGATGCTCTCTGACTTCAAGAATAGTTTATACGCACCAATTTCGGAGACAAGCCAAGAAAGAAATGATACACTTCAATTGAATTCATCACCGCCGACATCGCCAGTGATCAAAGGTGTTGTAGAAAAATGCGATTCCGTATCATATGTATTAGAATTGAATGATGATGAATCAGCCGAAGCCGTGGCCAGTCGTGTAGTCAAACGTGCCGGTTCATTCCGTGTAAATAATTACAAAGAGCGTTCACCATCATTCAGACGTCAATATTCACTTGGTGGTGCAAATGCATTGAGTCAATCGGCATCAGCAACCTCATTGTCACGCCAACATTCCGATTCACCAGTGAAAACAATTGGTGGAATTGTAAAATTACAAAAAACCCCACGTACTCGATCGTATTCACTGAATGCCAGCAATGAACCAAAGAAAACACAAAGTGTACCAATCGAAATAGCAAATTCCGACTACACCAAATGGCAACGATCAATGAAAACAATGTCAACCAGCAGCCCATTGACATCATCACGAAAGTACAAGAATAATGGACAGCCAAATGGTTTGGCTGAAATTGATGATGATACCGCTGGCACCATGTCATCTCCCATATCCATCGCTGATGTGGATTTAGCAAAAGATTTCGTGCCAGCGCAACGAAGTCGTACAACTCTGATTCCTGCTCAAAATAGCATTAAAAAGCGTCAACAAATCAAAGAATCGGCCGGTGAAGCAATGGTGTCACAACAAAGTGAAGATGATCAATCGTTTGGTTCCGATTCAACGTCGGCATCATCGAGCAGTGCTGCCTCACCGTCACATTCGAGCAAACATCGACCTTTGTCGCTTGATGAAGAAGCGTTTATGAACAAGATTGTAGCTAGTCTTAGTACACGTAGCACTCCAATGGAAGTAAGCTGGTCGGAAGACGGTGACAATGAACCGTATGCTCAAGAATCGAGTGCATGATCTGAAGATAGCTTTTAAGTTTGTTAAATTATTATTTATGTTTTAGTTCATACTAGTAGTTATTTTTTTTTTCATTACTTAAAAACTCTTTTTAAAAAAATCACTTTATGTTGACTTCTTGTTAAAGTATATATATATTATTATATTTTTGAGGCAAATTATAAGCAGAAAAATGTTAAAAAAATTGCCCAATACCACTGCTTGTGGTGGAAATGAACGTTTATGGAATCCTTGCTACATGGCAAATGATAACTTGCTAGAAAAGAACTTTTGAATTTTAAAGACGTTTTGCCTCAATGTAAGAAAGAATTCAAAATTCACTTTTACAGATAAATTAGGGTTTGATTGAGATAAACCACTGATTTCATTGTATTAACTTAAAGAGAAAACAAAATGTACATTTTTATAATATTTAATGCAGTTAAGTGAATAATTCGTATAATGCAACCATTGATTAACTACATTAAGTCAGAGACTAGAGTCTTTATCAACTAAAATATTATCACTTCGATCGAATCAAACTATATTCAACGAGTCAACGATGCAGATGAGTTAAACATCCAGAGATGATCCAAATAACATCAACATATCTGAATCAGTTGACTTCAGTCACACATTTCAAGACTCTTCGACTCGTTAGTTTCAACTTTCAAATTTGAATTGTATTTATTTTGAGATTTATGTGGTATTTGATAATTATAACGCAGGCTCAACATTCATAATCATTAGCAAAATATGCAATGCACAATTTAAAATTTTATTTTTTGGATTGTGTACATATAAATTATGTTTTCTTTTGACAAAAACAAATCAATGAAAATTCACATTTAAAGCATCATTTTTGTTGTTGATTTATTTGTTGGCGATTTTCAATCTTTTGAATTTCAATCAATTTACGATTTGTCTGAGTATGTCAATATATGGGCCATTCCCTTTTAGAATATAAATTTGAAATGGAATGCCCAAAAGTGCACACACACATTTTCAAATACACTTCAATTTTATTGAGAAGACACAAATATGACAAATTCCGAAAAATACATGTAATCGAAATGGAAAAAAATAATACTTAATATTTGTTGGATTGAAACATATGAGCTGTTATTAGAATAACAATATAATTGTTTCCCCCAAAATATATACAGTCGATCATGAGAAGATGAAATGAGTCGAAAATAAAATGTTCACAGTACAATAGAACAGCTTTTGGTCTTTTCTTTATGAATTTTCCGGATTCAGTACATCACATTTTCCCTAGCACTTTCCACCAGAAAAACAGAGATATTTCGGAGAAATATTGGTGGATATTTGAAAGGTGAGTGTTTTCAGACTTGTAGCTTGAAAAAGTTTTGTAATTTGGACCGGATTTTTAAAACCGGTAACATATCTTTGACTCGTTGAGAGAAATAATTTATTCTCAGATAGACTTCTGCGTTCTCACACCTATGGGACATATATAACCTTGATATTTCGGCTTTCAAATGAAATCAATAAAAAAATGTACAAATAATATTTTCAAAAAACTGAAATTATAGCAAAACTTTCTTAATTATATAAAAATGTATTCAAATTCTACAACAGATTAAAGTTGTACTTAAAACTAATACTTAAAGTTTGTACTTTATTCGATTATAACACTTTCATACATACACAAAAGCACATGCTTTGACAGTTCAACTTGACGTTCCGTTCAAAACAAAACAATATCTTCTGCACGCGTGTTCACATTTCATGTGCTGATTCCAATTTTACGTTAAACACGTATTTTAAATTGATATCGACGCTATAATTTAGTTAAAATCACACAAAAATGTCTGAGTAAGTAAAATCTCTTTGTGAAAATCTGAATTTTGTTGCGTTCATGTTGCGAATATCTATGCACAATTTCTTTACGTTCAAACAATGAACGTGTGAATTTTTTACATGGACGTGTGATATAACCTCACATTTCGGCGCACATTGTATCTCTATCAATTTCTTTATGTTTTCCTTGTTTGCAATCTTTGAATTTGATTGAAATGGAATTTATAAATTAATAAATCAACAATTTTATTTTTCAGTAAATATGCGGTTCCGAACAAACTCCCTGCAAAGCAGGTGAATGTAATGACACACCGTAAACGTCGATTGCGCGAAGAAGAGTCACATCATCGTGTAAAACGTTTGAATCGTTCATTCAAATTGAGAAGTAAGAAACGCGACTACAAAAAGCCTGAATTTTTTATCACCCAGTATTTGAAAGCAGAACGAGATTCGAAGCGAATGCGTCGAGTTATTATGAAGAACAATTTCTTGAAGGGTGTCGATGATGAAGAACCGAAACTCTTGGTTGTAATGCATCACCGTGCACATCGCGTTGCATCAAAAGAATGTACATTAATTATGAACAGCATGGGTTTGAATCGTTTGCACAATACTGTTTTGCTGAAAAATACTACGGAATCATTGGCACTGTTAAAAATGATCGAACCATATGTGGTGTATGGGTATCCAACAATTCAAACGGTTCGCGACTTGATTTTCAAACATGGATTTTTGCGGATAAAAGGTAAACGAACAGCTATCAATTCCAACAAATTGATTGAAGAGCATTTAGGCGAACATGGATGCATTTGTATTGAAGACATTGTTCATGATTTATTCACGGTTTCGGACAATTTCAAAAACGTTCGCAGTTTATTGTTACCATTTTCGGTAAGTGTTATGCATTAGTAGTAACAAATAAAAGAAAACACAATGAACTTTTAGTCATGCGGAAAATTTTAAGACATTCAGTCACTCTATAATCTAGTTGGATCCGTTAAAAAATAGCAAGCAATTAATCAATCTCTGGAATCGACACAAAATAGATCAAATTGCAATGAGTCATTCTTTTGAAAATGTCTAATTATGCTCCGTTTTTTTTTGTTTATCTCTCTTTCACAGCTCAAAGCGCCCCGAGATGGATGGTCGAAGAAAATTGGCGTCAGCTACAGTCGAGGCGGCGAATATGGCAACCGAAAACATGAGATTAATGCTCTTATCGAACGTTGTTTGTAAACCGGCTATTATCTGACTGTAATACAATCTATAACACTAGAATAAATCTTTTGAAAAATATTTGCGACATTTGAGTCAACCAAAAATTGTGTGTGATAATTTTTCATTTCGTTTTTCTAACTGAAAAAAATAATAGTAATACAGTTGTACTGTTATATTTTCAAAGCAAACCGAAAATGGGGCGACAAGATAGGGACTGCTTTACGTATTTTGTTACCATATCTCTATTTCGATTAGTCGAGTCTGTTCAAATTGAAGCAAAGCAAAGCAAAAAATGAATCAGATAAAGTGCACTTTGTGTTGATGTCACATACGATTGCTCATACTTTTGTGTAACCGGATATTGTATGCATTAGCAGAAAATTGTAGAACGATTTCCAAAATGCTCGTTTGCCCATCGCATAATATAATCCAAACCTGTTTCAATTTTTGTTTTCTTTATATAAATAAGGTAGACATAAGACAGAGCCACAATATTCACCTGGGGCAAAATGTGACTCGGGTCCGTCGAAGTGAATACCAAAAACAAATCGACTAAAAATTACGTCGCCGATCGAAAAAATTTCATTCCAATTTTGGTAGAATTATTAAATATAAATTATCCGATTCCGTTGGAAATTAAACATATGTATTTTGCTGATGTCCGTCATTTTGACGCCATGCCAACGTTAACCTAAGTTGAATGTCGTGTGTTCACACTTTGCTCTTTTCTCAGACTTTTTTTTTGCGTGACCGTAGCAAAAGAAGAAGAAGAAGGTATCACATTGCGAATAAGGTAATTGATGAGAGACCTCTTGCCAATTTTCAACGAACACATTGGATGCTTGAACGCGTATAAACCTTCAGATTATGTGCATGCACTTTGTTCTCTGCTATCTTCATCTTATTGTTTGCGAATTGTCAAATGGTTTTTCTTCGTGTCTTGTGATGTCTTCATTTGAAGGAGATAATGCCAATGGAATCTGTTGAAGAAGCTCAGGTAGCGGTAATAGTGCATCGGAATTTACTACGTGACCATATTGTAATTTTGATCGTATTGGCTGTGTGATGAAAGGTGATAGCAGGGCACACAAAACAATGCTCATCAAATCACACGTACCTATTGATAGAATCACACGAAAGAATGTTCATTTGGTCAAACGCTATTCAATTACTATCAGTCGAATATTTTTGCCATATCTTACTGTTTACTTTGTACGGACAATACCACTTCATACGTATATGCACATTTTATACGTGCTTTGAGTTTGTCTTTATGCATTTTGTCATACGCACACACAAATACATAGA